CAGAGACACCAGAAGACAATGCTGTGGAGAGGTACAAGGTAGAGCCCAGTGCCAGTCTAGATCAGTGTCCACTGAAGTGGTGGTCGGAGCACACTGCTGTCTATGGTAAGATGTCCCTCATTGCCCGTAAATACTTGGGGACTCCAGCCACAACGGTGCCATGCGAGAGGCTATTTTCTTTAGCAGGTCATATTGTGCAGAAGAGGAGAGCTAGTTTGTCACCAGAAAATGTAAACAAGCTGGTCTGCCTGAGTGACTGGTGGAAGAAGGAGAACTAGAGCTTGGACTGATTGACACAAAGTTACTGACTGTAAACAGTTAATCACCGTTCATTTTTCATGTTTAACAGAATAAACAGTAAACACAAGTGCATCTTATTGAACATGATTTATTTTCATCACCAATTATCATAGTTTTAACAGCTTTCTTAAGCAGCTTGTGATGCATTTTGTAAACAACTGGTCTCAATTTTAGTTATTATTTTTGGGTAGCACATATTCCGGCAGAAATAAAATAAACCATTTTAATCTATAGATTAATCTAGATTAATTTCAAAATTAATCTAGATTAATCTAGATTTTAAAAAAATAATCTATGCCCACCCCTATTAAAAACACAATGGGCGTGATGTCCAAAATATTTAGGTTTACAATTATCAAGAAGATCCAAGTAGAGCAGAAGTAGGCCCTTATTTGGGTTGCCAGCTGGTTAAGCAAAATTTGTTAAGCACCACAGTAGGTACAGAAATCGGTCTTAGGGCATACACGATACACAGTTTGTACTGCTTCTAGCTAAACTCCAGCAGGTGGATTCCAACAGTAATTAGTGCTTAGAAGCGAAATGTGTCACAGGCAGGAATAACCTGGCAACAAAAATTGGACTTTATTACGACCAGTCCACTAACTAATAAAACGAATACAGGTCATCTCATCTTATCTCAAGATTATATTTAACATACAGTCCCTTTAAATTGCCAAGCACTCTAATCTGCTATGATGATGACGAGAGATTACTTATAACGTCTGCACTGACACAAAAACAGTAGAAATAAACAGTAATTACCTCCCCTAAGAGGTAATGTAATCAGCAGGGTTCCAGGGCAAACAATATATTGAGCTAGGGCTGGTCGATATAAACGGTAAGCAGTATGTGATAAAAATTTGGCCAACAATCGAGATTTTTGTTATACCGGCATATTGTTATAGGTCATTATGTCGTCAAATTGCACAGGCTCTGGCGCCAGCAGAAAGCACCATGTTGACAAGCGCCAGCGTGGCCCACAACATCATCACGGCAGAAGTGTGGTAAAGTTAGCGTCAGATTCGGACTTCCGCGGTCAATAGCTCACGAAAGCTACTTTGTTAAACAAAAGTAATTGTGCCAAAATGATCACATTCACATCGATTGTTCAAATCCAATGGGCTGTTTTAATGCAGGGAAATCCATTGCTGCAAGCGCCGAGAAAAGCGCTTTGGGAGCGTCAACAAATGTCAAGACCAGCCTTGTAAACGAACAATAGCTTTTACTGAAGCCATACACGCACAAAACTCTCAGACACTATAAATAATGACCATATCTAACTGCTACAGACTTTGATTTCAACATTTGTGAGTTTTTATATTTTAAATGAATACATATGTTGTTGTTTTTTTATTGCTTTTACAGTACATACATAAATAATGTATGTTACAGCATTTGTCTCACACCTGATTTTCAAACTCAAAAAATATATAATAGATTCTAATATATAAATAAGTAACAATCTTGACTATTTTATGAAAGAACCTGCTAGACCTATATTGAAATTCACACACCAAATTATACCGCAATTAGGGCTGGGATAAACGATTATTTTTTAAACGATTAATCTAGCGATTATTTTTTCGATGCATCGATTAATCTAACGATAAGCAAAAATCGAATAAAAAATATTTATTGCTTGCTCTTAAAATTCAAAAATAAGACATTCTTAGAGGTAGCATAAAACCTTAAAGCCTTGAAAACACAACTTACTGAAAAAAGTGCATCTTATCATTCTTGAAACAAACATTTGATGCTTAGCATTCAATAAAAATATGAAAAAGTTCAGCCAAATACTTGTGTAGAGCAACTAAAAGAAAACAGTAACCAATGTAAACTTGAAGGCTTTAAGCTAAACAAAGAGTGCTTTTCCAGCAAAAACAGTGGGAGCCATCAGCCTGTCATGGCGTCCTTCCTGAACCAACAGAGTTTAACATTTAAGTTGAAGACACATAGGCCTATATTACTGAAGTCCATTAATTAAAGTGCATCTCTTAAATTCTTCATTCATATAAAAATAACAGTCAAAACTCTGCCACTCACCTTTTTCTTAAACTCAAAATTCAAAAATAAAATTCAAGTAAGAGTGTACAAGAGAAAAACAATGCATTGTGTAGCAAATAAAAAGGTCAACCAGTCATCCTTTCTTTTAGAGTTACTGAAAGAATACAGTAGAAGTCATCTCAGAGGACTTAAAACAACATTGAAGTCACCAACACAGATCAGAGAATCAATCAACAGTTAAACACATTAAGGATATTGAACACATGTTGAAAAATGTCCATATACGGCGGGCATGACAGTGAATAATACATGTAGGGGCTATTACGGGCGCCAATATTCCGTTTGATACAAAGAAAGACAGACTAGTTGTAAGCTGTAGAGTTGCCACAGGACGCGTCATCAGCCTACGTCAGCAGCCGCGGACTGCTATGAAAACATTAGCTTTGTGGTTTCACAGGCGCAGTTGACTGCTTAAACTAAACTTTGCACGAAACTTTGACTCTTAAAACCCACATGTGACAAAACGGAACCATCAACATCTCGCCTCAAATTGCATTAAAAGTGACATTCGTGTCTGAATTCGTTCGTATTTTAACTTTTAAAGAAATTCACGGTCCGCCATCTTGGTTTGCTTCGGCTGCCGTGAGACGCGCATGCGCAGGTTTGCATTACATCATAAACAGCTGAGGCTGTGCATCTCTTCGAGGCAGTGTATCTCAGCGTTACACCGGCTTGCACTTCTCTAACACGGCACTCGCATTGCTACCGCTCGCCGCCATCTTTGTTTTGTGTGTGACGCACCGACGCGCATATTATACGTCGGTGTATTTTTTGCGTCGACGTCACCGATTACGTCGACGCGTTGTCCCAGCCCTAACCGTATAGGGCATATATACCGTTTACCGTCTGTGTCTCAAATGATACCGCAATATGAATTTTAGGCCATATCTCCCTCCCCTACATTGAGCCCAATAATAAATTGTATTACTGAATTGGGCTGGGCGATAAAACGATAACGATATATATCGCGATAGACACATGTTCAATATCAATAGAAAACGGGGTCGATAGAATGTTCAATAGTTTAATTTCACTCTGTAAGAAAAAACAGGAGGAGAACCAGGACTAAACCAGGATTACACCAGGACTAACTATGGGGGAGACTGCTTGTGAACATATTCCTCTAGCCTCATTCCCCTGTGACTGTAAACAAGGCTGCTAACGTGTGTTAGCCGACACGACAAACGTATTTTTTCAGGTAAAAACATAAATAAAAATAATAACCCATATATATTGTTATCGACAGATATTAATTACTTATATTGTGATATAGTTTTCAGCCATATCGCCCAGCCCTATTACTGAACAATAAGTGGAAATAGTAATCAGGACAGGCCTAAGGAATACTTTCTTCTTCCACAACAAATCCTTCCTTATGTTATAAAAGCTGATAAGTAAACTTAAATGCCTGATGTTTGCTGTAATGCTTGAGATATGAAGATGCTCTACTGTTCCTCTGATATTCATGAGCAAACAGTGAAGTGACGCCACACTGCTAGTTTATGAAAATCACCAGCCACTGGTTCGTCACTGACCACCATAGACTGTCAACAAACATAGGCTTCCCTTTCATTGGACACGGTGTTGTCATATTGGCCCTTTTCTTCTGGCAGACTCTGAATTACTCAGCCAGACCAAATAGTAGCATGTTTTCCACATGAACATAGTCTAAACACAAGCTTTATAATCAACATGTCATTAAAGCTTTGAAAGTTTCTTGTTTGCTATGAATTCCAAAGCTATTCCCTTATCAATATTGTGAACTCAAACGTTGTAATGACAAAATAAATGGCTTTACAGTTTACAGCAATATGTGTGGCAAAATAAGCAAATGGCCAAACTATTCTCATCTGTGTACATGTCAACAAAGGGTCATACAGGTAGAAGTGCAAACTCAGCTGCCCAGCACATTGTCAAAACAAACTGACGCTCTTTATGCAATATAATTTGTATGGCACATTTAACAGAATATATCATTTAATAATAAATCAGTAATTACACTAAATTTGGTAGCTATGTTTTTATGTCACTTCAGAAAACAAAAGTTGTCTTGCATCTAATGAAACATATACATATGTGTGAACGTGTGTGTAAGAAAAGTATCGCTAACAAAACAAAAGTAGGGCTTGCATGGCACCTCGTGTCCAAGATGTTCAGCATGATTCACGAAGGGGTAAACTAACTTCATCCAAAGTCATAATCGCCACATCTTAACCTGAAAAGGCTCTTACTCTTACTATGTAATAAAAGCACATCTGTCCACACATAAATGAGCCAATGAGCTAAGCTAAGCTGTCTGAGCTCAGTCTCCTCTTTTCATCCGAGTCAATACCCTTTCCTCTGTCCTCTGCGCTTTTCCATACATTCACATTAGGCCTTCGCGGATTTTCCTGACAGTACACCGCCACCGTGTACGTTAAGCAGATGTATAAGAAAAACATGTGAATTTAATGTAACATGTTTAACCCCATCGAGGGACCCCTGCACTAAGCAGCGGTGTCTCCAAAGCGGGCTGCCCGTGTCTCCGGAGCCTGAAGGCCCCAGCGTCATTCCTCGTGTTATGCCAAAAACATTGAAAATAAGCTATGACAGCTTGTATTCGTGTATCTCTATGGCCTGGTTAACAAGCATCTTACCTTTGCTTTGGTAATGACATGTGTGGCTAGTTTAACAACCGCGAAATTTCCCTTGCCGATGGTCCGCTCGATTTCGTAGTGGCCCACACGGGCTGGGGGGGGCCTTGTGCCCGAAGTGTGGCCGGGATTGGTGATGCACCCAGTGGCCGAACTGGGGGGACTGGAGTGGCTAATGCCGGAGGATGGCTGGGGTCGGTTCTGTGGGCCCATGACTGCGTGAGACGTTCGGGTAGGGTGCGTAATCCCGGCCGCAGCGGACCCAGTAGTACCTCCGCTTGACACAGCCGCCATCTTCTCGCCTCTCTGCGGGAACAACAAGCAGGCTTGCGCAGCGCGCGCTCGGACACGCCCCCGCCCTGCGTCATTTTACGTGAGCAACTCCACACCGCCCTCTCTAGGTTGTAACCATGACAACCATCCGCGTAACAAATGACTTCATCGACGAAAGCAGTTTAGTTTATAGAGGAACTAGATGCAAAAAAATTCTGTTGTAGAAGCGTGTGCAGCAGCCATCTTGTGACTGTAACAACATGATAATAATAGTCTACAACTGTGGGCGTGTAGATCCACTTTAGTCAGCACTTGCATTTATACTTCAAATTTGATTCTGATTTTAATGACGACTATCAAATATAGATAAAACAAAATGTAAGATGAAAGACCCAGTGGCCTAAGAGTAAAATCGAATTAGTCTGTTTTCAAATCTTCAACGAACAGAAACTATGCGGTTCAATTGGTTCCCATGGCGATATTCCTCTAGTTGTATACAATTTATCATGTATGGCAACACTGGGCGGCACGGTGGCTGAGTGGTTAGCACTCTCGCCTCTCAGCAAGAAGGTCCTGGGTTCGAATCCCGGTCGGACCAGGGCCTTTCTGAGTGGAGTTTGCATGTTCTCCCCGTGTCTGCGTAGGTTTCCTCCGGGTACTCCGGTTTCCCCTACCACAAAAAATATGTCCAATAGTTCTGGCATGTGCCTCCTGTACTGGCGACCCCGCTCCCATCTCTGTGTGGAGTGAGAGACAAATGCCCAAAATTAACAATTGTAAACCGCTTTGAGACTCAGATCTGCAGTGAAAAGGCGGTATATAAATAAAAAAACTTACTTACTTACTTACTGCATAGTTGTTGGCAACACAACCATAGTTGTTGCCTAGGCAACACAGAACAGAGCGTTATCAGTCTGCACCGTGATTCAGCTGCTTTGCCTTTCATCTCGAACCACAACAAACAATGGAAATATTGTTTCTACCAAATAAGAAATATGATTACAAGTATAATAGGGGTTTTATACAGTCTATGATTGCAATGTGTAGTTTGGCCAAGAAGTCTCAGTAGATGTGTTTGCCTCGCTATTCGTTGACTGCTGTCCATAGAACAGACTTTTTTACAGAATAGCAGTGGTCTATACATAGTTCCCACATGACGTCACTACATACGGGGATTTGCCGACCCGGCGCCATTTGTATTGGCATGCTGTGAGCAAAACAATAGAAAAAGAAGCTGAAACGTGTTAATGTCGTGATAAAGTTGAAAATGGTCATCTCCTGCTGGGTCAATGGATGTTCAAATTGTGCCGGAGGTTCCGTTAAACTTGGATTTTACAGTATACCCATCATTAGACTTCATGAATGTGAGAAGACTAAGCTTTTGTCAGAACAACCACGGAGGTTATGGCTTGCGAAGATAAACAGGCAAGAAACTCCCTCAAAACACGCAAGAATATGCTCGGAGCACTTTGTGTCAGGTGCGTATCGTATCTTATAATGTGTTGACAGACGTAATTTACTCAGTACTAACTTGTGTATGCTGATATCTGGTAACTTGAGAGTTTCATTATTTAGATTACTTTATTATGAGGAGGATCGGTGTCGCGTCCGAGGCTCTCGAGGGGAACGTAAATGTATTAAATAGATAATAATAGTTCTATGGTGGGCTAAAACAATGTTCACAAACAGCATTGCTTCTGTAAAAAGATCTGTGTCATAAAATAAACTGCTCTTTACGCCTGGAAAAATCAGTTGCCCACCATTCACCAAAACATACGGTCAAAAACGCGGAAATAAACAATAATAGCAATCCAGAGTGTCCGTGTGGCATTAGCATTAATTAAATTAATTGTTAATATAATTAAAATAATTAAATGGAGCTCCAACTGGTATTAAATCAAAAGGCTTTGAGAAATGTTTGCATTGCTTGTTAATTTTTGCTGCATAATTTGATCAAATATGTAAAACATGTCCGTAGCACGTTAAACTGTGGTGCCATTGTATTAATATACAATTATTTGCTCAAAAGTTGCCCTTTTTTTTCAAATTTGCGTTTGAATATCTACATTTATTCTCATTCTTCTGTTTAATGGAATGCACAAACACAGCAGCGTGCCATCAAAGATGGCGTCTCCGAGGAGGTCATGTGACATTCATTGGTCTGTGGGAACTATGTATTACGCAGTATGTTTACTAAACGGATGGATTTGTGGTGCAGAGGTAGCTTGTGTTTTATGAATGTTAACAGCGCCTCTATGAGGCGCAAGTCTGCCCCTGCATCTGGCTGGGCTGCAACGTGATGACGCAGCACGCATTGTTTACCGTCTTGTCTGGAGCAGGGGGCGCTGTAGCTCCATAGCTCACGCTGATCTCATTTGTAAACATGCTGGGCTCGCTGGACTTCTTCACGCGGTTTTCCTGAAAATATCCGTATGACAGCTGCTAAAAATCACAGGGTCGTATCATTTTTATGTTTGCATATAGGGGCTTGATTGAAATGTCTGTTCTAAAACAAGGGGCGAGCTAATGCGCTGCGCTGCTTGTGTGCTTGCAATGCTAAAATGCTAGCTGCAACCTTCAACAAATCATCTCAATTGGTGAAGAAAATATGATAAGGAAATCTTGACATGCCAAATTTATATCAGATAGTTTCGTTTTTGATTTACAGGAAGTATTGAGGATGTAAACCTGAAGATCATCTCTGTTGCCCCACTTCGATGCTGTTGTTTGTTAGTGTCACAATCTTAACGCGTATTTAATTGAATGGGGGTGGACTTTTCTATGTCAAAGCTTTTACAATTAGACTTCACAAGTTTACGACGAGTTGGTTTGACAAGATGGTTCTGAGAAATTGTTGGAAATCTCGGCATAAAGGCATCCATTGGCTTTGTTATGGCTTACCTATTTTGGTATGGATTTGTGCGACCCAGCTTGTTTGTTGCAATGGAATATTAGGGGAGACGACAAATGTGCTCCAGAAAGATGCAGAGTTTGATGTCACATACAACGACACTGTTACGAGCGAGAATCAGACCATCTATGCTTTCAATCACACAGTCTCCAGGAATAAGGTGAGCTACAAGTACATCTTTACCAAAGCCTACGGGGTGATTATTATAATGACAATGTGCTATTTTATGTATGTACAGACTGAGGGTGTCCGAGTGACTGTGGATGTCCTGACCCAGGCCTCAGAGAGTCCCATTCTGTTTGTGGTCCGGCAAAAGCAAGCTGTACTATCTTTCCAAGTCCCTTTGATATTAAGGGGCCTGTAAGTAAAAACCTGGTCAATACAATTCCTTCACAATTGCTTTTCTTTGCCTTTTCCTTCACTTAAATTAAAAAAAGTTTATGGACAACCCTATGTACCGCCAATGAGATCCATACCTTTTTAATATCATACTTTACTTCCATAAAAGATTAAAATGTTACAGTGCGGATGTGTTAAACAGAACTAATAAAAAGAAGACTGTTCTTTAAGTATAAACATATTTCAAATGTGACTATCCTCTCCACACATTTGCTGGGCTCATGTTTCCCTCTGGGCTTTATATTCAGAGATAACCCTTTGACACGTAAGACAGTACAGAGTAATGATACAAAGTCTGCTTTCTGACGTGTCTGATATGGTCGAGGCACATGATAGTGGTCGCACACTTCAGTATGTCCACGTTTCACAACCATTAACCACAATCTTTAATGGTCTTTAGCAAACTCCTATCAGAGCTTGTAAACCCTGAAGAAACTCAATCGGATTGATATATTAATGCTGAGTGCTCATATTACACTGTCATTCAACTACATTGTAGTTGAATGACAGTTTTATTTTTTAATTTTTTATTATAATTTCAGGTTTTACTGTGCCAATTATAATTTAATTATACACATCTCTTAACCTTGCATCACAAGCTGAATTTTTTCAATGTTTGAATTTCCATTTCCCTTTGATTTCACTAATTAGTCTGGCGTGAGGCAGGATAGTAACATACTATCTCTGTTGTTCAAAAAGATTTGTGTAAAGGAACAAAAGATATTCATGTAGGACAGAGCAGATATGTAGATAAGTAATCAAGCAGATTTGCTTGATTACTTAAGTAGTTACTTGTTGTGAAGCTCCTGTCAGTTACTTAGTTAATGAAAAAAAAACGGTTATACTGGTCTGTTTTTCAGATGTTGTTGTGTAAATGGGACACTATTGCCACAAAGTCATAATAAGTCATTAATGACCTGCACAAGGACTGAAAAAACGAAAACCTCCACTGCTATAGCCTTTTTATTGTACATAATAGATCACAAAGAGACTATTTTTAACGTTTAATATGTTATCTTGTCTTATAAAACTAAATTGTACCGTATATTCTGACACATGGCACAAAGAAGTCAAGCTACGAGCTAAGAAACCTTCAGAAACCTCCTAATGTCAATTACATTTTCACCAAATGTTTAAAGTATTCTCAAAGTTAACATATCAATCCTTCAGCTATCATAATATTATATTTTATTCCACCAGATATCAACGAAAGTATCCATACAATCACATTGGGAGAACTTTGTGCCAACCTCCAACAGTGGTTGCATCTGAGACGCAGTATTTCTATGTGGATGTGTCGACTTTATCAAGCCAAGGCACAAACTTCCTGCTCCGTGTCAGCCGCGTGGAGCACTTCACACTGCAGTCAGTATTCTACATGTGTCCAGGGCTTCACTACCTTTAGACACAATAGCATTTAAGCCAGAGACACAATAATAACACATATTTTACCTCTACAGTCTATTCATTTCACTTTGTTGTCAATGTTTTAAGCTTGATGTTTTTAGAGAGAATATGATACGACACTGGTGGTTGCATTGTTTGGAGGAATAGAACATGTGATTCCTTTTCGTTTGGTCTCTATTTTCACATAGTTTGATGAATACTTAAGTTGAGTGGGTACGGAAAATAATCCAAACATCTCTGATTCTTAACATGCAACTTCATACAAAACATTATTTTTAATGATGGTGCTTTTACATTTGTGTATATTATTCATCATAGGACAGACAAGAAGTTCAGCTTTACAGCCTCTCCTTCACAGCCTCAGGTAAACATACGTCCATCATAAACTAAAAATGTGATTGTGCAAACATCCTTTTGTGATTCTCATATACAGTAAGTAAAAGCAGAAAGTTATTAGTGATGATGGCCAGTTACTATGCCAGTCATTTTTGTTTGTAACTTTCATCTTTTTTATTTTGCTCAATACTCATTTGACCATGTGAGAAACTTGAATTGCTCAAGATAAGGGGATATTGCAAGATTCTTAAAACCACCTCATTTTGCAATCACATTGAACTTTGAACATGTGAAAAACAAGATAATTTCTTGTTTATTTTTCATTAAATTACTTATTGAAGTATTTTTTTAATCTACATTTGACTCCTAACTATAATTACTGCCCTACAGTATTTCAAGTATGTTTTTCCGGAGGGAGTGGACACTGTTATTGTCAAAGTCAACGCTGACATGAGCTTCCCTTGCTCCGTCATGTCCATCCAAGACATTCTGGTAAAGCTATTGTTACCCCTCCCTTTTGTTTCTCTCCCTACAATGTCCTGAAGTGGCCTCTCACACCGTGGTCATCATGAAGTAACAGTGTGACACCACAAGGGGGCTTTTCAATTTACATGGATTTTCTTTTTTTTTAAACATTATTTTTTTTCTTTTTTTTTGCAGTGCCCAGTATATGATCTTGACAACAATGTGGCCTTCATTGGGATTTACCAGACTATGACCACAAAGGGTGCCATTACAGTACAGGTACAATTTATTTTTATTAAAATTTTTACATTGAGATAAAATCCTTTTCAGCAGATGTTGAAACGGGTACCTGTTTTAAGGAAGACATATTGTACTTCAACAGAACAAATAAGGGTGATTACTCAACATGATGCTATCATACCAATAGGCTAATGTAGTTAGAAGGGGATTCTTCATTCAGAAAGTTTGGAGCAATGGCGACTTGACTGTGGGAGAAATGAAATTACTTGGATTAACTCTAAATTCCTTACTCAATAAAGATTGAGTAGGGGAATATAAAGAAAATATATATATATATATATTTTTAAATTCATGGCTTGGCATAATTTATCACCTTGAAAAAACCTGTATTCCTCCGTCCTCAGGACAACCTTTGTTAAATATATACATCATTTGGAGTGCAGTTCTAGACTAGATATACCTGCATCCACCTTTCTGGAGGAAAGGGGACAACAAGGGAAGAGTGAACATTGAGCAATTGTCTTCTTTCAGCGAAAGGATTTCCCCAGTAACAGCTTCTATGTGGTGATGGTGGTAAAAACTGAGGACGAAGCGTGCGGCGGCCCCCTGCGCTACTACCCTCTCAGTCCAGACCAGCTTATCGACGCCGGGAATCGAACCAAGAGGTTGGACGTTGTGGTGACTCCAGCTATCAAAAGTGAGGCTTGGTCAGATTAATTTAGGGATGTGAGCATTTTTTTCTACCTGCAATATGGATCTGTAATTGATACTATAATCAAGACAAACGTCAACACAAAAAACATACAATTACCAAATTGGCAGTGCAAAAGGAATCTATGAATTAGATTTTTCCATAGCATTAAGTTTGGTGGTTTTGGGACTAATCATTTCTTGCTCTGTTCGTCCTAAAGACTAAAGTCACTGAAGTACAAACATTCCAATTCCTATTGCCTGTTGTATTGAAATTACTTTCTTTTTCACAGCTGAAATCTATGTATTTGGGATGCTGTTCTGTCTGGGGATCTTCCTGTCTTTCTACGTTCTCATTTTGATTGTTGCCTGTGTTTACAACAGACGGTAGGTTATTTCTCCCTTTATAAAATACAATAAATGACCACAGAAATTTTTTAAGCAGCCCCAGCACCAGCCACTTTAAACTATTTTTTTATTCCTTCTTTCTTTTCACAGAGCAAAGAAGGTTTTCCTTGAGCCTCCGGACATGTCGCCTGCTGAGACGGGTATATAAGGATTTTGACTCGCCATTTATTTTATTGCATACATTTCCAATTTAATATTCCCTTAAACTAAACGCTTATGAATTATTTTTTGGTTTTTGTAGTCCACACTGAAATTCTTTCTCTTTTGTTAATGCTTCAGCCTCCCTGCTTGGGAAGAATGGAGATGGTATTACATCACTGTTATTCTCATTTCAAACCATATTGACTATGTCTGTCTTGCATGTACCTACTCCCCATAACGGCGCAAACACCTCTGTACATTCATACAGAAATGTAATTACCTTCAAACAGTAGTAGTGTAGACTCATTTGTAAATACAATATTAACAGTGAAGAACCATCTGTATGAATGAACAATTTGGTCACTGAAGTTGTAAAAATCATTCATCACTATAGGGTTAGAAAATTCCACTCCATTCCATTTTCTTCTGCTTCATCCGTTGCCGAGTAGTGGGCATTTGCAATCTGTATTAAAAAATACAGATAGAAAATTTAAAAGATGAATTCCTTAATGGGTAAAAATGAACCACCACAGTAATTAAAAGTAGGGTTACATCAAATTAGGGTCTAAGGATCTAAACGAACCAGGGCTGGTCAAGTTTGTAAATATCAGCATTTACCTTAAAAAAAAAACTAAATTATGTTTTTTTTTTATCACTGTGGTAGGTTAATTTTTCCAGAGGATGGTGCAAGGGTTAAACAGTTAAAACTACTGCATTGTGTTTCTTGATGTAGTTTTCCTTGCAGCATTTGGTCTTATAATTGTATTGCCTTCACCAAAATGGACTGACTGCCTCTGCACATCTTAAACCTTTCAAACCTTTCTTATAACTCTCCCCATTTGTGTCCTATTGCATTATTCTTTGTACGTGTTTGAATAGAGTGATGTACTTGCTTCTGTCTGAGTTGCAACTGTCCTTTTTTTCCCCAATTAAGGCAAGATGGCAGCCTCGGCCTACGAATATGGATCCTTTGGTAAGTTTTCATTGAGGCCCTGATGTTCTGTAATGGGGTAGTAACTATAGAAAAGGGTGTGAAAAATGTGATAAACAAGTCTATGCAGATGGAAGAAATATTCAGCTGTTTTTATTTTGGGGGAGACATTTGATGGCAGCATTAGTTTGTGTTTGGAGTGAATGAATAATGATATGTGAAGCGTCCAAAAAAGTGCTATACAAAACCGATTTTTTTATTATTATTATTATTAATAAATGTAATTTTAGCCATTCCTTCCATCTGTTATGAATGCGTTGTTTAATATGTTGCTGATCTGATATTTTTATTTAGAAAATGCACCATCCAGTAATAATTTGAAGTAATTCATCATCAAAACTACTTTGTCTAACCATTTTTTTGATTCTTTGTACACAATCTAGCGGACAACGGCAGCACGGTCAGCTCAGAGGCCGTCACTGACAGCGCCACATCAACAGACAACTACGGTTACATAGGTACGGAATGAAATGGTCACAATTAAGAAAAAAAACATTTAAAATAACAATTCTCCACAGTTTCTCTTTCTGTGACGTGATGCAGCTTTCCACACAGCTGCTTTCCTTTCACTAGTTGTCTGTGTTTTTGCTCATCAGGACAGGAGCCTTTCAAACGTCGGCCATTCCTCAATCACGTTCACCACTTTGCCATCCGCATTGGTGACACTGCCGCCAAAATGGGCAACAATCATTGTCAAAATTTCACCAAACCAATCAGCACTTTGAAATCAATAAAGAATCTAGGAGAGTTCAATGAGGGTCGAGTAAAAATTGGGAAATGATTCAAATAATTATTCTCAAAACATTCACGGTAAAATATACAATGACACTACCAAAAAAGTTACAGTAATACATTCATTATTGCCTGGATTAAGTTTTCTTGCTTTAAGTGTGTTTATTTAATTATTGTTTAATTATTATTGCCAATGGAACAAGCAACAAATTCAAATGTTTAAGTGAGAGAAAATATTTGTATTATTATTTACTATTTCAAAGTGATTGTGCATACGATTTCATAAAAGATAAACTAATTAAATGTGTAATTATTGCACCCAAAAAGATTTTTTTTCATTGATCCTTTCTCAAACATAACATGAGATTTAGATTTATTCGAGCTCACACATTTACAATGTCTTTTAAACATGTACATGCATTGTTATATTTACATTAAACAGAAATGTATGTGAGTCATAATACATAACATATGCCAAAAACGTTATACACAGCTCGAAAAGGGAGTGAGAAGAAGTAAAGAAATGAACATGTAACAGATTTAATTTTAATGGAGAATGCTCCAAAGTTACATTATCTATATCCACCATCTCATATTGAAACTAGGAATCTTACACTGTGCAGATGCAAGTAAAACAAGAGATACTTTGCTTGTTCCTTTGTTTTAAGACAAAATAAACTTGGTCAAGATATTATTAAAACGTCCAGTAATATTCAGCCTTTGTCTAATTTCAAAGATGGCCAAACTGACTGAAATTGTAGCCATTTTTCTTGTAAATTCCTGTTTCTGTTCTGATGTGTTGTGTCTGGATAGAGCGCTCACTGGACAGCGTGGGCCGCAGCCGTCAGGAGTCACTCAGCTCCGTGGAGGAAGACGACTACGACACTTTGGACGACATCGAGTCAGATAAAAACATCGTCCGCACAAAGGTCCGCACAAACTTTTGGTTTTCAAACGAAAATTCCTAAATCCCTAAAATCTTTGTTAAAGTTGTTATTAATATGCTGCCAAAAAGAGTTCAAATGATGGGAATTCTGGACATTTTGACTTTGTGACATTTTGAAGGGGGTTTCCTTTGTAATGGAAAAATATGTATTTTATGACTTTAATTTAGTTAAATATTGCTTCTTATTACAATGCTTTTTGTGTTTTTATAGAAATATCTGTGTGTGTCTGATCTGGCGCGGAAAGACAAGCGGATTCTCAGCAAGAAATATCAGATTTATTTTTGGTAAGTTCTTAAAGTCACATTTACATACAGTATAATTTTAACTTTTGGGAAATAAATTTGATATGAACTTTCAATTGATATCCGCAGGAACATTGCCACTATTGCGGTCTTTTATGCTTTGCCTGTGATCCAGCTGGTCATCACTTATCAAACGGTAAGGCCTTTTCAACTGCAAATCCAGCACGATGACAGTAGAAAAAAAACACTTCTGAATGCGTTTTTTTATTTAGGTTGTAAATGTAACAGGAAACCAAGACATCTGCTACTATAACTTCCTGTGTGCACATCCACTCGGAGCTCTGAGGTGATCAAATCGAAAGCAACTTAAAGGAATAGTTCACCGTTTTTACATACTGACATATGTTCTTACCTTACCTTAGACTAGTTAATATGTACCTGTCTGGTCTTAGTCCGTGCGCTCTGTCATGCAAACGGAGCAAAAACGGGAGCACAAACGCAGCCTCCTCTGTATACTGTATAGTACCCAAAAGGTAGCTCCCGCTAGAAGCTACCAAACTCTTCCAAGTGTTCCCTATTAAATGTATATAGTTACGTGACGTGTTACACTGCAAAGTATAGTAACACAGAAATGTAACTGTCGATTTTCTCAGCGGATAAAACGGGTACTATATTGTGAGGCGTAGTAATCTGAGGAGCGCTACGTCCGCGCACTAACTTCTCTCCGGAGACTTCTCTCTTGCTCGCTTCCGTCAATAGAAGCAGCGAGACTTGATGCTGCCTCAACTGTCCTCAAACTAGCTATCCGATAAGTCTCTGCTACTACTGTGTGTACTACAAGTCACGCTGCTTCTATTGACGGAAGTGAGCGAGAGAGAAGTCTCCGGAGAGAAGTTAGTGCGCGGACGTAGCGCTCCTCAGATTATTACCTCTGTTTTCACTTTTCTATTTGAAAAAGTTGATCTGAAGCTGTGACAGGCCAAAAATACATGAATGTGAATACTATAGTGATACCAAACTGTTTTGAGGGCTATGAACTAGTTACATAACTGTTATTACATGTTTGTGGTTTCTAGGTTAGGTACTCCAGCTTCGATTGAAATGACATATTAAAGCTTGTCATATTTATGTTATGTGTATAATTATGTTTTCATTGTACAGCTCTTTCAACAACATCTTAAGTAATCTAGGATACGTGTTGCTTGGCCTCCTCTTCCTCCTCATTGTTCTGAAAAGAGACATTATGCACAATCGAGCTCTGGTGCGCAATGAAATCAATGCTTTGGTGAGAAACATCTGTGTTTATAAATGATTACAATATTTGTATTTATTTTATTGTATTCTAACTTTGATGAATGGGCCTTGCAGGAGTGTGGAATCCCTAAACACTTTGGTCTGTTTTACGCCATGGGGACCGCGCTCATGATGGAGGGTCTGCTCAGCGCCTGCTACCATGTGTGCCCCAATTACACCAACTTCCAGTTTGGTAAGAACCATCATATGAAAACTGTATTTACTTCTACAGAATATAGAATAGAATATCTCCTTAATTATGATCTATTTAATAAAATTGAGATATGTTGGTAAGTTATATTAGTGCTAAAACATCACTTTGTCTATTACTTTATTTTTAAATTTAGCAATTTTGCTCACGTCTGATCCAACTTTACAATGCACATAGTTTTTCATATTCAATTTAAATCAATTTATTTTTGTATAGGCCTAAATCACAACAGCAGTTGTCTCGGAGGACTTCCTCAACCACAGCTCAGAGATTCAAAGAGTTTGAACAGAGGAAATGCAATAATAACAAATGCATAAGAGCCATTGGTCCATATGGAGGTGGATGACCAATGTGCATTCTCTTCAGTTCTTTCAAGCAGCAAAAGTGTATACTGTTCGCTCTTTAAATACTTCATGAACAATTTCAATGTTTCCAAACCAAATCCTTAATCTTTGCTATTATAATTTTATTTTATATTGCATAAGGAAAACATAAATAGGGTTAGGGTAGAAGTGTGAGGTTTTACTGTTGGGCTTCAGGGGAGGGCCTCGGAAGACTTTGGGAACAGCTGTTAAAGAGAATCACCCTATTGCTTATTAGTTTTGTTCCTAGCCTGTTTAGTAGATGTTTTCCCCTGTGTTTTCAGACACTTCGTTCATGTACATGATCGCGGGGCTGTGTATGCTGAAGCTGTATCAGAAGAGGCACCCGGACATCAACGCCAGCGCCTACTCCGCATACGCCTGCCTCGCTGGCGTCATCTTCTTCTCAGTGCTCGGAGTGGTCAGTTCACAGTTCACACTAAGTAATTCACCATGAAATTGGATAATCATAAACAAATATACACATTTTTTTCATTTTTAGGTGTTTGGGAAAGGCAACATGGTGTTCTGGATTGTGTTTTCTGTTATCCACATTTTGGCCACTCTCCTCTTGAGTACCCAGCTCTACTACATGGGCAGATGGAGGCTAGGTACAGACCAAATATTCAAGTATATCATTGTTTTCTGTGTGCTAAAAATCATTCAATAATTTATAAATCTCACTTTGCTTGTAATAAGTTTATATCATTAGTTTCACATTGTAATTTAAAGTAAATGGACTTTTGAACAATATTCTAATTTGTATAGTGTCTTATGTAAACCATGTAACATCAGAACTGTGCTTTTTAGTTTAGAATAACAGAATATTGTCCATTTAATGATGATTCATCATGTTTGGTTTTAGACTCCGGAGTTCTACGGCGAGTGGTGTACATTATTTACACCGACTGTATCCGACAGTGCAGCGGCCCCATGTACATTGTAAGTCTTATGTCGAAATCCACCTTTTTTCAGCAGTATGACCTACAGTAGTGTAATTGTCTATTTTTTTTGTAGGATCGAATGGTTTTGCTTGTTTTGGGAAACATAGTCAACTGGTCTCTGTAAGTTATGTTCTTTTTCATAAACGTTTCTAACTTTTTAAACATGGCCGAGACTGTACTCTCTCTTTATTCTCTCACGACAGAGCTGCTTATGGACTCATTAAGAGACCAAATGACTTTGCCTCGTATCTTTTGGCCATTGCCATCTGTAACTTGCTGCTGTATTTTGCTTTTTACATCATCATGAAGGTAAGAAGTTTTTTCATATGACTCTTTTTCATCTATGTTTGTCTGTAAACATGTTGTAATAACATTTGTATTTTTGGTGTATTTTTAGTTGCGCAGTGGAGAGAGGATCAAGTGTGTGCCCCTCATCTGTATTGTCTTCACAGCCGTCGTCTGGGGATTTGCTTTGTACTTTTTCTTTCAGGGTCTCAGCACTTGGCAGGTCAGTGTCAACCTTCAACAATTCCATACATGCATCAGAAGATTGTAGGATAGGATTTTGTCATAGTTCCCCCATATACTACCTCACAATAAGTAAAATATATAAAAGATATTTGAAAAGGTTCATTAAGAGAAATGTCTTTGCATTTTCAACTTGTTCCTGTACAACAAACTAGTGTATTTCAATCAATAAATGTAGCATAATCAATTAATCAATGTCATAATATTTTAATTTTTTTGTAATTCAGAAAACTCCAGCAGAGTCTCGTGAACATAATCGAGAGTGTATCCTGCTGTCGTTCTTTGACGATCATGACATCTGGCACTTTCTCTCCTCCATCGCCATGTTTGGATCATTTCTGGTATGAACTGTTAAAATTTTGCTTTATCATTATAGATTTGACATTTTAACCCTCTCAGGGCCCAATTCAATTGGAATGACAGTAAAGGTCTAACATTTGGGGAAAATTACAATCCTGAATTCTTTTTTTTGAGAGAAAGAACTTCACAGACGATGCATTCTGGGATGTTGCAGATTTGCAACATTGGTCTGCTGTGGTGAATAGAGCTGACCCGAGGAAAACCCTGAAGGAGATATAATCGACCAAGTGACATGTACTATCTATGTATATCTTTCATTTTATGCAGTTTTGGTTTCAAATTATGGAGGTTGGTAGTGATACTGACTTGAAATTGATGCCTTAAAATCTGTTTTGGTGAGATTTAGGAGACTGACATTTTGGAAGTGAGACTGCTCTGCCCCCGGGTGAGCAGGCAGAAAAACTGCGTTGCTAAACCTCAACTAGTGGTAACTTCTGAGTAAAAAGGGGTTTTAAAAAATGGTTGTGGAGTAGTTGGGTAATAATAAATATAGTTGTTGCAAATCTGCAGGACCTGCCTGGAGAGGGTTAAGGCTCATTATTTATATAGAAAAACAAACACATTTACTTCTAAGCTATAGCTGAGGTACATCACTTTCAAACCACACAAAAATCCATCTAACTAGTAATTTACACTCAAGAGTTCTATCACTCGTTTTCATGATGGCTCTCTGAGTTAGTTTCATACTTCTGAGAGTTGTTGTGTTAACTCTCGACAATCAGTAATTATGTCCCCTACTGCCCTTGAAAACAAATACAGGGTAGTTCTTGTTTGTTGGGTTAATCATAATAAAGAATTCAACCTTTAGAGTATTATCCATTGTGTTCATGTGATAAATTGTATTACAAGTTTCTTCTCTTTTCCCTTGTAGGTTCTGCTGACAATGGACGACGACCTTGATGCTGTCCAAAGAGACAAGATTTATGTTTTCTGAAGTGGCCTCAACGCTTTGCCTTACACTGTTCAGCCCATCTGTGTCGTGTCTACTACAAACACAGCCAGGACCTCCTCTCTTTCTCTTGTCGTAAATTAAAGTACGGACACTTGGTGCCAACGCAAAACTTGTATTAAATGATGCTGTGAACTATCTGTCCAATCGCTGCCATCTGGTTTCATAAGTGTTTACTTGATGCTGACAATGTTGACAAAAATCTAGCCTGGCTTAACTTATTTGATACCAGCTCTATTATGGAAAGCCCTTGCTTTTGGGAGTGAATTTATATGCTGTTTATATTTAATTAATGTTTCTATATCAAAATAAGAGTCCTTTTGTCCATTAACCTGTTTTGTCTGAGGCCTTGAAAACACAGTACCTACTTTCATATGGTCAGTCTACAAACTATCCGTCCGATGTTGATGATTGTACTCTTTAAACTGCCCTCGAGCCCTGACTGCAGAGGTGCTCTTTGCACAGTACTGTAAATGTCGTTGAGCAGTTACTGAATAAAGGTTTTGTTTTTCAGACTTTTGTTCATGTGTTTGTACAAGTAAATGTATTTATGTACTCCAGGGTAAAATGCATACCTGGTTTAGGAGGCTCATATCTCTTGAACTTGTTTTCCATAAAAATCATTTTTTTAGGAATGTAAAAGGAAATATTCTTTATTCAACTATTCTTATTACCATGGTCTTTAGATAGTCCAACCCGTGAACCTTAACCACCTCTTCTGGTGATTCCGAACACAATTATTAGACTATAGTATAAATGGTATAACATGGGATATGTCAGTTTCATCTTTGAAAACCAAGTCAAACAGTTAGCGACACATTTTGTACTGTTACATTCACATCATACAAAGTCAGGTGCCCCCAACTCATCCATGATCACCCATCCAAATATAGACTCAAATCACTCAATGTGAGAATGGAGTGATACGCGTCAATATTTACAATCCCCCTGACTAACGTTTTTAATATAAACCTAAAATGATTGTCTGACTTCCAATCATCTCCACTTTACTTATCTAGCACATTTGATGAGTTCCAAGGTGTTGCTCAGAGACAATACATATTTAAACGTACAAGTCTGTAAGATCATAAAAATAAAGTAAGGGGGAAACGCACTTCCCTTTGTAAACCGCACGTTACGTCACGTCACGTCACGTCACGTCACGAGCTGGCGTAATCAATTGTCCAGGTGCGAGCGCAGGTGGACCGTCTGGGTTCGCACCTTGTTTACTTAATTAAACTAAATTATATTTGCGGGAACATGAAAACCCCGGAGAAAGAATCCATGGGAGATATCTTGAAGCGTTTAACGGGAGACTCCGCTTTGCCGGTTTACTGCCACATAGAAAAGTACCGGCGCGGGAAAGACGGTGTGTACTCGGTGGCAGAGGACTTCATTGAAACCGTGAAAAAGCGAGAAATGGTGAACGCGAAAGAGCGACTCAGGATTAGAAACCTCAACACCATGTTTTCGCAGCTGAAGAGGATGGTTCCCCTCATGCGGCCCGACAGAAAGCCCAGTAAAGTGGACACATTACGGGCGGCGGCAGAGTACATCCGGCTCCTTGTGGCTGTTCTGCAGGACACTGATGGAGACATGGGCCGCGGGACTGATTATCTGAAGAATGCGATCTCCTACGGGCAGAGTGAAGCCCTGAACAACGATCTCTGGAGGGTGGAGGATTTCTTTAACTTGCCTGATGAGCCCATAGAACAGGAGGCGACGATGGAGTTGGCCCCGCAGAGTGGAGCCGAGGGTGGAGACATGAGGCTGGTCCTTCAGCACTGCGCCTACCAGTTCATCATCCAAGTGACACCCGAGCAACAAGTCACTTGTCCGGATCTAGAGGCCGAGCTCACCGCCACCTCACCCAGCTGAGGTGCACAAGCGCCTGGACCAATCACTCTTTTCGTCGTTTCGTATTCTTTAACTTGATTCAAACTTGTAGTAAATGCCCCTGTGTGGCTTGAATAGTTTTGTTCAGCTTGCAGTCTAAGCATGTATGGAATATTGAGTGAATAAAAAGAATGGCATATTTTTCACAAGATCTAAAAAAAGGAAGAAAAAAAAAGTTGCAATTTTGATTTGATTTTACTGCTAGAGAAACGTAGCAGTAAAATGTAACGACATTTACAAGTGATGCATTAGTTTACTATTTCATTTGGTTTTTAAGTTGGAACATTTGTAGATTACAAGACTACTTGAATGAACAGTATTTATAAGGACTTTTTGAGCTTGGTTAGTAACTAAATACCCATTTGAAACTGCAGAAATAATTTATAGGTCTGGGACTGTATATACATGTACTTTTGGGGGAATAAAAATGTGTATTCCATTTGCTGTGTTTGGGGAGGGATTCATTTCATTTGATATCTAATACAAAAGACTGCATAAATGGAATTGAGAAAAATGGATTGCATTGCATTAGCCTTGTTCTATTGTTAATTATACTATATATATTTACACCAAATTTGATACGCAGCCCGGCAACTAACATTGGGATTTCAAATCACACAAAATGGAGCTAAATAAAATCAATCCAGCTAGTTCCTCACTAAACGGTTTTTAATTTTAACATCACTATGCTCTTTTGGGACATTATATTTGTATGTAAAGTTCTCCTGTGAGATAAATAAAGCATATCTCTCTTTTTTTTTTTTACATAGTTAGGTACTTAAGCTTTGACATGCAGGCTTATCACAGAATTTCTTTATTTCTTAAAACCACACTTTTGAACATGTTCAAACATTTATTTGAAAAAAATTATGTACAAAATCAGATATAAAAAATCAAGATTGTACAAAATCTTTTACCGTCTGTAAATAAATAGATTTCAGGATCACTGTTACACAAGCAACATTGGCCTTTCTTTTGCAGCAACATAACAAGATTGTAACAGCGCTTTGCATTGAAATGTTAAAACCACAAAAATACTAATAACATGTCACTGATATTACCAAAATATTATTTTTTAAACCTGACGATTGTCAACCATTTTTAAAAACTACACCACAGTCTAAACATATGACCAGGTCTGGCTCAAAGCACATGTAAACTATATTTAAAGTTAATAAATTGTAGATAAGTCAATAAAGTAAATATTTCAGCAAAAATGTAAACATCAGGATGTAACTACAGAAAATCATAAGATACAGACTCTTCATTTGAAGATTACGCTGAAAAACATATTCAAGTTAAAAATACTTGAATCACAAACATGTTTTCTTCGCTTGTTGTGGAGCTTTGACTAAGAACAAATATTTTTCAATGGAACAAGTTAGTTCTGTAGCACATTCTACATTCTGTAGCAATGTACTAATTATTCTGAGTGCACAGTTCAAGTTTCACAATATTGTTTCACAAACATATTTTTGTTCCATTTCACATAAGTCAAAACTGATTGCTTCAAGAATAAAAAGTTGGTGTAATTCTTATTCTATTTTATAAGATGTGTTTTAGCAGTGTACAGAGCGTTTCTCAAACAGTGGTACATTTCTTTTTTCAGAATTTGCCTAAATTAGAGCATTTCAGACACAATATGTTGTTGGATCTATCATACTGTAGTATAACTATTGTAACATATTTTTTTCAGTTAGTTAAAGGTGATGTCCTCCCCTTTGAATTGCATTAAAAAAGAACAGGGACCATTTGACCCTGTAATATAATCTGAATTACTGGTCAGTGTTATTCATAATAAACATATTTAAAACAATTATTCTTGGAATAAGCATCACCAGTACAATTTTCTGGAGGAGAATAGTCAATCAAGGATTTGAATTATTTGATTGCGTCCAATCAGGAACCTGTGGGGGCGGGTCTAACTGTTGCTTTCGTTACGTCAATAATGGAAAACGCGTATCTCGTTGTTGTCGTCTAAACCAAGTTGAATCAGTCCGCCGTTGGTCGCAGGTCGATATCGAGTCAACAAAGGTCTGAGCAAAAGAGTCAAGGCCCAAGAGGTGTAGAAGAAATTAACTAAATGTAGATTTTTAGGTTCGTAAAGCGGAGCCCTAATAGTGTGCAAAATCAACTCACAACTGAATAAAATGTAAAGCAGTATTTATATGTTAAAACCTGCAAAAGATCTGAGCCATTGTGATATTTTACCTAATTTCTCCTAAAATTCCTTCAAAACAAAAATACAAAAATGGAAAATGCAATGAGAATCTCTAGGATATGGACAATTGATGAATGTCCATAAGATAGATAAGATTGATGTCTGATGAAGGGTAGTGACCCGAAACGTCACATTTTGTGGTGATTATTAAAATCTCCTGGGAGCAAAAGCTGTCCAAAGTCATCTCCATTTCTTTCATTCATTTATTTTCGAATACCTCAGAATTTGATGTGTGCGTCAATCTCGCTTTTGCAAAAGATAGATTCTCTCTTCCCCCCCTTTACTGAATTGTCAGTTTTATTTACAATTGAATTATTACATTTTATTGTATTCTACCAGTAATAAAGAGTTTGTCTAATTATTCTATTGCATCCAAAAACATCCTTGATAGATTTTAAATGGAGTCCTCGGAATCATTGGAAAATGTTTATATTTCATGTTTCTTGGGTTTTATTAGTTGTTTCTAGTCAAAAATTACATTTTTATTTGGCTTTTCTCACCATCATGCCCCTATGTGCAAGACAGTGATACAGTAATTGATCCGTTTTGAGATGATACTGTAAAACTAAAAAACTAGAAAATAGGCGTTCAAATTGATCAGTACATGACTTTGTGGGAAGGATACATGCTGGTGTCTTTGCGTCGCACTTCGAGCCAGCGCTTGTTGCTGTCGATGAGGTCCTGAATTCTGTGTCCATCTGTGCCGCTCTGTCTGTGGGACGAGCTCCAGCTGCTCTGACTACAACAAACAAACATTAAACCACCTAAAATACTACTGTATGAGTGACACGAAGGTGCAGTTTATTACCTGAGAGGGGAGGAGTAGGGGCGTCGAGAGACTGTCTGCCCCATTGCTGCTTCTGAAATCATAAACCACAAAAAGGAAGAATTTCACCGTCACAGATTGAGTTTATGCTGATATTAAAAATCAGTCTGTCAAATATACGATAACTTAAGACAGAGATCATACCAGAACAATATTTAATGACACAATCTCTCAAAATGAAGGTCCTTGGAAGTTTTCAAGGCGTTAAATGAAGCTATTTAATGTTTAACCTACCCTACCCTACCCTGATTAATGAATAATTGTTTATGAGACTAGACTGTAATTGTAAGAATTGGTCCCAAGAGAGTGTTTCATTAGATCAAACTAATGATAATGATTTGGATAAAACTAATGAAAAACACCCTTTATAAAATAAAAATAAAAAGATTTGTTACCAGGGAATATCTGCCTCCATCGACTGTTGATGAGGTCATCTGAGGGCTTTAGTCCAGTGTTGAGAGTGGAGCTGAACATTGGTGGCGGCGGTGCCCAGTTTCTGGACGTCTGAGAACGCGAGGCATGGCTGAAGTCCAATCCGGGCTGAGGTAGAGTGAAGCTGGACGGGTTTGGTCTTTGTGCTAAAGAGCCTAGTACAGAGTTGAGCTGTCCAGAGACCTGCTGCAGACTCTCCACAAGCTCTTGAACTCTGTGTGGAACTGAGGGCTGATCTGAGAAGGAATATGTACATGTTATTATACTGCTAGGTTTTCTATCACTCTACACAGCAGTTACCTCTGCTGAAAGGTGGGTCCACGGTGCTGCTCCCATCTGAATCACTCAGATCAAAAGTCACCGTTCTCTCTGGCATCTGTAGAAAACCATTTTAATTTTAACTATTAAAAAAAGGTAAGTAATACATACATAAATACATATATACATACATTCATAGTAATAGTATAAATATTACAAGTTGAGACTGATCATTTAGTTACAGGTGAGCATATGTCTCATTAGTCACTTTGAATTCCCTTTAACATTACATAAACAGTTGCTCTCTCCACAGATCTTTACCTGCTGGAGAGTTTGCCGGAGGTCCTCTGTCAGAGCCGCCTCTCGCTCTACCAGCTTCCTGCTCTCTCTCTCCAGAAAGGCCTTGGTTTTATGAATGGAGCTGCTGTGTGAAGGGATGTGCGTCTTTGCTCTGTACACATGAAAACAGAGTTTTCCATCATCATCATTTCATATCTCAGGTAATGCGTTTTTGTTACAAGTTGCATAGCAACTAATGGATTCTGAATAGTGTTGTTGTAATAGTGCAAATGGGCAAAATAATGAAATATTTTATAAAACACTGAATAATTTCTGCTGTTGCATCATGTAATAATTATCTATTAACACAAATTAATCAATTTGACTGAGGCAAAACTACGGTAGATTAGGCGCCACCTGTATGTGAAAGCCTGAAGTGAATGAATAATGAGATGTGAAGCGTCTTTGTCAGTCTAAAAAGCACTATATGAGGAAGCCGAATTTTTATTATTATTATTATTATTATGCATTATTATCATGATTTATTTCCGTGATTAATGTGTGGTCTTACTCGTAGAGGCGGCTGTGGCTGTCAGCTGCAGGAGACAGTGGAGGGTCGAGCTCTTCCACCAGTAGAGGGGGCTCTTCCACAGAATCAGCAGCATCTGAGGCCTTTGAGTCTGCTTTGGGGTCCAGGTTGGGAGCACTTGCCTCTGCAGCTCCAAAATCACGGCTTAAAAAAAAGATTTCAGAAACATACCCTGAAATAAAGTCACTTTATGTTCTTCAAAATAATGGTACATTCCTCATCTGTCCTGTGGCAGACCCCCTTTTTGGATATTTATTCAGTTTGTCATTAACTTTCACATGTTGAAATGTTACATATGTGAGGAGAGGCGAGTCTTCTCACTGTAAAAATAATTTTGTTAGGCACTAAAATCATAATTGAGCAATGTATATGATTATTTAACCAAACTGAGTGACATTCCAAGCAAAGCAATAACTTTTCCATGACAAGTAGCAGATATAACTTTACAAAGAGTGGGCCACCACATGGACAGTTGAGGAATGCGCCTTTCAACGGTCAACATCTCTCTTACACAACTTATATCAATCAAGAAAGACTTGAATGGCATTATGTCAAAACAATCACAATCTGAGTTAGGTTTTTTATTAGATTATTATTTATTTATTAGATAAATGTATATTTTTGTTAATTTGTGTGAATGATTTGCCACATGCCCACCTGCCCCGGAGGCTGAGGCGCTCACACCTCTCCTGAAGCAGCTGGACCTTGGACTCCAGCCGCTGCTGCTCCTCGTGGCTCCTCCTCTGCTCCGCTCGGACTCTGGCCTCTGCGTCTCGTGCGACTCTCATCAGCTCCTGCGCCTCACGCTTCTCCTCGCGCTCCAGCTGCAGCTCCTGCTTCAGGACGTCGCGCTCATGGACCAGACGAGGCAGAGACTGAGCATAAACACAAGTCTTTATGAAGGATTTGTTCAGCTGGACTTTTGTGAGTCTCCCTGAGGCTCTCAAGTTCCCCCAACATTGAAACATGGACAGATACTAATTTAATTAATGTAAATACAGATGAAAGATTTTAATTTGGCAACCACTATTTCCATTCTATCAAAGATGTTAATGTCGGGAGCAGGCTTGGCACAGTGGATTCAGGCTTTTTACCAACTCAGCCACAGTCGCACAGACATCTTTCTGGCTACAAAATCTTATTCCACAGATTTCTCGTACAAAGAATGTGTTCTTCAAACTTTTTCAAATCGTTACATTGGGCCTCATTCATGACATACTGTCTTGGTTACCTCTATACATTTGTCCACTTCCTGTCCTTCTGCCTCTAAACTTTTCCTCTTTCTGTTCAAATCTTCTTCCTAAAAAAAAAAATGGAATAATTGATGAAGTTGTTTTAATGAATTGTTTTGATATTTTGCCATGATGTCATTACCTGTGACTGCAGCGCAGCCTCCTGACTCTGGAGTCGGCTCGAGCGTAGCTCCATCTCATTCGACAAATCTCTAAGTTCTTTTTCCTGAAAACACAATAATTCAGCCTTACTTTATATGTAATCGTAGTTTTATTTCATCCCTCATGACCGCCAGAGGTTAGTGCACAGCACTGAATGATCCCTTCGCACATGCACAGGGATCATTCAGTGCTATACCGCCCTCTGGCGGTCATCCGGGATTCATAGAGCTGTGGTTACATACGTAACCTTTGTTCTGTCACAAACAAGTAAGAGAAGTCCCTTATGATTTTACCTTGCGTATGTTTTCCAACCGTAGTTTTTCAACCTGAAAGTTGTGTTGTATTTTGATTTTCTCCAGCTGAAGTGCGTGAGACGCCTCGAGCTGCTGCAATTCCTCTTTCAGTCGGATTATCATACGCTCTCTCTCAATGCTCTCCTGGAAACAAATCATTTTGGATTCTTTCAGAAGAGACAATTACATGGGAATTCGGCCAAACCGTTTAATACAGTAAAATAAGCATAATCTTGGAAATAGTCTTTTGTTGACTAATAAATTATATCAATGTTCATAATTATGTTGAAACTGTGCACTAAACCACTTATATTAATGATATCTAAAAAAAAATCTGAAATTGTCCTAAATGTTCTAAATACATTTGAAATTATTCTTGATTGTTCAATAATGTAAAATTAAGCTAAAATGAATACTGCGATGACTGTATATATGATGAGTTGCCTGTGTGTTTAGTTTTGTTCATTCACCTTGTCCCTGTATTTCTCCCTGATGTCATCAATCTCTCTCCGATGCACCTCCTCCAGCTGCTCCATCTTCCTCCGGTGCTGTCGCTCCTCTTCTTCTCTCACTTCCTGGAGCACATCTGACAGCTTAAACACACACATTCAGATGGATCAAAAAGCTAAACTGCAACTTTATAACACGATAATAAGAAATGCTGTTTATTCTGACCTCCCGTCTGTACTCGGATAGTTGTTGTTCAGGTTTGGGACTAATCAGATCTCTCCTTCCTCCAGTGCTTTTGGCCTTTGCACAAACAAATCATGAAATACGTAGAACAATTTAGTCAAGTAAGGCCAACTATAACAGTGGCTCCAGTGCAGTGTTCACATTCACACTGGAGTACGGTCCTGCAGGTGGCGCTGTGATACAGATTATTTTTGCTTGGTGTGGAGTGTGCAGTGTGAGTGAGGCTTATAACACAATGTCCAGTGCACAGGAGTCCCCTCACCTCGTGTCTAAGAGCGCTGAGCCTTTCCTCTTTGTCCATCTGAAGTCTCGCTCTCTCCTTCTCAAACTCTTCTTCTATCTCAGCCTTGAGCCGCTCCAGGTCCTGCTTTTTTTGTGTGTAAAGTTTATTTCTTTCAGCATCTTGTTCTTCTTCCAGCTCCATCTGTAGGTCTGTTAAGATTGCTTTTCTCTCCCGTCTGAGAGACAGTAAGAAGCAAATGTTACAATTCTCCATTGGGGCGTCAAGATTAGTTGTAGATAAGATTCTAAATCAATCTAGACATATTGTATGTATTTGCAAACCAAAATCACAGTCAGATGTGAGTGAAATATCAAACCTGATCTTTTGTTCCTGCTCCTCGCGGTCTGCTCGTACTGATGCTTTGAGCTCCTCCAGAACCCTTTCAGACTCCTGAAGTTTGGCTTCTTCCTCTTTTCTTTTTTTCATCAGTGTTTGACGAAGAGCCCTGAGAAGATGCACGCAAAAAAACATCACAGTCTGAAACCAATCCACAGAATTGACTACAGCAAAACAAGTATGCAGGAGGACTAATTTGGGCTAAAATCTGGACCAATGGCAGGAAGTTTTAGTTTGCTCTTTCCACCATGTTTGAATGAAAGGAAAGAACAGAGCAAAGCTTGACATCTGAAATAATTGGATTAAGTATGAGATCTGTCACAGCGAAGACTCCATTTATGTATAAAAATATTACCTAAAGTGTCTTGCCCAAGGACACAACGACAGCAAACATAATATAATAATAATGCATTGGTTTTACATATTGCTTATTGGACATCAGTGGAAGTCGGAGGAGAAGGTCTCATGATGGGATCAAACCCATAACCTTGTGGCTCAAAAGCTCTACCAACTGAGCCACTGTCGCCCCAAACTCTCACATAGCTGCTTATTAAGATGATAATTAGTTTTGTTGATACCTAATGGTGATTCAATTGCATTGTATTTTCAATTGAAAATATTCTAATGTTTACAGTCATACATTTTTTTGAAGCTGCCATAGTAATTAGTTAAATCCTTAGCTTAAAACGCAACATTAGGGCGCCATAAAAGAAACGCCTACCTCAGTCTCTCCTCGCTCTCAGCCTTCATCCTCTTCTCCTCCTCTTCCTCTTGTCTCTTCAGTTCATCCTCTAGTTCTTGAATCCTCTTTTGTTTCAATTTCATCAGTCTCTCCTTCTCCTCTTCCACCTCACATTCTGACATGTTCTTATACTTCTCACTGGCCTCATCTTTCCCCTCTCTGCTGTGGACGGACAGCCCTGTGTCCAGACCGCGTCCAGGCCGTCCTCTCGAAGTCTCAGGCCTCTTGTGCTCAGAGGAAGCTCCCAGGTTGGTTTTGTCTGGAACAACGTCATCTTTTGGATCTGAATGGGAAGAGTCTGAAAGTGTGGACTGATGCAGCGTGAGACGATCCACTCTTGGAATTGACTGTGCCTCCTTCAGCTTTGGCCTGTGAAAACAATATTGTATTTTTAGTAGTATTTAAAGTGTATATAACTTCCAAAACCACATACAAATGTTGAATTTTGTAATAAAATCCATGAAACTAGTTCCAAACAGTTTGGGTCAATCACTAGTTTCTACAGTATGTATTTTTCGGGCTATTAGGATCACCGTTTACAGACAAAAGAGAAAATCCAATCAGCTCTCAGCCCAAACCAGCAAATAGTGACTCACAGGGCTCTTTCTTACAAGTATTGACCCGATGAACTGGATAGACAAACAGCATGTATAATTTATTAAACAAAATAGCTAGCCCAAATTGAACTATAAAAAAACCTGACAATAATGTAGGCTTACCTGTTGTCAGCAAACTTCTTGCCCAATGCTGGACTAGTGGCAGCAGAGAGATCCTCCACATCCCCCACATTTTTCAACTTTAAAAAGGAAACGTATTGAAATAAACACCTAAATGCAAAGATAGTATTAGTATGTTTTTACTGTACCTTGTTATGAGTGAAGGAGGAAGCATCACTGTTTATACTATCATCCTGCAAGTGTAAAGAGCCAGTTACCACAAAACATATCCATGTTGAAATTACTTTCTTACTTGCAAACTAAAAAAAAACAGCACAAAAACAAAGCGGCTATAAGCAACACATAACCAGGCCGGAGAAGAGTGGTACAAGTTATGAGATGGCAACGCAAGCTGTAACAAAGTAAAGCTAACTATAAAGCTTAACATGGCTAGCCACTCTAAATACACCTTTGTAGCTAAAATAAATAGTATGTCTACAAATCAACAATAGTCAAAATGGACTGCTCCTAGACTGAAAATGCAGAAGTCCACTCCTAAGGGGCTCATCCACAAGAAGCACTAAAGATAAAAGATCGCTTAATGCCTCAAATATGCCTTTAAATAAGCTCCTATAAATTTAAATGTCTGCTAATAGTATGTGATTCACAGACAGCCCCTGAGGCAGAGGAGATGAATGCTTATAGAGTCTAATGGAGGCAAGACAAACAATGATATGAACTCGCTCACAGCAAACACTACCTCTGCAGCATCGGGCACATTCTTCACTTCACCCTCGTCTGCATCCTGCTCTGGGTTTGTGGTTTTCTGGCTTTTCTCTGCTTCAATTTTGTCTTCAAAAACTTCCTCCTCAATCTGTTGTCCTCTTTGACTTTGATTCTCTAAATCAGATTTCTCTTCTATCATCTCTTCTTCTGCCCCTCTTTCCCCGAACTGTAGACACGCCTCGGCAGATTCGGATTTCAAGCCAATACTACCACGCTGATTATGTGCCTCTTCTCTGCAGTTTTGTTCATCCCTTTCACTTTTGAAACTATCCAAAACGTCATCTGTGTCCTCAAATCCATGTTCGTCCTGTTCGTCCCCTGAATTTCTCACAGCTTCGTTGCTTTTAATGTTGTCCTCACCCTCGCTGACAAAATCTAAGTCGTGTTTCTCCACACTTCTAGCTTCATCTGAACCACTTCCGCTGTTATGGTCTTTCTTGCCAGTTGACCATTTCCCATGTTTTTCACTACACATATCACCAGCAGCATATCTCTCATCATTCATTTCCACACCTTCAACTTCCTGTAAACCCTTTTTTTTGTCTGAATCACTAACCACACACTCATTCTTTTCCCTAGGCTTTTCCTGAGCCTTACTTCCTGGACCTTCAACGTGCTCAAGATCATTTTGTCTCTTTATCTGATCCATTTTGCTGTCATTTTGTCCTTCACTAACATCTTCTTCCTCTATATTTTCTATTTCCTCTTCAATGTCTTGCTCTGAATGGTCCGGAGTTTGCTTTGGTTTAGAAGGACCAGCCTGATCTTCTTCCCTGACTTCATCTTGGCAGAGCGCTGCTGGAGACTCGCGGCCCTTAGAGGAGGGAAATGGAGGAATAGTCACAAAAAAGGAGTTTGTAAAGACATTGGGAAAAGCAGGACCAGTGTGGGGGGGATGTTGGTTAAGAACTGTTGGGCCACGTTATTCTGATGAATTAGTTTCGAAGTTTGTCTATCTGTTTATGAGGTGTTTTTTACCATTATAATAAGACATTTTTTTGTCATACATGTTCCTTTCTTTGACAACAGAACTACAGTATTTTTTGTCCCTCTAGAAATGAAAGAAAGGATGACACCCGCACACTGTCCTACTTGCAAACACCAGTGGTTTATTAGCAACGTTTCTCCCTCTAGAAATAAAACCTGTGAAAAGGATCACAAGTATGTCACTACGAGGGCATTGATTTTAGCTTCAATCAATTAAACATGACAATTTCCCATATCAAAATGTTCTAATTTTATTTTACAAAGTAATCTTTAACAAGAGTAGAGAGCGCAGAATTCACTTTGATGTTTTGCAATCATAATGGAGACGAGACAAGAGCTTTAAGACGCCTCTAGTGAAATAAATCATTGCAGAAGGTGAGGTTTAAAAAAAGAATCTGAACTGATCTACAACTAAACTGTACTTTTAATTATATTTTGGAAACCAAATCATTCTCAAGAACACTTTTTGTCTTTGTTATGTCTTGTGAACACATTTCTCCACGGGGTCAATAAAAACTTAACCATAGCTTCAAGAAGTCATGAGTTAGCACCACATTTTAATCTTTGTACAATCTCATTGCACAGAATCAAAACATCATAAGCAGAATGTTTATTTCTTTCACGAGTATATCAATAAAATTATGAAGCCGCAGTAATATTCCATAGTTGAAACTGTATAAATTCAATGCTCAAGTATTTTAGGAAATGGTGAAGACTTTGAAGTCATTTGGCGAAACAGTAGCAGTGACAGTAAGCGGACAGCAGGACAAAGAGGAGCGCACAGTGGCAGCCGCGGCCACAGGACAAGTCCCAACAGCACAACAGCTAAAGGGCAAAGGTCCGAGGTGGAAGGACAGAGGTGAGGAGTGACACGGGAGTGACAGGAACCAGAGAATTAACAGACCAGAAAGAGAAAAAACGCAGTACATATATATTGACAATAAAGCCCACAATAATTCCCATTAGTGAAAGATATGTGCTTGTGTATCTGGCACTTAAAAAAGGATTATGTAAACGTTTATTATTATGTTTCCACCTTTGGAATATCTATGAATATATGAATCAAAATATAAATGTTGTCTTTTCTTATGATTAGACTTCTTCTAACTTCTAACAAAAACAAAAGTATCACAAAAACATTGTATCTGTAAATATATATATTCTCAAAACGTTTTGCTCTGAATGTATAACTAAAGCTTGATGTACAACCTAAATTATGACTAAAGAAATTAGAACTGTAATTTGTATGAATCAATTTTTTACCAACAGTTTCGTTTCCCCAAACTCCCAACAGAGCTGTGATTGATTACTGCAGAATAACATTAAAATGTGCAACTAATAATCCCATATTTACAGGTCTGTCGTGATTCAAAATAATTGATGAATCAAAGGAATAAATCAGCGAAGTAAATCAATTATCAAAACAATTGTTACAGACCTAAAAGAAATGCATGTTGTTTGTTTGAGTCTATAGTTGAGTCTTACCTGCTGTGAAGGTGGCTCTGGACTGAGCTCTCTTGAAAGTGCAAGATTTTGTAACTCTGGCTCTGGGGCTTCTGCGCTACCTTCACTATCCTAAAACATGAACATAGATTTATATAAACAATTGAAATTATAAAAGGAAGAATTGATTTTTATTGTTATTATTACTACCTCATATTGTATGCCACTTCCAAGATCATCGAGGGTCAAATGGAGGTTTTTCGGTAGTCCGCCTGAATCATTTCCACTCTGCGATAAAATGTTCAGGCGGGTTACAACATGTACATATCAAACAAATGTTGATATAATGTCAAAATACCCTATTTTCTGATATTCGGCCTTCATCATTGTCCTCTTCATCTTCAAAGTCGTGCAGATTTAAGGACACTCTCTCATCTTGTCTCAGGCCTATAACACTCGATGCACCGCTGCTTCGAGAACTCTGAAAACATAAAAATATTGTACACATGTAAACAGTACAATACTGCGTTGAGATATTGTTGGAGCAGTTAATTAGTCATAGTGGAGTCTGCTAATATACCTATATACCTTTTTTTTACAGCTGTAATATTCAGCAAATAGCTCAGTTTCAAACGTTACCCCAAGAGGCGGCTTGAGTGGCTCTAGTCCCGCTGTGCTCCCCAGGGTCCGTTTCAGCGGTGGAACAGATCCCAGTGGAGACAGTCCCGGAGTGTCCAGGCCTCTGAGAGGAGCCAGTCCTCCCACTCCCCCCAGTGGAGACGGGATGGGTCTCAGTCCAGAACCCAACATGCTCTCCTTTTTCTTCTTTTTTTCCTTCACTTTGTCCTTCTTCTTCTTCTTTTCCTTTTTGGCTCCTCCAGAACTGGCCGCCTGTTTAAAGTTCTCTCGTTCTTGGGTCACTAGACTGCGGTAGTGTTCGTCGCCTGGATGTTCCCATGACGATTGTCCCGTTGAGAAGTTGAAATAATAAATTTCCCCAGTTACATCTTGGCTGTAAACATATTAAAAATACAATAAGATTGGTAAAAATGTCACAGATACTGGACACATTTTCATTACACATTGCCTTATTGCCAACTGAACACAGGTATTTTTCCATAATCAGTATTTGCTAGAACGATCTTAGGGATACAGATTTTTTCTTTCGTTAAGTGGTACATCAAGATGTTTCTGGTGCAATAAAAGCATATATTGATCTATTTATTTGACCTGTGACAATGCACATTAATGAACATTTTTGTGAAAGTTTCTGTGAATGTTTTCAACTATATTCCCTGAGTAAGTCGTGGAGCGAGGATTAGCATGTGCAGGCTCAAGTGAATTAGGGACCAAAAACATCAAAGATCATTTTCTAGAGAGTGCAATTTTGGGTGAATTTAATCCTCATTTTTGGAAGACTTTTGGTATACGTGAATAAATGCTTCTACATTTTTGGACCGAAAATAGAGAATTGAAATGTGGCTTTTAAATAATGTTTCATACATGAAATAATCAAAATTCTTTTAAACAACACAAATATGTATATAATTACTGATTTAATCTTTAAACATCTTTATGTTAAAAGAGAAATACACAGCTTTCACTTCACCGCAGCAGACATGCCCTTGGGGCTGTTGTCGTGGAAACACCCTCCAGCGGAACATGTCAAAAGCAGGAGTTAGTTGATGAGTCAAGGACAAAACAAAGAACTGACACGGCTTGTTTTCTCACCATGGTTTCCAGACGCTAGGCAGAGGGGCGATGACTCCCTCTCGGGCCAACCACATCAGCTCAGACTCAGTTTCTGGGTCAATACCAATTTCTTTGGCATATTCTCGAACCTCTGTGGGAACGGGTTAAGGGTTATGGGAAATGTTGTTTCAAAAGACATGTAAGGTGTAGATACTTGGACTTTATGGATGAGTAGTATATAATCCTACCCTGTTCAGATGGTACGTAATCATCATCATATTCCTCCTCAAGAATGAGCTGATCTCCGACGAGAACTCCAGACATTTTTACTGAAAAACAATGTCAATATACAGTAAACCATGTTCAAAGATACAGTGTAGTTTTTAGCTTTAGGGCAATCAATTATTCAATTAAATATTCCAAAAACGTGTTTCTGGTGTCTTACCCTGTATGTTAAGAACACACACATGCAGGAGCTACTCCAGTTCTGATTGCCAATTTTCTTAATCTGCAATGGATTCAGTGACCAAACCAGCTGGATTTCACCAGAAAAACTGGCAACGAAATGCAAGACTCATTTGATACCAATTCGATATTCTGGCACAATTAGTTATCACTTATTGTCATATTATGAATCAAGAGTAAATATATATAGTAGATCCATCAAATAGCAAAAACATTTTCGAACAGAAAAAGTGAGGTTGGTTTGGTTGACCTGGTGCCTCCGGATGTTGGATGCAAACATTTTACAATCTTACATTGTCACTTTAACAAGTCTTGAAGTAAAGTAAAGAATGGCTGGACCAACTAACCTAACTCAGATTATCTAACGCTAGGCTATAAATGGCTAAAGAGGTGCTGTTAGTAAGATCTTCGTGAATGGAGTAGTTTGTTGTAAAGGTTCTTTAGTTACCTGGTTGGCGATAATAGGATTAACTAGCTAACAGTATTACACAGACTGACGAGTGAAAGCGTCGTATTCAGAGACTGGTGGGAATTTAGAATGTATGTTATAAACTCAAATTAGCTTGACATGATATGATTCACGTACAATTGCATTTTTAAAAATAGCTTTTTGTAACGTTTATAGCGTTTTACCTCATAGATAGTTAAAGGAAGACCTCTCACATGTAGAATTTACTTCAATCGGTTCTCGTCGAGTACATATTGTTGAGGACATAACGAGGCAAAGATGTAAAAAATTTAAAGTAAAAAATCATCTCCAAGGACGCTACGCGGACTTCCTGTTGACGGTAGAAGCTAGTCGCTGATTGGCTGAGATTCTTGTTCTTGGATTTAGATGTTAAAGACACATTAGCGCCAACTAATGTTATGAAGTGGAAAAGTAGTAAATAAATAATCTCCCTGACATGTAAAGGCGGGATACCTAACTTGTTCATAACCAACACGTTTTTGAAATGCAAAAGTAAAGTAAAAAAAAAAAAAAAAAAACAAAGTGTTTATCTTCTCCGAAAACCTGTTGTCCTTTGCATCCTTTTTACATTTTCTTGTTGTTTTAACTTTGAATGTTAGGCAGCACAGCTTTAAATTTACCAGTTAATATATAGCCTATAAGAATAAAGAATATATAGGCTATACAAATAAATAACTACATGTACAGTCGGTAAAAATCTATCTTGCTCCCATTCAGAGATTAGAAATTAACCCTAACCCTAACACTGCTTTGATAAATATACACTGCGGCTTAAATTATAAAAGAAAAAACATCAACAATGATTTACGTTATCTCTTGTGGCTTTTGGCATCACACAGGATTTGGGGTAAAGCAGTCCGTATGTGATAAGCGCTGATGTGTAGGCGGTTTTTGGTAAGAGGGTTAATGACCTGCACATCTTGGGCAATGCTTGTTTTAACTTTGAAATTGGCCTTGGAAAATAGATGACTAAAGCAACAATGTCCAAAAACCTTTAAAAAAAAACCAAGACAATATTAAAAAACATGATAAGAATGTTGGCTTCCGAAAAATGCGAGAAACACAAATACATGAATATTGTGTAAAGGGATCACAGTTCATAACATAATCTAATATATAGGTATAATAATATATATTTAAGTTATTGAAAGAACTCTCCATACAACTAATCCCCCTTTACAAAGATTATCTAACATATTATTGACTTGATGTCCCTTAGTTTGAGGTTATGTGAGTACGAGCTTTGTTTTCTCACTGTAAAGCTCAGAGGGAGAGGCAACCTACAGCGTGGCTCCAAAACCAGGTCATTAGAATATAAATAAATATGTGTAATAAAGCATAAGTGACCTGCAGATGTGATATTGCAAAACACTCAAATGGAGTTGGCTGCGATTTCTGACAGTTACAGCTGAGACAATGGCCCCCGTGGACTTGTCGTCAAATCAGCACGGAACACCATGCGACCTTTGAAACTAAAACAGGAGGCGATCAAACAGTGGATTGGCAGATTAAATATTTGTCTGTAATTACTTCACATTTGTCTCACTTTTTGAGCAATTTTCAACAAATGGAAGTACATAAGGTATGCTATTTGGGATTTAATGCGCATGCTATAATTTATGATATAAGTTAACTGATGTAATGTAAGTGATGTTAGAGAATTGTCAATAGACCAATAGTGGTGATTGCACAACATCACGTTTATTCATATATTGTTTCATTGGTTCGAGTTCTGACTATTTCTCATTTAGTCCTACCAAAGATATACATGGTGAAACATCAAAGATTGTCAATGATTATATTGGTATGTGCTGACCTCCTTTACTCTAATAATGTTCTCCTATTTCTAAAATAATCAAACTTTTTTCCCCACAGTTTTGTTGTTGTGTTTTCTTGGTGATACAGGGAGGTCCAAGGAAAATGCTGATTTGGGAAATTTAACGACATTTATGGACATCGGTCATCCCCCTCCCTATGGTCCGATCGCTCCTATGTGTTTGTTATCGTTCAAACACAGGAAATACTCCGTCCTACAAGACAATTCTGTAGTGAATTAAGGCTATGCATAAATGTATTTACTTGAATTGAGTATGGGCATTTGTCAAGAAAGGCAAATAAAGGAACGAAAACGGATAATTTACAAATAATTTACGGATGCAATATTATGCTTCTTTGATGGCGTATACTTTTTTTATAATATTATATTACTTTACTAATTCCAAAGATATTCACTTTTCTTTTGTTTGTGTGCTCCTCATTCATACTGTTCTGTAACCTGTGAATGACCTCTGTGAATGACTTCTTGTTTGGTTTATCATATTGTTCCTCGCGGAGGTGATTTTCATTAGGCATGATCGTGTTGCCTCAGGATGGGATCACCTGTACCTATGATAACACATGCCACTGAGCACTATCTGCGTTTCAGGTAAAGGTCTCCTGATAAAACACAGATAGATGGCTCAAAGTGGCAGCTGCATCGACACAAAGCAGAGAGTCTGTCTCAAAGGTTGAAGTCAGAGATAAGACACATGCTTTCACAGAGTCTGGCCTCAGGCTCTGACTCTCCTCAATACATTGGATTATGCACAGATAGGAGAAGAATACTTGTTATTGACAATTTTAATAGCCACATCAAATCAGTAACTTCAGCAGCTTTTTACCACCTAAAAAACATCGCCAGGATCAAAAACATAGTGTCTAAAGCTGACCTAGACTACTGCAGGTCTGTCCAAACAGGCTGTAAAACAGTTGCAGTACATTCAAAATGCAGCAGCTCAAGTCCTGACTAGAACCAGGAAGTACGACCACATTAGTCCAGTCCTCAGGTCTCTGCACTGGCTTCCTGTGGCTCAGAGAACAGACTTTAAAACCATCTCCATGGCCTCGCACCAAAATATATTAGTGACATGTTAGTCCCATACAAACCAGCCCGGACTCTGAGGAGCACAGGGACTGGACTCCTGTTAGTGCCCAGAGTCAGAACTAAACATGGGGAGGCTGCTTTTCAGATTCATGCTGCTAAAATCTGGAACATTCTTCCTGAAGATGTGAGACAGGCCTCCTTTCTGACAATGTTTAAAACCAGGTTAAAAACAGTTCTGTTTAGCTGTGCATACAACTGAGGGATTGTATATTTTATATTTTTATCTCTCTTTTTAATGTACTGTGATTATTTATGATTTTAATGCTTTCTTATTTTTGTTCAGCACTTTGAGTTGCCTTGTGTATGAATTGTGCTATACAAATAAACTTGCCTTGCCTTGCCTTGCCTATTGCAAGGCAAGGCAAGTTTATTTGTATAGCACAAACTTCAGGAGTTTGGAACATGCAACAAAAACTGCAATCTTGGCTTAGGGTGAGTGTAATAAATACTGTACTTTAGGCTCAAGGTAAGTGCAGTAGTGCAATAGAATATTGCACTTTAGGCTAAGGGTTAAGTGCCTGAAGATACTGCACTTTAGGTTACTGTAGTGCAAGCATGGAATGATTGCACTTCCATGCTTGGTGTTTTTCTGTTATCAGCTGTTTTTCTATGGTCCCTTTTCTAACCCTAACCCTAATCCTAGGACTCGGATGATGTCTGTTTTGGTCTATCTAATATCTACTGTGGTGTATGTAAATGTAGGTGGTGTGAACCCCTGTCCCAAGACATATTTGTCCTATGGGAGACAATAAAGGAGTATCTTATCTTAATAAAGTGTACTTTAGCCTTCACCTTAACCTATTGTGCACATAAGGCTGTAGTCTTTCTATCTAGACTTTGAAAGGTTGTTATTCTTCCATACAGATGTCGAATGTTTTTTTGTTTCTTTCGCAAACTTGTTTTGAGTGCAGAATTTTTTCTGTCAATCCATCTAGTTGCTAATTTTTTTGCTAAAACCTTAATTTTGATTGTCTTAAAATTTTTAATAATTTATAAGACAGAAAATATGGATGCTTCACACAGTTCTCTGAACTGTTTCTGCTTCGTGAAGTATGTGGATACAAATGTATTCAACTAAGAAAAATCTGATAAACACATTTTCAGCTCAATTATTGTAAAGAAGATGAATATTCCAGTCCAATCTCTGTGTCCCAACCGCTGAGAAATAAATCATGTTTAGACAGGTACTCTGTCACCTCATGTCGTCTCCCTGTTATCAGCTCTGGTCACGGCTCCAGGCTTCACCCATCCATTCACAGCGGGGTCCCACAGGGCGAGACAAAAGAAAGATTAAACCAAGAAAGGGAACGTCTTCATTATCACAATAAGCAGTTTTTTTATTTAAAATGTAATGATATACTGTTCTTGACTTAAAAAACACAAAGATCTTTTAATGTTGTTCCCATAATTTAATAATTCCAGACATAATTTCAGGTTCACTGACTACAGAAAACTTTGGAAGTATAACATGACACTCCTGCTTGGATAGTGGGATTTCATCACAGCCACCGTATATGGCCTGGAGTGAAGTAGTCTACAGTGTGACAACAATGAACTGTATAGCATTGAGGACTTGTTCATATGTCACAAAAGCAGTATGTCAACTTTACTAATCATTCAAATATTCTGACAAAGGTTGCTTGGGCCCATGAAGAGAATTATGGTTCACTTGTGGCGATGTGAAAGCACCAAAAAAGTGGCAACTGGTCTACTAGTCACATAAGTCAGTACATTTTTAAACAGATCTTACGGTTATTCATAGAAATCTATTTGCTGTGTACAGTAGGCCATCTTATGCAATAGTAACCTGCTTCCAACTCATCTCATCTAAAACAATTATTAACTATGGACTTATTAACCCCTTCTTATCAGGACATGTAACGTCACTCAAACCGAACCTGACATAAGTTGTATGAAAAAAATCAAATGTTCTGAAATGATTATTTTATTGCTGCAACACAGAATTGAGAACTTCAGCTGCATGACTGTCAATATTGGACTTCAACTAGTTTGAGAGCAGTAAACAAATGCCAGATGAACTTTCACTGAAATGAAAAGCACGAGAACTTGCAGATCACAGGCCTGATTAAAGCTGGGGTACTTCACTTTTCTTTCAAAAAAATAATTTCCATTGGTTTGGCCAAAATGTGAAAACTGGGAACATAAACGTTTACAGTGCTTGGGCAATATATATATATATATATATATATATATATATATATATATATATATATATAGTTTTTTTTATTTCATTAATTTAGTTGTTTATTAGTTCTTTATTGGACAGGACTGCTGAAGCCTGGATTGAGTTTTGAGTGGAGACATTCAGAAAACAGATCTTGCACCTTAACCCAGTCTCTTAATGATGTTTTGTCCTTTTGTCTCTCAAATCAACGTCCCACTGTTCTAATCCCGTCGGCTCCGATTCACACTGGGACCCCTTGCCTTTGTGTCTGATGTCTTGTTTTATCAATTACAACCAATTACTCAAACAGTCTATAGTGGGAGTCAAAAATGTTCAAATTTGCAAGTTTTACTAAACACTACCGCACTTGTTTATTGTTGTGCAGTACATGTTGAGCAAAATTCAAAGGATGTGAAGAAATATACACGTGATCTTTCGAATACTTGAAAATACCTGATTGTCTGAGCGAGGGTCTGAAAAAGCTGATCTGAAGAGTCCAAAATTACACATGAAAATTTGTGACAGAACCAAACTGCAGGGTGGTAATGGAAATTATCACATGGTTCATTTTTTGGGGTTTGAAAGTTAGGTATCCCAGCTTAAGTGGATTCCTTGTTTACATTGTGTAACCAAAATCTTGTAACTGTGTGCTGGGTCAAAACGGATCAGCACGGCAGCAATAGCAGCTACACACCGATACTTTTGGAGCTACTGTTTGTGTATGTATACAAATGCTCAATGGTATGTAAAATTTTTATAATGCTGAAATGTGTATGTGTGTATTGCTTTTATATTGAACTCCAGCGCTTTCTGTGGCTTTGTTGAGTCTATATAATAGTAGATTTAGTAGAATGTCATAATCTTCACAATACAGTTATACTAATAATAATTGTATGTGGAAACATTGGTATAACAGCCTTTTTTTTTTTTTGTCTTTGTCTGTGTTGATCTGGACCTTGAATCTGTAATAAAGTTATCTATCCCTCTATCTATATACCTTTATTAGTATCAAACTCAATCAAACTTATTTAGGAAGCTTAATTCATGCAGCAGCAACCCAGAGTGCTTCACAATGACACATTTGAAACATGAGATAAAACAACAAACACTTCAAATCAAAAAAAAAAACATACAAAAGCCATTTTAGACAAGGTGACGTAACACAATGTTTTGAAATCCATTTTAATCTGCCTAATATCAAGTGACAGGGAGTTCTATGGCTCCACACTTTTAATGAAGCAATGGCGAATAGTTTATCTCAGGCAGAACTTCCCAGCAGGTGACCATTGAACTCAGCGGGACAGCTCGGGGGTGAGGTCCAGCTCCACGAAGGCAGCCTCCCCCCCTCCCCCGCACCTCCCCCCGTCCCGTAAGCTTCTTGTCAGGACCGCAGCTCTGCCCCTGCCCTATAAAAACTTCAGCCCAGATACACGTTCCTCAGTTTCATCCAGAACTCCACCAGGTAAGGACTTCTCGAAGGATCCTGCCGGACACAGGCTCACAGATTAACATAGGACGACACATATGCTGTTACATTTATGCAAAGTTGAATATCAAAAAAATGGGAAAAAGCTGCCACACTGTCATATTTGTTGTATATTGTATTTAGATTCTGTGTTATGTATTATAATTTACAATAATTTTAGGTTAGGGTTAGGGTCAGAGAAGAACTGAAAACATGTTCTAGTGTTAAAGAAAGGTAGTGTGGATGAATATTTTTTTTTAAATGTCTAGAAAAGGGTATTGTATTTTGTATCACTTACTTTCAACAGCTTATTTTTGATTCAATGCAAACAACAACTCTAAGATACGTGACCAAACATCTAACTTAAATTGAAAGTTTAAAAAAATCATAACATTGTATATTTTTCTGTTTCTTTTTAGACCGCCATCATGAAGTTTGTGACTCTTGCTCTTGCTCTCCTTCTTGCCCTTGGTAAGTGTGGTTTGACTTCTTGTAAGGTTTGTCTCGACGTTTGCCTGATTGTGTCCTTCTGCAGGTTGCCAGTCCGCCTCCCTGCAGGCCGATGCTCCCTCTCAGCTGGAGCATGCCCGCGGCATCATGAAGGTTTACCTTCAGACGATCAAGGAGAGTGTGGACCGTGTCGCCGAAAAGATCGATGATGCAGCAATCAAGTGAGTATTAGAAGCTTCTTTCAATTGGTATGATTCTTAGCTGAATAAAAAACAGTATAATTGCATCTGCAAATATTTGTGTATGAACACCTGTGAGCACCTGTGAACAACTATAGTCTTAAGAGTAATATGGCTACAAAAGCATGCTATACATCACTTTAAAGTGTTGACCTTTAATAACCATCTTTCACCTCGGTGAAAGATGGTTATTAAAGGTCAACACTCTATAATGAAAATATGAAACCACAGATAATTGGTATAACAGCACAGTCTAAAAAATGTTTTGGCCTCCACCCGACTCAACATTAGTTTGACACCCCTGCTCATGATAACTTATGAAAGTTCAAAATAAATCAGACTAAACTTCTCTGATACTTCTAGGGATGCAATCCTCAGCCGCTCAAACTCCATCCACGAGCAGGTCCTGGCACTCCAGACCCAGGTCGCCCCCATGACCGATTCTGCCGTCGCAACCCTTGAAGAAGCCACTAGGGACCTGCGTGCCTCACTCAACACCGACATGGAGACTCTGAAGAAGGATTTGGAGCCAATGCGCGCTGAGCTCAACACCGTTGTCAACAAGCACATCGAAGAGTACAAAGCATTGCTGCAGCCCTTCATGGATGAGTACCGTGAAAAGCAGGCGGCGGAAATGGCAGCATGGAAGGCCAAGTTTGAGCCCATCATGGAAGAGCTGCGCGCCAAGATTGCCGTCAACGTGGAAGAGACCAAGAGCAAACTGGTGCCAATCATCGAGAAAGTTAGAACAACCATCACCGAGCGCATGGAGACCGTGAAGGCAATGGTGGAACCCTATGTGCAGGAGTACAAAGAGCAGATGAAGACGGCCTACGACAAAGTTGGAACCCTGAGGGAGACCAACTTCGATGAGGTCAGGCAGAAGATGGCACCACACATGGAATCCCTCAAGACCAACATCGATGCAATGATCGAAGAAGTCAAAAAGATGATGGGCCAGTAAATCTTTCTACCTACACTCAAACATCTGTATTCATCTGACCTGACTATCCTATCAACACCAACAAGCCTAAACTGAGGCACTTCCTAACAAACACAAAACATGGTGGGACTCTTGCTTTTACACTGTCTATTGCATAAACAGGCGACACATACAAGCTGATAGCATGCCCAAGATACAAGTGCTTTGAATGATGTAAGCTGTAAAAACATGTGTGTGAATAAAACAACTGGAAAACAAGCTTGTCTGACTTAACTTGTGTTTCATGGAATGTCTGGCCAAATAAATACATTTTTATAACATACTGCCATAATATAGCCAACTAACTATACTACAATAATAAAATGACTTTAAATAGAGTGATTTTGTAAATAATAAATAAATAACCACTATGCAATTTACAACTTACAACCAACTTACAAATCCTAGTTACCTAACTGCCTAATATACTGCCTACATTCATAATTTTTACTGATAAAACAACAATATATTTGTTCACATGCAATATATTTAGAGAATACAGAATGTGGTGAGGAGGATTGAAATACCATGGATGAAGGTTGGCCCAAGATGAAGTTATTTATACAGTACAGTAAACACAGCACTACCCATGTTTCAGCGCGATTAGAACAGAACTTAATGATACACTGTGTAGTTTTTACTCACATCTAGCATTGAGATCATGCATTGCAATCCACGGTACTACGGTAGCTTCGAAGGACAAAATATCGTCTTTGACAGTGCTCCCAAACTCCCTGTCATCATCCTTTTTGTCCCTTATCAACCACTGTATTTCAAGATGGCGCATTGACATGAGAGTCCTCCAGCACTCATGTACTTTCCAAAGTCAAATTCTAATCCTATGACAACAATTCAAAAACATGGTGAAGGTGAATATTCTTAAAAAGGTCACGTTTGTTATTGGTTAACCATTTTTTCCATTGGGAGCAACTGTAAAAATTACCTTTAAGATTTTATTGAACGAAAAGTCAGATGCTTCAATGGTGGTTCCAAACCCCATTGTCCTGCAGTATTCAGCCACAAACTACATGTACTACTAAAACTGACAAGAAAAGAAAGGGGGCATTCATATTTTTGTATCAAAATTGAGACTCGACCAAAACTGGCAAGTAGTGAACACAAAAGGTTGAAATTTAACATTTACTATTTTTCCGAAGGCCAATGACACAACAGTATTTCCTCCTGTTGGCTTTTGATTAATGACTTGAATATCTGTGCTTCCCAAAGCCCTAGAGCTAAACTACTCAACGCTGCCAAATTAATAAAAGTAATAAGCAATTGAAGTGACACAGCCTGGAGAATGGGGGGTGGGGGGTAGTTTTATTATGTATTTAAAGTAATTAATTTTTGGATGAGCGTTCCATGTCCAATAGAATATTCACAAACTCTTGAAAAATCAACAATATAGTCAGGTGCCCATATGTGTTGATGCTTTGCTATCTGAGAATAACTCAGATTGTAAGGTAATAACCAAAGTTGTGGTTATGTGGTGATAATGAAAGAAAAATCAGCTGCTTGTTTCTATCCACACCATTAAACATTTGGCAAATACATTGATCTTATACATTCTTTATGTGTTGTGCTCTAGGCTATGAGAAACAATAGACATTTTGGTTTTCTGAGCTAATGCATCTATGCAAACTGTGATTAGTACACGTCACAGACAGAGGGACTATTGTAATTGATGAGGCCAGGACCATACTCCCTGGTGAGAGAAGCTGTGTATAAAACAGCACTTTCCCCTGCTTCCACAACATATCAGTCAGAGTGATATTAATGGGTAAAAACAGGGAATTTCATGCCTTCTTTCATTGGGTTTGTGAATTTTTTTGGTGCCAAGTTTAGGAAATTTACTGTATGTACTTGAAACTGAAGGCCTTCAAATCATGTCAGGTAAGTTAATTTACGCAATTTCACTTTTAAATTAAAAACATCCTTATTATCCAATTGATCCACTTTATATGTAATGGTTTTCAACGCCTCAATATATCCTGTTTTTACAAGGTGCTTTGTACCAAGGACCAGGTCCAAACACTGTGGTGTCCCACTCAGTCGCTAGACCAGGACTCTGGACCAAGCTTCCGCTCTAATTTTGGCTTTTTAAAATCGAGGCTCAAAACTTGTTTATTCAGACAGGCTTCAATACTTTCAACACTTATTAGCGTGGTGACACTTTTAAAAATGCTTTTTAACTTGCATGAATGTTTTAATGGATTTTACGTGGTTTTATTGTAAAGCACTTTGGTCGCTTTGAGTGTTGTAAAGGGCTCTATAAATAAAAAAATATTGATTGATTGATTTGTGAAATAATTCATAGATAGGATAGGAAGTTGTTGTTCTTTGCTATTATTGATATCATGGAAACAAAACAATAGCTTGTCTTCATGTGACATCACAATATTCCAAAGAGACAATTATTTAAAATTTTGGTGCAGGGCAGCGTAAGTCACATTTCAAGTCTTAGTTTCTTTAATTCCTGGCCCAATCCACATGAAACAAAAAACGTTACATCTTCTTTGTATAAACATATCAACTATGGTTTAATTGTTTCTCATAAAAGTGTCTAGAAGTGACAATATTCAAAAACACATATGTTTGTTTATATGTTGGGTTAGAAATACAATTCTAAAAAAATATGGGCTTATGATTTTTATACAAGTTCTTTATGTGAATATTTTTCTGTTGCAGATAAATTCAAGTAACTCTTTTTTGTTTAGGTTCTTATCAGTGTGAACACCTGGGTCTGCCTCTGCCGTGTTGTGTCCCCAAAGCTGTGCAGGTCACTGGGGTCCAAGTGCAGCTGGAAATGCAAACTCTATGGAAACAATTTGATCAACTTGGCACAGAAATGATCGTCACTAAGGCCGGACGGTAATGGTTTTCCAAACATTTTAGATTTCTGTATTTGGTTACGTTTTTAAGGTGTGATGAGCTACATTACAGTTCATGTGGTCATATTATTGTTATTCCAATTGTAAAAAAAAATCTAGACCTTTGTTTGAAAGTGTGTAATTGTGAGGCCTGTATATTGTGTCTACTGCACCTTCAGGAGGATGTTTCCCACTTTTCAAGTCTGTATCTCAGGCATGGACCCAACAGCAGAGTATGTCCTGCTCATGGACTTCATCCCTGTTGACGACAAAAGATACAGGTCTGTGAAATGTGCTCCATGACCCATACATGTATAAATGTAATTACCAAAACCTGTGTGTTGTGTAGATACGCCTTCCACAGCTCGTCCTGGCTGGTGTCAGGCAGGGCAGACGCGGCAGCCCCCAGTCGGATGCACTTCCACCCGGACTCTCCGGCTCGCGGCGCACAGTGGATGAAACAGACCGTGTCCTTTGACTGCCTGAAGCTCACCAACAACCTGCTGGATGACAACGGCCACGTGAGTCTGACCTTGCTCTTCTAATGTGGTCACCCTGAATAAAGAACACAAGCATTCTGTTGTAATATGCATTAATATTAAGATAAAGATAGAGATTTTTTTGTAAAATTCTTAATATTCACTTATCTTGTGCTGTGTGCTTCTCATTCCTACTGTTCTGTAATATGTGATGCAACACTGAAATTTACCCAATGTGGGACAAATAAAGGATCTCTCAATCTTAATCTTAATTGACGGGGTGTTTGGATAAAAGCGTCTGCTTCATCCTCAAACTGCTTTTCAAACCTGATCATATGTCTAATTGTGTTTTGCAGTTTTAGAATACTATTAGTAGTCTACTGATTAAACCTGCAAAAAAATTCATTTTTAATATATATTTCATCCATCCATCCATCCATCCATTTTCTTCCGCTTTATCCGTTGCCGGGTCGCGGGGGCAGCAGTCTAAGCAGAGACGCCCAGACTTCCCTATCCACACACACCTCCTCCAGCTCGTCCGGGGGGACTCCAAGGCGTTCCCAGGCCAGCTGAGAGACATAGTCCCTCCAGCGTGTCCTGGGTCTTCCGCGGGGCCTCCTCCCGGTGGGGCGTGCCCGGAACACCTCCCCGGGGAGGCGTCCAGGAAGCATCCGGAACAGATGCCCGAGCCACCTCAACTGGTTCCTCTCGACGTGGAGAAGCAGCGGTTCTACTCCGAGCTCCTCCCGTGTGACTGAGCTCCTCACCCTATCTCTAAGGGAGCGCCCAGCCACTCTGCGGAGGAAGCTCATTTCGACCGCTTGTATCCGCGATCTCGTTCTTTCGGTCATTACCCAAAGCTCATGACCATAGGTGAGGGAGGGAACGAAGATTGACCGGTAAATCGAGAGCTTTGCCTTTCGGCTCAGCTCCCTCTTTTCCACAACGGTCCGATACAGAGACCGCATCACTGCGTACGCTGCACCGATCCGCCTGTCAATCTCACGCTCCATCCCTCCCTCACTCGTGAACAAGACCCCGAGATACTTGAACTCCTCCACTTGAGGAAGGGCCTCTCCACCCACCTGCAGAGGGCAAGGCACCTTTTTCCGGTCGAGCACCATGGCCTCGGATTTGGAGGTGCTGAATACTAAAAATATTTCAGTTTTTATAATTCATTTTTAGAAAAAGTATGATTTATATTTAACATAAAAATAAGCCTAATATTATTTTACACCAAAACTAGAAGGTTAAATGCTAAATCAGATTGTAATGCTAAATGCTAAATACATGCGGATATTACCGTACTGTGTATTTGAGGTGTAGCAGTTTAATTTGAATGAAAAAAGAAATGGTACTGACAAGACATTTGTCAGGATGGTAATGAGGAGCAATAGCTTTAGTGGCCTCTTGTGGTTACAATCAAAATGTCATTTTTGTATGAGTTTAGTCATATGCAGTTCTTAAGTAATAGTTCTTTCTTGGCAGATGATCCTAAACTCTATGCATCGTTACCAGCCCCGGTTTCATGTGGTCTTTGTGGATCCAGCTCCAAACAGCTATTTAAACGCTCAGAGAAACTTCACCTCCTTCTCTTTCCTGGAGACACGCTTCATAGCCGTCACCGCCTACCAAAACCACAGGGTGAGATAGGTCCACATGTTACTTTGCAAGAACACATTCATAAATCAGAAAAGGCTATGTGATAATGGCTTTTTTTGGCTGGTAATAAACGCATTAAAGATAAATTTTGTATTTATGCCTTTGTACAAGTAAAGGCTACAGTCTTATTTGAAAATAAATTCTGTTTTAAACCAGATCACGCAGCTGAAGATTGCCAGTAATCCGTTTGCCAAAGGCTTCAGGAGCACAGACACTCAGGAATGGTGAGTTCATCATTTCAAACACTGATCAAACAATCTTTTGTAGAAATAAATTGTAAAACATTTCAAGAAATCCAAATTAAATAAATTATCATAGTGGGTCATTGTAGGTATATAGGAGGATTTCTACTTCCAGGTGGATCATCAATACGATTGGCCCTCCCAATTGTCAACCTATCTGGTAATATGTGCTTGTCAAATAAGACAAGAAAGTTTTGTTCAAAAATTGGAGAGGGCGGATCTTTCCTAAAATTTGGAAAAATCTTCCTATATTTCCCTTTAAGTCAAAATATGTAGAAATCAACATTCATACAAAAATAATTCTAAAAATATTTAAATAATGCTCCTCTCTGTTCTGGCCTCATAATGAAGTTTGGAATGCTGTTGTTTGTTTCAGGGCAAGCAGCTCCAGGACTCTTCCAATGTTGTGTCCACCAGACAACAGACGGGGGCGCCGCTCATCCAAGGAGCAGGACTGGAACTCAAGTCTGAACCATCTGAACATTACTGCAATATTACCAATCGGTTACTGAAAGATTAAAGATTATGTAAATTCTAGTCTTTAACACAAGGAATGCAGTAAGATTTGAAAATATCCTGCATAACGTTTTAGATTTACCAATATAATGGTCAGCCATTTATCAGCTGGTTGTGGGCCAACCAATTTAAATAGTTAAATGGATGGATTGTAAATATATTGGTCAAAAATGACCAATTAGCTTCTGTTGGTGCTTTGACCAAAATAGTTTGGTCCAAAATAGTACCATAGTATCAATGAACTATTCACTTCAACAAGTTAACAAGTTTATAAGTTACCTGTGGTTATAGTGTTACCAGCCTGTGTGGCTCTAGAGTATTAAACAGTCATTTTGTCCTATGGCAGGACATCGTACTGTTTTAGTGTTCAGTTGGTGGTCCACCAACTACATGGTTAGTCAGAATAATTTGCCGTTATGACCATTATAGATTTGTTTTGTTGTAACTAAAAGATAAATCGAACACATAACAAACTAGATTGGTTATAATTACAGAAAATTTGTAAAATGTATGTTTTTAAAGTGTATCATGAGTCATGGATTGTCTTTGTCGCCGTAAACACAAACAATCAGCTAACATATTTGTTCCTATCTTGTACAGGACAAGGAGACAAAAGTTGTGAGTTGATGGAGCAGAGTAGACTTCTCTCACGCTCTTTGGACTCGTCGGAACTCAGCGCTCACAGAAAAGATGGCGATAATATCACCTCATCGTTCCTCCCTCTGCCTCTGTACTGGGACTGTCCTGGACCTCCACAGGAAAGACTGCCTCTGTTATAAGACCTTAAAAAAATACAATAGTGACATATCAAGGTAGCTAACTGAAAGAAGCCCCTCCATCACTGCCTCACCACCATGCCATTTATTGACGTTCTATATTATTGGGAATAGATGAACTAATGTTGATTTGTTTGAGTTTAATTTGTATAGGCAAGAAATATGTGTGTGGAGTGTATGAGTGTGTGTTTGTGTTCTTTGGAAAAAATATAAAAAGTGATACCAAAAAGTAGTGATCATGTCAGTTTTCATTGTCCAGTAAAAAACAAGTGTGGGGTTGATCAGAAGTAAACGGCAAAATTTCAGTTGTTTGCAGCCTATTTTTATTTGGGTACATACATACATATATTGGAACATACTTTATATTGGAACAGATTATGTCTTAATATGTTTTACTTAGAATTTGTCAATTGTCATATAAAGATAATGGGCACTGAGATGGGTGTTCTTCTGGAGAGGCTGCACAAAAACAAAAGTGTAAATCAAGTATTTCAGCTTTTGAGTAACTAAAACCAGGTAAAATAATCAAATCATCTCTATTTGCTGGAGGAGATTGAAGCATAATTTGTAAGAGCCATATGGGACATTTGTATTTGCATACGTTCCTTGTCAGTAGGAAATGGAACATTGTAATGACATTCACTTGAATTAGTTAATGAATTCTAATTGCAATTTTAAAACTAACAGCTATAATAAACGTGTATGGCCAACTCCAACTCAAGCTGTGATTTCTAGTTTTCGGACAATGGAAATACCTTGAACGTGAAGAATGAGACTGAGGCAAAATGTGCAGTCACTTTGACGCTCTTCCAGCAAATCCTTGTTCTACATTTGGATCATATAGCCACATGCTGCCAAACGCCGGGCACAGATAATTTTATTGCCAAACCCATAGACTACCTGGGGCTTTCACCTTATTTTGAAAGTCCAGCGGAAGTGCCTGCTGTCATAGCGCTGCTCAGGAGAGATGCTCGTACGGTCGCTGCTGGAGCCTCTGGAGGATGGAGCAGGGCGGATGGAGGAAGAGGAGGCGGTGAGGACGGACTGATCCACGGGCAGAGAGCCTGAGGGATCCTGGGGTGGCAATCGAAAGTCGAATTTTACCAAAACAGGGAGGAAACGACGGGGCCCGTGGTGGTCTCACTGAAGCTACGGGGGACATACCACTCCGTTGCCATTATCACCGCAAGAAACGCCTATGTGGTTTGATTTTTTTTTTTTTTGTGTGACCTACCACCTTGGCACGATGTATTTTAGCCTAAAAGTTAATACAGAGTGAGACTGAAGGGATTTTTGTGGTCTGTTCACGGTACTACCATTGTAGCCTCTCCTCAGTCTGTAGCATCACTTGATAACCCCATACTACTCACCAGCGCACAATTGACCCAAATATATTCAAACTGAGCCACATAATTACAAAAAAACACTTACAAACATAAACATGGAGTTGTTGCAGGCGTTATGCGTGACTGTTACTTTTCTTTGGACTTTGCTGTGCGCTTTGGAGAGCTGTGAATGCGCATTGGATACGTCGGGCCTGTCCCTCGCCATCCGTGTGCCACTGCGTCAAGGCGCACGCACGGAACCTCGGCCACTTGTCGCCAGCAGCGCCCCAGGAGAGAGTCAGGGGGTGGGCAAGGCAAGGAGGAGGCGCAGGGGGGCAGCCACGGGTATCAGCTTTGTGGATATGATTGATAATCTGCGTGGAAAGTCCGGACAAGGGTACTACGTGGAGATGGCCGTGGGGACACCTCCGCAAAAGGTAAGCTCATAGATGTCTATAAAAGGCTGCATGAGCAAGTGGGAAAGGGGCTTATTGGACCTGTTGAACGATAGGCAATTATTTCCTTTCATTTCTGAGCTTTGGAAATGTTTTGTTGTTGTTGTTATTAGCAACATACAAATTCTCAGTTGGCAGATTTTATTTTCTATAGATTTATCAGAGAAAAGGCAAGGCAAGATTATCTGAACAGTATAATTCACACACAGGGTAACTCTTTGTATGAAGTCACAGCTGCCCGGGGGCCTATTGACGTGATTGATTATTGCCTATTGATTGGCTCTCAGTCTGTGTCATCAGCTATCAATAACCACCACCAATTATTAACGCACACAAGGTGTGTCTTGCCATAGGATACAACAACAGTTTGGCACATTACAGCCATCTCATATTTCTTACCTGGCCATGCCCTGCTTAGCTTATGATGGGATCAGGCTTTCACATGGAGGTAACGCCAAAATATCAATATAAAGAAGTCACTATTTTCCACTATTTGTGTAATTTTTGTGAAACAAAGATGAAGTTTTGTTTGGTTTAACTATGGAAGAAAAACTCCCACATAGTTTAGTTACTATAACACGTTTTATACTATCCCTATTTCTGCCCTGTTGTTTTTGTGATGGGACATTTGAGAAGGATTTGAGAGTCCACTCTGTGTCTTTGAGTATTGTTGTTGATATTTTTAGAGCCAATCCATTATTCAGCAGAGCCAGCAGCTGCAGACATAACAATCTGACCTAAAAAGTTAATATATTATTATTTGCATCCATTAACTTGAGCCAGTTTCGAATTACTTTACATATTGATCTGGATTGGGGTCAGTCTGGTTCAACCTTTATTTTCATTGAGTAAATACTATACTTAAGGCTCATTCAGACTTTTGGACTGATTCTGCATAATGTGATACTCTCATAGAGCAGCAGACACCGGAGAGCAGAGCAGTTTGACTCACTCAGACTGAATGAGAAGGGCACAGAGGACAGACGGAAGTGACAGGGCACAGACACAAGAACAGGCTCAACATGTTCTTAGTTTTGGTTAATTATCACTTTGGTCTTTTATCGACAACAATTATCTTATTAATATGAAAAAGAAGGAGCCTTATTTTCAAGTCAATTAAATCAAGATATTCAATTCCATGTTCTTCTAAAGGCTTTTCAGAGGGTAACTGACTATAACACTATATTTTGGCATGACAAGCAGTAATCATCTTGTGTGTTCTCTGTGTCTGTAGCTGAACATCCTGGTGGACACTGGGAGCAGTAACTTTGCAGTGGGAGCAGCGTCTCACCCTTTTCTCAGGAGATATTACCATCGCTCCTTGTAAGTAAAAAAAAAAAAAAGAAGCTTTGTATTAAATTAGAGTAACAAAATAATAAGGAACTACTTGCATCCCTGAATATGTTATTCAGGTAGGACGTTTGTAAATTAGATAAGTTTAAAGTTTTGAATAATTAAAACATGTTTTGTTAAACTAACTCGAATGTGTTATCAGTATCTTCAGTTTATACTTTCACAAACATATGTTTAAAAAAGCTACCTTCCCTCAAGTTTTCAAATGTACATGTATAGTATAGTATATGTATGTATTTTACTGAATATGTATGTATTTTTATGGAAACACGATGGGAATAATGTGAGAGCCTGTGAGTCACTATTTTACAGTTTGAGCTTGGAGCTGATTGGCTGATTTAGAGTGGTCCTCTCATTTTCCCTTCTCTCTCTGAAAAAGCTGAGGCCAAAGATACCTGCATGTGAAAACTAGTGATAGAAGAAAACTTTTTTCGCACGAGGGATGAGTTAGACTAGATTTTATTACATAGTTCCATTTTTTGTGGTTTGAATATCTGATACCCATGCAGGATTAATAATTCATATATAGTAATTACCACTGAGCAACACATTTGGATCTAGATACTGGAAAATGGTGAGCTAATAAGGTTATTGTTAGCTCATTTCTATCCTGTAATGCTTTTCCCTGCATCAGATCCACATCGTACCGGGACCTGGGGCGCAGCGTGTATGTACCTTACACTCAAGGGCGCTGGGAAGGCGAGCTGGGCTCGGACTTGGTGTCTGTCCCACACGGGCCTAACGCCACGCTCCGAGCAAATATTGCTGCCATCATCCAATCAGATCGCTTCTTCATTAATGGGTCCAACTGGGAGGGCATCCTGGGATTGGCGTACGCAGACATCGCCCGGGTAGGAACTCAGAACCACCTGGAGAATTGTGGCATAAATGATGTGGGGTAGATGTTCTAGGTAATTGATTTGGAGGTTTTGAAATGTATTGGTTGCATTAACAGAACGGTAGCTAACTTTAGTCATCATGAGTGGGTGTGAGTGTGTGTGTGTGAGCCTGTGCATGGGAAATAGTAGTGCAATGTGCAATACTGTCCACTGTATGTCACTTTATCTACTTATCCTACCCTATATGTATATGACTTTCCACTATATATATAAAGATAGAGATATTCAGAAAGATTGATATTGAAGCATTTACAGCTATATAATAACAAAGCAGCTGCTTATATTTCATATTTTGTGTGCTCCCTGTGTGCTCTTACTACTGTCCTATATGTGCGCTGCAACATTGAAATTTCCCCACTGTGGAACGTATAAAGGATCTTATTATGTGTGTTATAATATAATTGAGATTATTGAGTGATTTATCCTGGCACAGTGGCTGAGTGGGTTGCATTATACAGTTATACCTTTGCATGTCTCTGCTTGATGTATTAAGACCTTTTTTACATTGTTCCAGCATCATGATTCAAATGTTATATTTTCTCAGCCGGACGAGAACTTGGAGCCATTCTTTGACTCTTTGGTTCGACAGACGCCGGTCCCAAACCTCTTCTCGCTGCAGCTTTGTGGAGCAGGCTTCTCCCAGAACTATTCTTTAGGCAGTGCCACAGTTGGAGGCAGCATGGTGAGTGCTGTATTCAAACCAGCTAGATCAAAATATCCAAACATTTTATTGAATGAAAAAATACTTCCATTTGAGAAGGATACAGAGAATTATGGATTTAGAAAAAGGGAAGGTCAATTATAACTTCACAAAGGGGAGAGAATGTGTTTTGATTTGAAAGATTGATAAATAACGGGTTGAGATCAAAGCCTGTGATCAATGAATAATTGTGGATATGGAAGAGGGCTATGCAGTCTATGGAACTTTATGAATGTCCTATTTATAAACTTCAACGAATAGTATTTATTACATCACATCATCTATCATTGCTATCCTTTGGACTGCATAAATATGTTGCATTCAACCCCAAAAGCAGAATTGACAGTCAATATTGTATGGATCTATCGGCTTTATCATAATAGTGCTACAGCCGATAGTTCAATATGTATGTTTATTTGTATTAATATTTCTTTTTGTCTGGACCTCGTGTCTGTAATAAAGTTTAATGTAATGATACCATTTTTAATATTTAATCCTGTGACCTACATTTTGCTACCTATACTTATTAGGCATCTTAACACTTCATTTTTAGTCCTTTGAATGAATGAACAAATGGTCCACGTCAGAGTGAGAGGGCGTCTCATAAACAAGTGCATAATGTTTTTGTTTACAGATCATTGGAGGTGTAGACCCGTCTCTTTTTGTGGGAGAACTCTGGTACACTCCCATACGCAGAGAGTGGTACTACGAAGTCATCATCGTGAGAATCGAAGTGAACGGACAGGACCTCAACATGGATTGTAAAGAGGTAATAATATTATAATCTGACTGAAAACAGTAACAATGGATGATTCTCAGATCTGTCCTCTTATTTCAGTACAACTATGACAAAAGTATTGTGGACAGTGGAACCACAAACCTGCGCCTGCCAAGAAAGGTTTTCCAGGCAGCGGTCAAAGCCATCGAGGCAGCATCTTCAGTAAGTTTCTCTTTCTGTTTCTCAAAATGTATTTTTCAAAGTACAAAGTAGTACAGCTTTACTAAACCTTTGGGGGGTTTATTTTATGTTTTTATTTTTATTTCTATTATTATGTGTTGTGTTCTTGTTGTTTTGTTGTCTTTAATAAAAATAAAAATAAAACTTTGAGGCCAGCTGAAAATCCACTTTTTACCAGCAGAGGGAGCAATAACCATTAAAACCATTAAAAAAGATAATATGAAATACTATATATTTTTTATTGTTTTATTCTAGACAGAGCAGTTCCCGTCTGGTTTCTGGCTTGGGGAGCAGCTGGTCTGTTGGCAGGCGGGCACTACACCCTGGCACATCTTCCCCGTCATCTCTCTCTATCTGATGAGTGAAAATCGCAACCAATCCTTCAGAATATCCATTCTGCCCCAGGTAAGTAACACGGAAAAAAAAAATAGAAATATATAGACACACACCCTTTATGTTTCCATAGGTGTGATGTGTATTATTGTATGTCATGCAGCAATACTTGAGGCCAGTGGAGGATGTGGCGTCTGCTCAGGAAGACTGCTATAAGTTTGCAGTGTCCCAGTCCAGCACCGGGACTGTGATGGGCGCCGTCATCATGGAGGGGTTTTATGTGGTGTTTGACAGAGAGAAAAGACGCATCGGCTTTGCAGTCAGCACATGCCACGGTTTGGATACTCTTTAAAAATTATATTAATGTTTTAGTCACTATTACTATGAAAATCCCCATACATGGTTTTCTGGATTTTATTCAGTGATTGTTGCACAGGATTTACAGGTTGCAGTGCAATGTCAGCACATTATTGTGGCGATGGGACATAAAGAAATAACATTCCTGTCTGCAAATTCCTGCAAACTGGCATCATCAGTTTCATTTAGATCAATGTTGAGATTTCAAATATCAAAAATGTTGTCAAATATTTTATCTTTGCACCGTTTGGAAAAATAATAATATCACAATAATGGTTTCAAACCCAGTTAAAAACATGATCTTGAACTTAAGCCAAGGTACTCACATTATTGTCTGATTATCACCCAAATGGAACTCAAGAAATAATGAGGAGCACCATGCGTCCATGATCTAGAATTCTATTTTGGTTGGGGGGTTTTTTGTGTGTAATGATTGAAATTTTGTATAAATAGTGTAAAATTCCTTCTTTAAGTAAAAATATGATTGTGTGTTCTTGTCTCCAGTGCATGATGAGTTTCGCACAGCGTCAGTGGAAGGTCCGTTCCATGGGGTGGACCTGGAGGACTGCGGGTACAACATCCCCCAGACGGACGAGTCCACCCTCATGACCATCGCCTACATCATGGCCGGCATCTGCGCCCTCTTCATGCTGCCTCTGTGTCTCATGGTTTGTCAGTGGCGTTTTGCCCGCTGCATTCATCCACATGGAGACTTCACAGATGACATTTCTTTATTGAAGTGAACAGCAAAAAAAATTGGAAATTATGTTTACTTGAATTTAACACGGTTGGTTATTGTGGCTTTTGGAGTTGCTTGTGCTGTGGCTGCGTGGTCGGGTTTAGGCCAAAAAAGGGCCTTTTAACACTGTAATTCAGGACACAAATATGCTCATACCGTTTTTATTTGACATGTTTACATTTGTTTAGATTTGAGGCAATCATTGTCTCTTTTAAACACACCTGAATTGACCCTGACTAGTGCATGATTAAAAAACTGAATTTAGTTTATTAAGTATAATTCAGGATCAGATTAGGAGTGAAGGTTGGAGTATCATTTTTTCACTCTTTATTAAAGCTGGGGTACCTAACTTTCTTTCTCTTCATAAATATAAATTTTATCCAAACAGAAAGAGTCTTCTACAAATAGTTTGTCACCAAATAAGACCACCATATACTGTATACTGTCTTCATCTTATCTTATGCACACTTTACAGAAAGAGCCCTGTGAGTTGGTATTTTAGACTTTGGGCTGAGAGCTAATTGGCTGCGTGAAGGTGGCCCTCTCTTTTTCACTTTTTTGTCTGAAAATTAAAAAAATATATCTAATGATATAACAGAGACCAAAAAATACATGCATGTTTTTAGAGTAAGGATGGATTCAAATATCTCATCCACCTGAGGGTTAAGATCAACTTTAGACCAACCTAATACCTAGAAGTTATTCAATTCCTTTTCCCAAAATGGCTCCAGAGACTGATACACTTTGCCTTTGAATAAAACTACACAATGGCCATATATGCTGTATGGGACCAAGCTTAGTTTATGTTAATGATGAATGATATGGATCAAGACAGTGTAACAAAAGTCAACTACTTATGCAAGCTCTAATGTGGAAATCAAAAAGGCATCGGTGTGTTATGTGGCTTTAAATGGAGTGAGCATGTTTGTGTGCGTGGGGTAAAGTTATAATGAAAGAGCAAGCATATTCTACTGCTATAGGGCCAATGTAAAATATATATATATATTATATATAACATATACAAAAAATGTTGTTTATTCTCAATGTAAAATTGCGATTACAGCTGATGTCACTTTCTTTCTCACATGTTCTGGTACATGTTGTACAGACTTTCTCTATTGCTCTTGCACTGACTGATGATTTGCACATGTAACAACACAATACATATTAACAAAACAAAGGTGTAATAGGGACTTTGGATCTACATCCTTTAACAGGGACCATTAATTTGTCAATAAATCTATCCAAAGTATGTCAAAGAGGATAACATTGTACGTATTTGTCTCTATGCTGCTGTAAATACAACTTTCAAGTGTCTATTTATCTGCCAAAACAGATTGGCAGGAAGAATAAAGTAAATACTGTACCAACTACAAGAATCTCATCTGAATTGTTGAATATTGAATGTTGTAGCTAAATACATGTAGACAAGATCCAGACACATAAAATACAATGTCAGCAGTATACCGGTGGATTCGTTTTTTGCAAAGGAAGAAATTGAATAGACTGTGAAAACAATAATCAAGAGGTATCTCAGTACATTTACAATAACCAAACAAAGAAACAAACATGATAAACAAACAAACAAAGGACAAACCAATGTGATGTTTATTTTATTCAGTTAAATCTGGGCAGCCTCGTTGAACCTCAGAAGTTGTGGATGATGATGGGCTCCCTGTGTTGGGCGCAGAGGACCTCGTCGATGTACAGAGATCCAGATTTGTTGTTGATATTCTCCTGAAGCTCTAGTTGGCATCGCACCAGTGCCCTCTGCTCCTTCTGGCACCGGTCCACGGCCTGGGTCAGCCTGGGACGCAAACACACCAGATGAAAATCAATAGTAATAGTTGATGTGTTATTTTTTCGGGGGTATATGACATGTGAATATAGCAAATGTCATTTTCGCAAATCTTTGATGAATGTATAGCTTTAAACCTGTTGAATTGTGTCCTTACTTGGTGATATTTGTTTTTATTATCTGGATCTCGCTGAGGAGCTGTGCCTGCGCGGGGTCAAAGCACTGCTCTTTGGACGGACGTTTGTGGCGCAGGGACAGCCGCGCCTGGGCCAGACTCAAACAGCTCTCGTTCTCTTTGATGCACCGCTCCAGCTCCTCGCAGAGCGTTTTCTGCTTGTTGTATTCCAGCAAGATCTGAAAAGCACAGATATTAGGATAGTGTCCCACGTGAGGTCTGTCACTGACTGATTAGTTACTCGAAAAAAAAACTATAACAAACTAAATTTCAATGAGAAATTGCAATATTAAGTCATCTACAGTATATGGAACTTTTTACAGCTGAAATGTCCTATATTGACTTTTGAAAACAAATTGTACAGATGATAAATATTGAATTGTTTTGTCAATCTAATCAAACAATAAGCTGACGTTGTTATCATTGGGACGAGACTGAGTCAAGCATTGTGCAGATCAATGACAGTTTAGAGAGGCCTTCTAAGTATTCCTATGTTAATAATTGATTCAGACAAGCTTCAGGGGCAGTCTAAAGTGTAGTTTTTTTGTATATGGAAAACAATGAACCAGTAAAGAATCTCAAAGCTATCTCCTACTCTTTCCAAGTGTAAACAACGATATATTTCAATCTCTGGTCGTTCTTCAGTTGAATATTGCTTCTACCTTGGACAGGTGATCCTCTATTTGTCCCTTAAGCTTCTGGAGCTCATGAACATTGAGCTGAAAAGCCGAAGTCGTGGCCTGTATTTGTTTTTGTAAATCTGATGCTGTTTGCTCCAACAGAGACTCCACCAGAGCTTTCAGGGACATGGAGTTGTTCTTCTGCTGCTCCGCTTTGGCCACATTTATGTCTGAGAAGTTCTCCCACTGAATCGGAGTCACGGATAAACTAATGATCACAGGTCATTAGTTTCAGAATCTGCTGTGAGGTGAACACTTGGCAGTGATGAGGCTCTCACCCTGGCAGAATAGATGTACTCTGGATTTCGTTCATGTTGTTATTGGATTCAGGAGTCATATGGATGCATAAGTTGTCAATGGACTGAGCCTCAAATTTCTCCTTTAAATCTTTCTCCAGATGGTACTTTGATGATCGGTTGAGCCTGAAAATCCACACATAATTAGATTATTTTAGTAATCACAAATTAAGATGACACATCACAAGACAGATTTCACACACAGAAAAGTCCAATAGGGGTAAACTCCACCACCAATCAGCCAACGGCCCCAAAGACTAATCCACAAGGCTTTTTTGTACACAAATTTGCAAAAGTTACAAAGTGTTATATTTCAATTAATATAAAATTAAAATTCTCTTTCAGTGGAGGAAGAAAGACAAAATAAGGATTCAAATGAATGAATTGATCTTACCGTATCTGCTCCGTTATTTGCAGAACCACTTTTTGCAGGAGCAATATCACTCCTTCGAAGGTCTCACGCTCCTTCAGCAGCTCTCGATCTACAGCGTCATGGATTCTCTCCTGAGGGGCACGTTGTACCCTGAACGACCAAACATGACAAATTCCACAATATTCATCACATTAATACAACCCTTAAAAAATATGGGTCAAACATCCCAAATACAGATGCTCGTCACAAACCTTTCATTGATGCATTGAACAGTGACTTTCAGAGGGTCTTTGCATGCCTCCAGAGCTTTCTGCACCCTTCCTTCTAATGTAATGAGGCAATCTGTCTCCAAAATGATATCCTCTAACTGCTGTTCCAGCTCCTTCTTAAGAAACTGTATGTCTTTTACTCTCTGATCTAAACCGAAATATGTTGTGTTTGTCACTTAAAAATAAAAAATTTTGCATACATAACAGTGGTAGAGTTATGTATCTTACCAAGACGTTTTTGGTCATCATCTTGCATACGTTTGCATGCTTTGTTGGTTTCATCCATGAGACGCATAGATTCTGCCCTAAAAAGCTCAGAGTGATCTCGAATAACTTTGAAATTAAGAAGGTTTGCGCTTGCGTCATTTTGGGTGTAGTCCTGCCAAGACATTTTCTCCAGTCGGTTTATGCACCTGATTTGAATGGAAGAGACACACAAAAAGTGTATAGCTCTATTATTACTTGAAAATTAAATACATCAAACTATGCAAGAGATTTGAATTTATAAAAACATAACAAAAAGGCTGTATACGTTAAGATAATACGTTTTGTGTTCAATAAAATAAGAAGTATGATCCAGACTATGATCCAGACAAGTGACCCAATACCACCATGGTCTGAAGAACCATCGATGCCCTGAACTTAACACAACCTTAACTTAACACAACATTGCTAGCGTCAAAGGAAAACCATATAAGTTATATTAACTGCTTAACAAAACCATACGCTGTTCGCACAATAGTATGTTTGTCTTACCTTAATGTCGGATTGATTCCCTGGCCGAGAACAAGCACCAAACTGAAGCTCGTTTAATGCCCAAATGTGTAACAACGGCTCTATGGTAACAGCCTCTAAAACAAAAGGTTGCTATGACAACATCATAGGTTTAAAGACATTTTCTGGTATTTTTTATTCATAAAACTGAGACTAAATTTATTGTAAAAAATAATTGCACATGGTCTACACTTACGTTAGTGTAAATTTTAAGTGTGCAGATCACGGATATACGAATACAAAGGTTTATCTTTTCAGAGTAACGCTATATATATGAATGCATTGGTTAATCACATATTGCATATTATACATTATTTTGCAAATATAATACATCCATGAGAGAAAACCATGGAGAAACAAATGAATAATAATAAAAAACGTGCGCATGCGCGTAGGGTCGATGACGTAGCAGCTGTTTTTCGTTTCAGGGAAATGGCAAGTTCAGCTTTACCACACATGAAAAGAAAGCACTTATTTCAAAGGTAATTCGGCGGTTTGATTTATCACTGTATTTGGGCGCGTATACATTTTGCATTAAAGTGTTGAATAGCTATGTTTATATATTTTGACCATAAGCCGAGGTTTCGTACCTCTGTACCGTGACATGTCAACGTTCTAGTATTGATTTTATGTGATCAAGGTAAACTGCTCAATAGAACAGTTCACACCGCCACAGAAAACTTCTCGAGTTAAAATTCTGAGTATGACAACCACACACTATTGTTTACAAATAGTCATCAGAAGACATCTGACAAGGTTAGCTGGAATTAACCTAGCTAAGCAGTTGAGATTGTTTACACTTGTCTGCTAATGGTAATGTAACGTTACTAGCTTGGTGTAGCACATGCTTTAGTGTTGAGAGGACGTTTAACGGTAAAATGTTACTTCAAACAATCCGATAAACAGTTTCTACTTATTGTGGTAATGTCCCAGTAGTGCCAAAAGTAACACTGGTGTTATAGCGTTAGACTAGTGTTAACCACTTGTACAATAGCCACAGCTATGTAAACAGGTTTTCACAGGCACATTTCAGGGGAGAGAAAGGCATCTTATGTATAATTATTATGTACTGTCTGTGGTTATTATGCATTCATGGGGTTCAGTCAGAGAAAAGACAAATGAGGACTCACAGTCACAGCTATTGCCAGAGTGACAATTCATATTGTATACATTTATTGTTATATATTAAGAATGAGCATAGGGTTCCGGGTGGACATTTTTCGTGTGTGTGACTTATATCCATCACATTATATTTGGTACTCGGTGCCCTCCTTCTACAATGTAATCCTACCATAACAATCATAATACTTTAATTGTATTATATTTCATACCATAAACTAACGCTACTTAAGCTAAATGGTTTGTAACAGTATTCATCATAACTAACAAGCTCTAAGGATTAAACTAGAAGCAACAACAGAATCTGAGATAGAATATTTGGCAGTATGATTTTAATTATATTTTTTTTGAGGGATAATGCTTAAGATGCACCATTTTCAAAATGTTACACTATCAGTTTACAAAACACTGTTGTTGTTTCATACAAACATTTATATTTCTTTTAGGTTGATGATCCAATGAGGAGACCTCGATTGGCGAACCCTGTCCGTTGCCCTTGGGTGCCATGGCAACATCATATTTTGTCCCATTTCTTCTTGTTGTATTTCTCGCCTCTACCACACTTTTATTTATAGCCCTTATACCTTTTGCTTCTCCAACTTACTCTTTCTCGCACTCCTCCTCCTCTCCATGGCCTCCTCCTTCTTGTGGACCAGGTCAGTCCTGGGCTGTGAAGATTCAAGATGGAGAAAACATTGAAGACCTAAATTTAATTGCAGACCAGGTACTACCGATAAGAATTTTGTGAATTTTCTGACTTGGTTCTATTTTAAGCATAAAAAAAAAAAACATATATCCCGATGGTTCACTTTAAAATCAAACCATTTCACTGGTGAAATAATCCACCAAACAAGTGTCCAATGTGTACATCTTTTGAAACAGATCTGTGAAGCATTTTTATCCCAAGTACTACTGTTATTATATTTGGGTTGTGAAAAATATAAAAATCAAGCTAATAATTCCAGACAGAGAGCAATCTGTACAGGCCTGCTCTCTGACAGTACACACACTAACTTTTCCATTGCAAGACATCTCTGAGCTGAGTTATATAAAAATAATCTGTTGAAAGTAAAGCTCAACCTTTCATCTTCTTGTATATTTGTCATTGCATATTGTATATTGTATTTACACAGGTTGCTGAGAAGGCCGGGCTGGAAAATCTAGGCCAGATCGGACAGCTGGAGGGCCACTTCCTTCTGTGTTCCTTTAAATTTGGATCTGGTGTTTGGAGGAGGCATGTTAACCCTGCAGAAGTACTTTCTTCTCACCCTCACGTCCTGTGGTACTCCCAGGACAGAGTGCTCATCCGCACCAAAAGATCTGTGGCTTTCAATGACCCACGATATCCCCAACAATGGCATCTGGTAAGAACGATTATAACATTTACCTGTAATAGGGCTGGGCGATATGGCAAAAAAGTAAAATCTCGATTTTATTTCCTGCTAGAGACGATTTCGATTTTAAATCGATTTTCATTAAAGTCACTGAAGACAGACTTTGCCCTTAAAATATTTGGTGATCTTTCCGCTCAATATTCAAGTTTCAAAACCATTTTTTATTTGTTTCCCCCAATACGTATTATAAAAGTCTTGTACAGACTGTGCTGATATTGCAAGTATAATTGATGTGCTGCTGGAACTCTCACAATATATAAGCCCCCTATGGACAGGTGTTGAAAATTAGCACTTGTGCTATAACACTTTAAACAATGCATCTGGTTCGTCCAATGTTAATTGCTATGTCCATATTAAATAAATAAATAAATGAAATGAAAAAATGAAATATCCTTCATTCGATTTCACAATTTTCACATTTTTCACAAATTAGATTTTTTCAAAAGCCGATGAATTGCCTAAATTCGATTTATTACCCAGCCCTAACCTTTAATAATACAACGGTACATACTGTATTTAGATAGATGGATAGAGCGATAAAACAGCATGCTTAAATCTCTGTGTTAAAAAACAATTAATTCAACTTTGCCATGTAGATGAATGTGTTCATATTTGTTGCAGCACAATGATGTAAACAGAGGCATGGACATAAACGTGACGGGGTTGTGGGAGCGTAATATCACAGGACAGGGCGTCACAGTGGTGGTGGTCGATGACGGAGTGGAACACACTCACCAAGACATTCAGCCCAACTATGTAAGTGCATTCACCTGTATCTGTTCACTGAATAAACAACAATTGTGTGTTCATGGGGGAGGCTCATTTGCTAAACAAAAAACACTTTTGTTGTGTATTTCTAAGTAAATAATGCAGTTCTTTGCACTTAACACTAATGTAATGACATTTTGTATATCTGACAGAGGGGTTGAGCACATGAATGGTTACTTATGTCATCTTCTTTGGTCCACTGTGCAAGTCTAAAAACACAATATAGTATAAAATCATAAGAATAAGAATTGCACAGAAAGTCAACCCACTGAGTTAAAAGCCAAAGTAATAGCCATGTACAGTATCTATTCAAAGTTTGTAGCATTTTGAATAGATACATGAACAACAAGAATGTTTTTATTTGTTTCTATTTTTTTACATGACAGTAGGATACCACAGTAGCATACCACTTTGTTTGTTTCCCTTAGAGTCCTGAAGGCAGTTATGACCTAAACTCGAATGACCCTGACCCCATGCCCCACCCAGACTCCCACAGTGACAACCACCACGGGACGAGGTGTGCTGGGGAGATCGCTGCTGTCCCAAACAACAGCTTCTGTGCTGTGGGCGTGGCTTACGGCAGCAAAGTGGCAGGTACAGGATCACATGTCAAACCACACCTAGATTAAATCTCATTATGAAGGTAAGGATGTAATTATTGTTGTCTGTTTAAGGAATTCGAGTCCTGGACGGTCCGCTGACAGACAGTCTGGAGGCCATAGCTTTCAACAAACACTATCAAGTAAATGACATCTACAGCTGCAGGTATATCAAAGCTTTTTAGAAACTTGTAATAATACGAATTATACTTCTTACCCTTAATTATTCATTCAAATCTCACCATGGATAACTCGTTTCCCATTTATTGTAGAGTATGTATATTTTTTACAACCTGCCTTTTTAATGAATATTTTACATTATTTTACCAAGCTGGGGTCCAGATGATGATGGCCACACAGTTGATGGACCTCATCCTCTTGGAAAGGTATGCAATGCTCAATTTGACCTGTAGAGGGAAGTATAATGCAATCGATTAATACTATGGCCCATGTTATTGAATCCAGTCTGACTAAGTTTCATCTATGTATTTTATTTACAGGCTTCACTGCAGCATGGAGTCATCGCGGGCAGACATGGTTTTGGCAGTATCTTTGTTGTGGCTAGCGGCAATGGCGGCCAGTACAATGACAACTGCAACTATGACGGTTACGCCAACTCTATTTACACTATAACAATAGGTAAGAAACATCTTTGTGTGTAGTAGTTCATCCATGGCAATCCTGGAATTCACAGAGATTGGTGGTTTTTTGCCAAGAAGAATGAGCAGATTTATCATCAGAGAGGATAAAGAACAATCACAAAAGGCTCCAAGCTGTCATATGTGTTACAGGGTGAAATACACAATATTGAGGACTGGGGGGTGTAAACTTCTTCTTAAGACCTTGAAGTTTGGGGTTGTTTCGTAATTATAATAAAAAAATAGAAAAGTGGCAGGTAGTTTTTGTTGTGAAATGTGAAAGGTGTCTGTTTTACAGGAGCTGTAGATGAAAAGGGGAGGATGCCGTTCTACGCAGAGGAGTGTGCATCAATGCTCGCTGTGACTTTCAGCAGTGGAGGAAACCGACTTAGAAGCATTGTAAGTTTGTACAAATAGAATTTCAACTTGGTTGGTTACTTGTATATCCGTGGTAAATGGCAAAAGTTGACTTTTACTTCTGCATAAAGAAGTAAGAAATACTATTACTATTTGGCTTGATAATGCAAAGTGTGCACACTATAAAAAGCAAAGATCTGCTATGCCAAACTACTCTGGTCTTACCACACCATATCGTACTCATTTCATTTCATACATGTAGAGAAATAACAATTGACCGGAGTTTATGGATGGCTATGGCTAGGCTATTGCCAAATTTCATTTTATATACAACAATGAAGTTTAATTTATTAACAAGTTCATCCATCCATCCATCCATTTTCTTCCGCTTTATCCGTTGCCGGGTCGCGGCAACAACAAATTCATTACATGTAATATTATTTATTTGTTTAATGTGAATAGAATTTCTATGGGGAAAAATAAATATAACATTTTGCTCTTGCAATCATTGACCACTTTTTGCATATGACCACACTTTCATCAATGTCGTGCAGCCCTGACTGAAGCATTAATATTACAAGCTAAAAACATAAGATTGTCTATGACTGTATCTTTTTTAACTACTCTGATTTCTCTGTGGTTTAAATTAAAGGGTATTGAGAATATTTTAGGACTTTGTAACTGTATCTTGGCCTTTACAACTTGCTAGAATATTTTTTCTTGACAGTAAGTTTGAAAACAGCCACACCCCACATGAAAAAGACCAGATGCTATTTTAAACACAAGAGTGATGGATGCTGACATGACAGAATAGCCCTGTTAAATCCATTGACCCCCAAACATTTGCTGATGTTTGGGGGCAACGCCAGAGAAACTGAACTCTGCACAACCATGTCATTAAATAATGGGCCTCAGAAGAAAAGAGTAATGCCAAACAACCACAACGTAATTTGCCAAAAGGGAGTGCTATATGCATGTACTGGGATTGAAAAAACCCAGCTGTTTGCATAGTCGTTCTTTGGGAGTCGAAACTTGACTAATGTATAGATAAAACATATAAAGGAGCTAAATGTAAAAAGTGAATTTTGTCTTCTTATGTTTCAGGAAAGAAGCTACTATTACCATTACTCAATTAATTTATTCCACAATGCTATGAAGTGCCTTTTATTCTTTGTGTAGTAATTTCAATAGATAATTTAACTTGTTTGTAAAAGCCGTCGCCCTCTGTCATGGCTGCACAGCTGTTGACTCTCACTGTGTGTAAACATTGTGTCCAGTCTACAAACTGGATCATACTTTTCATTATGTTCGCAGTTGTTGGGCTCACTACCATTTCAAACACAAATCAACCTTTTTGTTAATTTTTTTCCTGGATGCAGGTGACTTCAGATTGGTCGATGCAGACAGGGACAGGCTGTACAGAGGGTCACACAGGGACCTCGGCCGCCGCCCCTCTCGCTGCCGGGATGGTGGCTCTGATGCTGCAGGTCCGACCCTGTCTCACCTGGAGGGACGTCCAACACATAATTGCCTTCACAGCAACAAAGGTACTGTTAAACAACAGTATATAGTATTCAGAAACTTTGTCTCTATATGTCACCACTGGACCATTATTATATTATTACATTGACAGTGTGACAGTAGCGCAGACTGGGGGCTGAATGGAGCCGGTTTCCATCACAGCCATCAGCACGGCTTTGGCCTCCTCAACGCCTGGAGACTCGTCAACGCAGCCAAGGTAAGTCTCTTTTCTGTCAATTTCTGTTTTCACGTAGTGTATGATGTATAGTAAATTAGTATTTTCCTAGGTTTGGGAGTCTGTGCCTTTCCTCGTGTCCTATCAAAGCTCGCTGATAAAAGAGGAAGTGCCTATCACTACATATCCAAACGATCTGATTCGCATGTGGAATGGTAAGCATGTGGTGACTTCTTGTCTTGTCACTTTTCTCTAGATTTGGGCTGAGAGATGATTATATGAGTGAGGGTAGTCCTGTCTTCTTCACATTTCTATCTAAAAGGCTGATGTTATGACATGACAGAGGCCAAATAGTGATAGAACCAAACATGCAAGGAACTAGTTATATTGATTTTACTATAGTTCAATGCTTTGTGATTTGAAAGTCAGGTACCCTAGCTTTAACTAACCCAAATCTCAAACTTAAGACTCCTGCATTGTACAGATATTTTCAGGGGACAACATGGAGTATTACTTTGAATCTAATGCATTATAAACATGAAATATATCTTGAAGACTGTGTTTAAGTTCTATTGTTTCATAATAACACATTTGTTTTATTTACTTTGTTTGCAGCTTTGGCGCTTACTTAATTGTGACCATTACATTTTGCTTGTGAATTGATTTCTAGTCCTCTAGAGCTTTACTGTGGACAGCTGATCACAGAGTTTATACACTCCATTCCTCCTCATTCCCCCTCCCTGCTTCTGTCTCCGTCTGACTGTCCATATTAGGAAATATTCTCAGTTCGTCAGGCATGGCATTCACTTTCAATTACTCCTGGAGATTTGCAACTCATTCAGATTTTTTGAATTCCTCTGAGTTTGACTTCCTCTTTTACATCATTTTTCTCCCGAGACTTACCGACCTAATTTGTTTGCTATGATCTCATTGTAACTCAAATGTTTTCTTAACCTTTGCCCTTTTCCCTTCCTCTTCAGATCCTTTAGATTCATATAATTGTTGTTTTTGAATCTTTAAAATAGCTGTAAAGAAATAGATAGATAGATATATATATACTTTATTGATCCAATAAGGAAATTGTGCATTGGTCCCTTGCTCGCAATCATACAAACATACAGACATAGGATAGAGTTAAAAGATAGAGTTAAACAGTTAGCCCAAATTAAATCACAATAGAGGTCCAGGAATTATTTTATGGCCGCCTTGAGATGATTCTTGAGCTTGGCCAGACTTGAGCACTCAGAGTTGAACTCAAACAACAGAAGAAAAACAGTTTAAACTAAAGCGACTTAAAATGTGTGAGCAGTAAATCTCAACAAATATGTGCTATTTTCATGTCATCGCTTTTGTGTGCGTAGACTGTCTGCTAAATAGTGTAGTGGTCTTGTGCTCTGGGTGGCCATCCCCACAACAATGTTTGGGATTACTATAAGAATGTATTCCCGGACAAATGAGAAGACTTTTTATGATCCGAAAACACAGCAGGGAAAGTACATTTGGGTCTTGACTTTAGGATCTACACAATCTCACAATCTAATTTAATGTTATAAAAGTAAGTAAGTAATCTGTATTTGTATTGTGTGTTCGACAGATAGAATAACAAAGCGCTTTTACAATAGTTTTTGATTTGTTTTTTTTAGGATTTTTCCTCACTTGGTCACCATATACTATAGTTCATTACAATAACCTGGTCTGGCCTGGCTTATGCCTGAGAGGTTTAAAGAAATACTTGAGTTATTATTTGTGTCTAGTTATGAATATATAGCATATGATATAATATAGCACTGTTTTGTTTCTGTTTTTTTTTACTTATGTGAAACAGACAAGCTCAGGTAGAGCTTGGACCACTAAAATCAATAACACAAATAAATATGGTATAAAAAACCTTGGGAAACGATTGTGGTCAGCCAGGTCACTGAATAGAGAGTGCCCATTTAACAATTCATGTAGCACTTCTGCTCTGTCACCTTAGAGAATTACAAAATCTGGAGAAAAAAAAAAGCTGAGATTCAACAATCGTCTGGAGTTCCATTTGATCTGAATAGTAAACTCCTGACATCATCCATGCTCAACTATATGATAAAGCTCCACATCCTCCACTTTAGATTTACGTTGTATTTAGACGTATTTATTCCCCCTCTTTGCACTCAGTCTCTTATACTCACCCTGCCGCTTACAGAGTATAATTCTCCCTTTCCCCTCTCCTGGACACTTCTGTTTACACTGTAGTCTCTCTGGTCCCCTCGTCTCTCCCTGCCTCGTGGAGTGTGCGGCCGTACATGGTCAGACAGCTCCCAGGACAGACTGGGGGTCCTGAAGACAAGTGTGCACACAGAGAGACGGTTCTGTTTTGGAGTTTGTTTCAACATTTATTTAAAGCTGGGGTATCTATTTTTCAAGCCACAACTCATTTAACTATGTAATATAATCCATCTGACTGGTGGCTTGCTCTCAGTTTGGTCACATTTTTAGATCAAGTTTTTCAGACAGGAACTTGAAAAAGCAAAGGCCACCCTCACTCAGCCAATCAGATCTCAGCTGAAAGAATAGTGACTTTGAGGGCTCTTTCCTACATACACAAATATATACATTACAAATAATAAAATTTCCTATAAGATGACATCAGCATGTTGTGGTTTGATTTGTTCCCAGTATTTAGTTACTTTTAAAAGACTTTCTTTTTAAACAACATTTTAAGAACATAAAAAGTTTGATAGCTCAGCTTTAATCAGGACAGTCAATGTGATCTCTTTTCAAAGGCTGTGTGAATACTTTTGTGTGTGATTCTTGCACTTGTCATAAACTATTATAACTATACATCTGCAATGATTTCTGTCTCTCGCAGTAAGTGCAGATGACCTTAAACATTCTGGGATGCAGACTTTGGAACATGTGAGTGTTACCGTGACGATCACTCATCCCTGCCGTGGAAACTTGGAAATTGTTCTGACGTGTCCGAGTGGTATGTCCTCCTTGATCGGAGCCAGACGAGCCATTGACAGGTGAGTTTTAGTTTTACTCCACTTTGTAAATATTTTACTCCAACAACAAATTCACTTATTTATTTGATCTGAACTCATTTTTCATAGTCTGATTTTGTTGCCTGGTTACTGGCAGACTTTGTCATCTGGTGATTACTAACCACACTGTAAACAAGGGCCATAACATCAAAAAACAGTGAAGATTATGCCATAAATGTAAAAATGTATATAGATGGTAGACTGTCAAAGATTTTTTCATTAAAAATTCAGATGCCCTGAAAATTTAGTAAAAGTCCCTTATTCATTTACAAACCAACACATTAATGTTCAGTGCACAAAGCAGAGCTACAGACAAAAGTATCGAAACAAATAAACCCCAAAACCTGTTTCACTTTTGAGGATCCTGTTTAAACAGGTTCCATTGTCTGTGGTTCTTCTAACCTCAAAATCTCACATCTTGAGTGTGGCACAATCCATTTTGAAAAATGTATTTACAGTTAAATATCCTATAATCACAGGGATACAGGGGGGTACCAGGACTGGACCTTTTCCACGGTTCGCTGTTGGGGAGAGAACGCTGCTGGACAATACAAGCTCAAAATCTCTGACCACAGTAAGATATTTTGTAGAATTGTTTTTTTGTTTTTTTATTGAAATTCTCTGTTGAAAGCACAGTTTTACAAGTACAATTACTGTTTACTGTAGAAGAGCCTCAACTGCAGAAGTGTGCAGAGCTGGGAGTCCTGAAGCAGTGGAAGCTGTCTCTGTACGGCTCCTCGATGTCGTACATAGAGGTCAAAGACAGGCAGAGGTGACTTTCTAAATAACATAATTTTACTGGACATAATTCAAAACCACGACTGATTTCATCTCTGTTTTTCAGGTTAGTGAAGGATGCCATGAGCGGTAAATATCTGGATGACAGTTTCTCTCTGCCCTGTCCTCCAAGCCTGGACGTACCGCCAGAGATCATCAGCCCCTTCTCCTCCAACAGCTTACGGGTAAATCTCTTTGAGTGTCCTTTCTAGGGGCTCGGGTTGAGATTAACTTAAATATTTTCACAATAATATTTATGGAAGAGAGCTGTAACAAACTGGTAGCAGCAGCTGGGGCATTTCGTGTGTAGGCTTTCGACTCAATCACCATCCTACAATCGCCACTGTTAGAAACGTCATGTATGGAAAAAATATTGCATTTTTCTCATTCGCCTATGGTACGTGTGAAGTGATGTAGGATCTTACTTGGCTGCTACATCAATAGCAGCAGCTGTAGCAGATCAAAGAACAGGTTATAATGTTATATAAGCAGATAGTAATGTTGAAATACGAATAAATGGGTGTTTCTTAAAGTGCAGAGAAAAGCAGCTTATCGTTTGGTCATATAATTCTCCCATAACTTCATAATGTTGATGTTCTAACCTGATCTAAGGCTGACATCACTGCCCTCAATATCCACAATAAAATACTGGCACAAAGTCTCTATAAATATGGAGATGGAATTAACGAGCAAACTTTGATCAGACAGATCCCCAAACAGAATACCTGGTTTTTATAGACTTTTAGTGCTATTGGCAGGAATGAGTGGTATGTTTTGTTGCCCTTTCTTCATCCAAAGATTTACCTCGTGTTTTCCTAGCAAAGCTGGTTATAGCAAACCATTTTCTATATAAATGTCATCGTAAACCGCTTAAAAGTGTAACGCAAATGCAAGATTCAGCACATAAGCTCCGGTTTTCATGTTTTGTGGCCCTCATCCAGGTCAAACAGGAAACGTCAAACTCAAGACATGGTTTTGTACAGGCCAGTGTTAAGTGAAAGCATTATTTTTTACCACATCTGGCGAGAGCAGATTGTGGGGGAATCCATAAAGCGTTTGAGCTATAACAGTACATGTCCCATTCCTTGTTTTGCTCATATAAAAACCACATAAAAGTTTCATGCCAAAACAGAGGCCAAACAACCTATGAAGCACTCACCGTCCTTTCATTTTTATTCACCCCATAACACAAATTAAAATTTCTAAATGGCTCTTTTAGGAACAGTAAGAACGTTATAGTCCACAGAATGCATTTGCAAATCAAATGGAATCCTTTGCCTTCTCCAATGTAGACCCATGTATTTGAGTCTGTTAACCAGTCTGTTTGGAATAACTGGATTCAACCATTTCTACTGCGATTGATCTGGCTGAGTCCCCAGGAAAGCCAGATCCTAATGAGACATGGCTGGCAGATGCATTTAGGAGCACATGGGTAAGCCATGCTTATAAGAAATATAGGAAACTCATTCAAGTTGATCATTGCAGTGACGAAAAACTAGTCCCTCATTGCACATGTTAAATTATTTTGTTATTAGAATCATAGTGTGTTTAAGAGCAATGCAGAGTGTTGTGTGATTACCTTTACCAATTAACCGTGTGCTTATACTAGATTAATGTGAAAAATTATATCTACCATTACAGTTGCAACTAAATAGGCAAAGTCACAAATCTCTACACTGCATCGTACAAGCTCCCAGCATGTAAACCCTGAACAGAGTGGTTTAATTTTTATGCTTCGTAAACGTCTTCACTGATGCCTTTCCGTCTCCTCAGTTCCTGCTGCTTCTGGGCTGCTTCGCACTCTTCTGGTCGGTCTACTGCGTGCTGGAGGTGACGCTGGCGCATGTGGACTGCGGGACAATGCTGTGTTTGGGTCGTAGGCGCAAAGGAGCCAGAGGCCGGAGGTCCCGGCGCGAACAGGGCGGCCCCCAGGTGCTGGTCATAACCGGAGAGGAGCTGCAGAACAGAGAGCAGCTGCAGACTGTGCTAGAGACTAATATGCCGCTTTTGAACGGAGCGCGCACGGAAACATAGCATTAATCAGATGCTATACTCAGAACTTATACATTCTACTTCAAATCAGGGTCGGTCCTATTGAATGTTACAAAATTGAGTCCATTTCAAAGATCGCAGTCAATAAACTTTCTGAACGGTTGGATAATTTGGTTTCATACAATTATGGACACATTTTGAACTTTTTAATGTGGGTAAATATTCATGCAATTCTTAAAATTTCTTAGCTCAAACAAAAAAGGGAAATCGAGGGACAAGCCAAAGCTCATGAATAATTTATTTAGTTTAAATTAATGATTATCAGTTTTATGATTCAGGGACATTACCTGTCATTATTTTGATACATTTTTACATTTAATAATGTTCAGTGGGAATTAGACAATAGAGCCAATGCTGAAGAGATAAGGCCCACATAACATTAAACAAACTTTTTGCTGGTCATGGGATGGGAATGTATAGGAAATCAATCAATCAATCAATCAACATAATCAAGGTGCATGCAAGATATGAAAACTCAACTCTGAATGACAACTGCCTCTTTGGTATAAAATCAAATCACTGGTTAGAAATGCACTATGTATTTTTTCTTGTGGCGGGCTACACATTGTGCCCAAAGAGAAGAATCAATGTAATGCCACTATGGGACATTTTAGGATTGGTACCAACTTCTTGATTCAAATTTGTTATGGCTGGTGTGGCGGAGGGCGACAGTGGCTCAGTTGGTAGAGCATTGGCCTTTGAGCCCGAAGGTTGTGGGTTCGAGCCCACCATAAGACCTACTTCACGACTCCCACTGATGACTGCCGTTCAACTGTCGTTGTGTCCTTGGGCAAGACACTTAACCCCACTTTGCCTGAAGCCCCCACTGAAAGATCTCAGCTCCTGTGGACTCACCACCTACAGGAGGATCAGTGAGGGGCTGGTGCTCTGTGTACTGGGTGCCACCCCTGACCCAGAAATGGATTAAGGGGAAGAAAATGGATGGATGGATGGATGACTGGTGTGTTTCCAGAAGTGAGAGATATGCCGTTATAATTGAGCACTGATGATGATGACCCGGACCCTCAATTAGAAAACTTATATAATGCATTTTTTATTACCTCAAATGGAGTTCAACATAATTCATTCTGCTTCTTCACCTGTGGCCTCTGAGAACTTACTGGGAACCAGAGATTTTCATTTGACATTTTGGCTTATTTGGTTTGGCATGTTGTAGATTTGCACTTTTTGTTACCTTATCCAAATGAATGTGATGTTTTGACTTTTAGATCGTACCTTGGATTTTACAGGTCAAGTTGAGCCAGTAAGATCAACATCATGTAAACAGACTTCTCTCAGGATGTAGTCGACCTAAACCATGCTGAACTTTTCTACAAGTGGCCTTTTTTTCTGTCTACAAAAGCAACTGAAAAGATTACATATATTTTAATTACCTGAAATGAAAAACCCATTGGCTCATTTGTATTTGTGTTACTTTGTCAGCCCCACACACCTTAACGTGATCGTAAAAGTCACTAGTTTCTGTTTTGGTAGGTGGTGGTTTGTGTGGTGAATAATTTGGAAAACATTGCAGCAAGTTTGGACAATGCACTTTGTATGAAAATGTTACTATAGGTGTTCTTCTACTTCCAGTTGAGCGAGCTTTCTGTTTAAAGGCGTACTATGCAACTTTTTGGAAGAATTTTGCCTTGATATTGTGTGAAGTAACTATTCTGAATACCAGCTAAAGATAAAATAACTGTACTTACTGTAAATTTAGTATTTTGATATAGTAAGTTACTCTCTAACATTCAAAATATCAGGGTTTTTTAGAAGCTAGACAGGGACACTTTACTGTAAGTGGGGGGGTCACCTGTCCACAGATATGCTCCGTAACTGGGTAGTTCTAAAGCCATACTTTCAAAGGCATTTCCATTTCTGTCAAAACAAGCAGATGAAGTTGCATTGTGCTCCTTTAAAGTGACCGGAAACAAACTGCACGACTACATTTCCTTCTTTAATTTGAAAAACTATTGTGAAAAGCTGCATAGAAAAAGTGCGATATGCTGTTTACATTTTAACATGGTCTTCCTTCTCGTGATCAAGTTCTAAGGGCATCTTCTCTAGAATGTGGCTTGACCTTTTCAGTGGTTTTTCTGCAGGTATTTGAACTACTGAGCAAAAACTTGAAGTGGGGTTTTTCCAAGTGTGCATATTTATACAGTGTAATATATACTGTAGATACATAAAAGATATAGAGTATGTTTGGACATTTATATCATGTGTTTTTAAAGAAGTCTAATTTTTTATTTTAAAATGTTTTGGAATAAAGGTGGCTCTGTGTTTGCTGTGCAAGTCACAGGTGAACGGGAATAAAAATATGAGTTATTATTGAGTGGTTTTCATGACCTGTAAGAACAAGTAACAGCTTTTTCACTGGCTGTTCTGGTAAAGTGTAAATCTTGATAATAATGAACATGCTTATGAGGCCATCTGTATTATCCACCATAGACACTGTAACATCCTGATGTTGCTTCCTGTTTCATCAACACTAATATTGGTACAGACATGTCGCCCTGCCCCTTCTGTCTAAATACTCTCATCTCAACTGACAATTCTTACTCTAATACATCATGTTCGAAGCCATTTTCAAATATGGTTGCCTACAAATATGTTAGGGCAATTTCTCTGTGTGGCTGCTTATAGTTGGAAAGCTTTGAACTTGGGGGGAAAAAAGGACATTCTGATGGTCAAGCTATATATTTATTTTACTTAAAGGGGCATATATGTTCAATTTTAGAAACTCACAACCCATAAGAATGAGTGCATGTAGGCCATTTGCAACCCCCTGACTATTTGGAGGTTTTTTTTGCTCACCCAGTGCAGGTTTTTGTAGCTGACTCTTTCAAACTCACTCTTCAGAACTTCGGTCTTGGCTGTGTCTTTTGGGAGCTCCGAGGAGCCGGGAATAACTCATTGTTTTTTTCACCCAAAACCTACATAATGCAATTTAAGAAATAATTTCACTTGAGATGCCAGAGTGAAAATATCCAAGTTTACGGGAATGCATTATATTTTAGTAACTTGAACACAAACAGAATTTTCTCAAGTCATCATTTATTAAGAAAATTTACAAAAAACAGCGCACGAACAGCATGCAGAGTTACCAGATTATGCATGTATCAACAATATCGCGTACAATTTGGATTCACAAACATGAATAAGTTGCATTATTTTAGTCTTGAGTAAAATAGGGCTGGCTCGCAATGGCTTTAGTAAAAATCATTTTGTCATTTTTTTTATGTTTTAGGGTTAAGTCGGCAAATGCTCATAAGTGCAGTGCAAGCTTTAGCACTAATAATGTTGATTTGGAATAAATATATGACTTAAAATGTCACTAATTGCTATCTGGAATTCTATGTTTCTTGAATGGGACAGTCACTCAAATTGCTGTTGGTAGAAATTATTGAAGGATATAGATTTGGAATAGTGGTGATTGACCTGCCACAAAAAACATAAGTCCCGATTTCCGATGAATGTTGCCATATATTTTGGGATTCAGTATTTGCCTTAACATTTCTTGCAATAGTGGGACGCCTTTTGCTATTTCCTCTATAATATAATATCATTTTAGCTGCATATGAATCACTTTTATAGTTCACCACTTCATTCTTGTTCACTAGACCGTTTAAGGATAGTATGTCATTTTATGTGGAATTATTATTGTATAGATTTTTTTTCTAGTGGAATGAATTAGTTTCTCTATTATCATTTATCTCATTATATATTTTATCCAAATGTATTATTGTGACAGGTCTGGAGATTTGTTCCTGGCAGACGTTGGGGTGGACTTAGAGGATCTGTCTTGGTCTTCCGTAGCTCATTCCCTCCTGTGACGCTCCTTTGTTCGAGCCCATCTGCAGCCCAATCACATTCTTCCCCGCCTTCAGCTGGTCATCGCTGAAGTCACGCTTGTTCTCCTGCGCTTTCCTGAAACGGTTTGAAAAATATGTGTAAAATACATGGGAAATGTGGTTAGATGCAAGCCTTTAGGGGGCCCCAGGCAAAATTTGACTTTAGGGGTCCCTAACTGTCAAACCACATAAAATGGTTCCTTGCGCGCAAATGTTTTTAGGTTAGATTTATCATATTTTCACTATCTTTAGGGACCCAAGCTTATCAATAGGACACACAGCTGTGATTGGACAATGCAAAAGTGTAAAAATAATCAACAGTATTTGCTTAATATTAAAATACAAACCGGTAATTGGGTTTAATCTAAAACCCATGCTCTTTGGTTACTAAGGTCATCACCGTGTGGAATGATTGGAACAATATCTAACTCTGAACATTGTAAAGCGCTTTTGGTGACCCTGGTCTGTAAAATGCGCTATATAAATAAACATTACTTACTTACTTACTACGGTGGACGAAATATTGAGAACAATATTTTTTCCTATTAGGTCACATAGCTTCTTTGTAAAAAATAGTGAATATATTTATATATATATATATAACTTATGGCAATCATTACAAATCACAAAATGTTTTATGACTGAAACATTTTCCTAATTTTCTGCATAATCAGGATCTGTATACATGAGTCTCTAGTCTCCAATAGTTGGTCTAAGTTTAATATGAGACGTACTTGAAGAACCAGCTGGGGTCTCCTTTGTATGTGCCTTCTTCTTTGGTTACAGCCAAACTGCCCAGAGCCGACAGAGTCCTCTGAACAGCAGCCAGGTCTTTACCTGAAGGCAACGCACATGACAGTCAAGTTAGTCATTTAAAACCAGAAAATATCAGAGAGAATATGGTTCATGTATGTTTGTGTGCTGCCTCTTTAAAGATGCACCGGGAAACTTTTAGTGGTGGAAGGTCAGCCGCCAAAAGATAGGATAAGTTAAGATAAGTTATTGAATGTTCAGCAATATTGCTTATATTCCAACATGGTGTTAAGGCTCAGAAATACATTAACAAACTTGCAATGTAACTGTAAGTGGGAACCCTACACCATCTCAACTAGATTGTACCTCCATCCATCCATCCATTTTCTTCCCCTTAATCCATTTCTGGGTTGGGGGGGTGGCCAGAGATGCCACCCAGTTCACAGAGCACCAGCCCCTCACTGATCCTCCTGCAGGTGGTGAGTCCACAGGAGCTGAGATCTTTCAGTGGGGGCTTCAGGCAAAGTGGGGTTAAGTGTCTTGCCTAAGGACACAACGACAGCAGTCATCAGTGGGAGTCGTGAAGTAGGTCTTACGGTGGGCTTGAACCCACAACCTTCAGGCTCAAAGGCCAATGCTCTACCAACTGAGCTACTGTCGCCCCAGATTGTACCTGACACGCTTTAATATAGACCCTATAGACCACATGTGTCAAAGTCAAGGCCCGCGGGCCAAATCCGGCCCGCGAATGAATTATCTATGGCCCCCGGGACATTGCCTGCCATTGAGGCAATGTATTGACCCCTTAAGCTCGCTAGCCCCCGCCGGCGGGAGCAAACGAGGAAAAAAATACATCTGCTGGCAATAGCAGATGTATTTTGAACTTCATAAGCCACAAGCTATATATCATTTTAAAGCTTATTTTCTCAGCTATATTTATATGTAAGTGTAAACAATATCAGACTTTGCATTAAAAAGATATAACGCATAATATCGGCACAAAATAAATCTGTCTGTATTTGTTTTTTACCTTTCGTCTTCTGCTGCTCCAACAAATTAGACTTTCCCCATCCTTGCTTAGTCTCTTTCTCCCCGTAACTGTTCATTGAAGAAGAATATCCACTTGTATTTCCCAAAGTATAATCCATTCTGCAGATTTAATCAAAAAACGCCCCGAAAAGAGGTCCAGACTGCTCTTTTACATTTCACCAAGTTTGAGCTTATTTTTTTTTTTTACTATTTTCATGTTCTCAGATGTCTATTACATCTAATATGTACAGTATGAGGATTGGCTTTAGAGCATATTTTATCGAGCCAACAGGTGTCACCGGCACTGCCTCTGGATGTTGAGAAACATTGAACCAGTCCGGCCCTCGGCGCGTAGCAAACATTTTTTTTTGGCCCTCTGATGTATTTGACTTTGACATGCCTGCTATAGACCAAGACAAGGCTACAAACTATGTGCCTCTGGCTAGTTTCTCACTAGTTTTCACATGGATTTTTGTTTTGGCTTCTGTTGAATCTTTAGATCAGCTTTATCAGACAGAAAAGTGAGCCGCTGTGCTGTCAGTCAGAGGAGGTCAAACTTAGAACAACCTTCCAACAGACATGAGAGAATGCTCAATATATAGCTCCTTTAAAAAAACAACTTAAACACCATATTAAAGTAAATCAGCCTCGAGACTATGGATGTAAATTAGCAGTTGTGCTATAATCTGGCACATTTACAATTTGTGTACAACTTGTATATGATTGTTCATGTGTGTTGTGCGATCAAACAAATAAATAAATGCATAAACTTAAGTATAAGAGGGCTCTTATCTTTTGCTAGAGAAAACATGTTTTATAAAATCATGAAGACAGCGTGATGAGGCATTTTGGCAACCTTTGATTCATTCAACACCTGTTCTGTTGAAGTGGCCCATCTTTGGCAATCCTTTCTGCCCCTGCTTTAATCATCTTCTATTTCTCATTGTAAAGGTCACGTGAGTGTTCCTTGGTGGATCCCAGTGTGTGCTAACCTTCCCACAGGTCGACGGTCTGGAACATGTCTGTTTTGGTGACGCCGTATTTCTCGGCAGCGCTCAGGAACTGTGAGATCTGCTCCATCTGCTTGAAGGCCATGGTCGAGCTCTGGATCTTCTTCACCGGTTTGTCTCCAGCGGACAGACTGTTGATCAGCTCACCCAGCACCTGAGCACAAACATGAGACGTACTCTGTAAATGTAAAGTCAGAAGTTTTGTACCTGCTTTCTTCATTATGCTAAAGTCACAGATTTTATTTTATTTTAGTATAGACTTATTGTACATTTATTTTGCCATGTTTTAATTCAACACCACAGTAAGAAGAGACTTTTCCTTATTATCACCGTGTGGCTTTTTAAGAGTTAAAGAGAAGAATTTAGGCACCAAGGATTTTGATGCAATCCAGACAAATATAACAAAAAGGGTGGTGAACCAGGTTGCTGAATAAACATATAAAAAAAAGATCTGATGTTTCAGTGTTAATGTTTTTTGGCAGTACAGCGGAAAGAATTTCAAGTAAGTAAGTGTTTATTTCAAACTTATATTTTCATACAGCAGAACAAAAAACATTCACTTTGAAAAATACAGTTTGAAAAGGCGTCTCCCTTTGCTCACAAAAGGAGGACACTTTATTTGTAGGGCAAAAGAATAGACCTGGCTTTTCTTAAAACGACTTGGTAAAGGGCAATTTTTAAGCTTTTCAAATATTTGTCAATATGGGACTTCTCTGTCTTTACAAATGAACTATTTTCAGCATAGAGCTAAAGAATGTGCAAATAAAAACAGTTTTATTATGAGTCTAAGGCAGAACATTTTTACCTTTAGAAGCTATTGCTACAGATCTACTTAACATTCTTACCTGTGTAAACAAAAGATGTTTTGAATTTAAATTATTAGAAGTATTATTTTATATGGATTCTTGTACTGTGATTATACATGCTTTTACTTGTGTTATTAGCATGTCTCCTTTATTGTCTGTAAAGCACTTTCAGTTTCCATGTGCAGGAATTGTGCTATACATATAAACTTGCCTCACCTTGCTACAAATATATGTTTCCCTAAAGTGCCACAAATATGATAAAGGGCCCCAATGTCACACAGCCGCAGTATGTCCAGTCAACGAGAGATTTTAATATACATTTCAGTCGAGTTGGACAAGCCCCAAAATACAATGAAAATACACATAGGCCTTCATGAGAAAAGTTTGTGGTCATATTTATGTCTTTTATGTCCCATGTTTTCTCCTAGTCCGTACTCACACATCCATCCTTGAGCCAGGTCTGGAAGCCAATCTTGCCGGGTTCGGGTTTGTCGGCTCCACACTGACGGGAGATCCACTCCACCAGCACCAGCTCCAGCTCCTGGTCGTACTTGCTGTCGATCTTGTCCTGCACCTGCCTGCTCAAGCCGTATGAGGGCCCTTTGTTAGCCATGCCGACTCCCTGAATGGGACAAACCATTTAGACACTGGGAAGATGAAAGAAGGAGGAACGGACCAACAGAGGTGGTTCCCAACTCATTGATTATCTACAAATGAATGAATGAGTAACAAACTAAATTAAAATATATTCTTCCCTGGATTCATCTTATTGTCCATTGTACATAATCAACAATGTTAAAGAAAACATTTTATGACTTGAATTCAGGATTTTGTTTTCAATTCCTTTATTTTTTTGATAGTTTAACATTATTTGAACCTTGATTATTTGACCAATTGTTGATGTTTCTAACCATTTTAATCATATCATCGCTATTTCAAGCTAGAACTCCCAGTAGTGTAAGGGAAAAAGGTTTATTGTAACCAGTCAGACATCTTAGAACGGGTAAAATATTTCAGGAAAAGCCAATTAATCCACCCTGGTACTTTATTTATAGAGCATGCCATTCTTCATACCCATTTACAATAAATCACTGGTCAAGACTCAAGATTCAGGAATTTATTTGCCATTTGCAGTAAAACCACATTGGAAAAACTGTGCAAGACTACCCCAGTGTGCACCAGGATAGTACACACCAGCGCTCCTGCCACAGTGCCATGGTATCTTTCCTTGTCTCCAAAACTTTAGAGCACTGTAAATATACTTTTTTGGTTTGATTTTCATTTCTTCGCCTTAGCTTCTCAATGCTACATGAGCCCACAATCTTAGTAAAAATAAAAGCCTGAATTCAAGTCATCTTAAGTCTGTACTATTGTATTGTATGTATTGAAAAGAGCTTTGAAAAAACGATATTCTAAAGCAGTGACTATGGTATTAATGCCAAAAACTAATTGTATCATTAGATTTCGCCTTCTCACTATTGAAAAAATCATAAGTTTTAAGAATAATAGATGAAAAAACACAGGGTTTCGACATTAGCATCACCAGTTGGGAAACACTTCTGTTTAACTGTTGCCGGGAGACAAGAAAAAGAGGACAGCTTAACAAAATTACAGTAGAGATAATGGCTATGTACACACCAGTTCAAACCACATAAAAAACAATGCAGCCACCGTAGTTCTGGTGTAAACATAGCCAAAGATACATAAACAAAAACATACAAAAATGACACTATGACATTTACCTTTTGCTAAAAGTGTGTAGAAATAGAAGTTTGTGTCAAAAACAAGCAAGCATAGAGTGTGTCTTACATTGAACCATCTTTTCGAGCTGCTTAGACACAACTCGATGTAAATTGGGCATATTTCTCAGCTATTCTTGCAACATCATGCAGTGGAAACCCATTGTTCCAGTTTCCTTTCATGCAAAATTTGTAAGAAAAGCATGTAAGCTCTAAGACTCTTTTTGCCAGAAGCGTTGTGGCTCCTTACTCTGTTAAAGCCAGTCCCCATCGGCGTACATTGCACGCACAGCCTCAGCCAACACATTTTTCCCATCCACACTCTCTCATTCATCACTCAAGGTCTGTCAGCGCGCAAGTCAATGCCAGCACTTTTTAAATCTATCATTTCATTGCTTTTTTTTCTCTTTTCTTTTTTTTTTTTCGTTGTTGCATTTGAGCTCCAGCCAAGAGCCATACTCGGGGCACACCGCTGTCTGCAACATACAACCTTTGCAGCCATGTCGAGGTCTTCTACTTCCTGTTCCTAAAGGACGTCAAATGTCAAAGATTAAACCTGTGTGTTTTGAGATCTGTGTGGGTGTCGGTCTATATCAGGGATGGACAAATGTTTTCTCCAAGAGGCTACATTGGTGTATTGTTAGATTATGGGGGGCCCAATTTCACTTTTGATTATATTTTCCATTTTCTGTGAATGATAGTAGTAGTAGTAGTAGTAGTAGTAGTAGTAGTAGTACTTTTCACATGACATTCCTGACTTTTACCATCATCATCATCATCATCATAATCTTGTCGATACAAACAAAAAACAGCAAAAGTTATTAATATATGTTCCATATTTCACTGCAATAATCAATGTAAATGTTTTTTTTATTTTTTATTACTATGACGTGTGGTGCACTGAGAGTTGGGTTAGGGTCAGGGTAAGAGTCACTCCCCTCATATTCTGATACTTCAGTTATAAATATGATTAAAAATATACTTAAAGAAGAGCAGGAGAAGGAACCATGGAGCCAGAATATCCTGTGTTTTCTTTGTGTTTGTGTAAAGTTTCTTCTCACAGCATGATATTACACTGATAATGAGTTTCAATACTCCTTTTTGGTTTTGCTTGGATTGAACCAAAACTGAGAAGTGAAGGCTGATTTACAGATTCATATTTGTGACAAATTCTTACTGGAAAGAGTCTGTATAGATGTGAGTAGGGCCCAGGTCTGGTCTGTAGGTAAAAGGTCTCTGTCGCACCTTTCAATGTGTAATTTGGTTTCCCGGTGAATATGTCATCACAAGGTGTGGCTTAAAGAGAAATGAGAAAGCATGACTCTATATTATTAAAATACTAACTCAGAGGTGTAATGCTATTGCTGTATTCATCCAGTTTGGAAACGGCATGAATCTTTTAGGCACTCCCAAATGATCTCAAAGAATAGATGATAGATTTGATCACTGCTCAAGGTTTCAGAGCTATTTGACATGGTTACAAAAGAAATAGGAGAGTCAATGAGTAATGCTATTCAATTATATGAGTTCACCTTTTTGTATTCTTTTATTCATAATGGGGCAAAAGTAACAGTAGGCTTCTGTGTTGGTACCAGTCTCCTGTATGGAAAAAATCTGTATTTCTGTATTCATATATATGTGAGTCTTATCTTACACTGCAAAAAGTGATGAAAAATTGCTAAAATTTGGCTAAATACAGTTTAATTTGAGCACATTTCAATCAATAGAACATGCTAAATTATCTTGTTTTAAAAAGATACAGGAAATTTCTCTTTTGGAATGAGAAAATCAAGCAACAGCACTAAATGGCTTTGTTCAATTGGAAAATCGTATTGATGGCCAGAATATACATAAAAAAGCACTTGTTTCACACAACCATTACCTCATATTTTATCAATTTTTGCAGTGTATGTGTCCGTCTGTGTTTATTGTTATGTCTTTTTACAGTCTGGAGAGTCTGTCATCAACACAAAACGACAAAATAGCTACTTTTTTCTCCAACAAAGCATTAAACAAAGACCCAAAAGAACAAATTGCTCAAAAATTATCACGTTCTACTCTTTGCATCAACGGTCTGTAGCCATTACCGGCCGCACGCAGAAACCACATGTCTGCTCACTATTGTTTACATTGCCTTGGGTGCTTTTCCAAAAAACGCCAAGAAACCAGCAGCTTGTACTTACTGCATACCAGCACAAATCAACTCCCTACTTTGCCTTTCCAGTCCGTCTCTCACATCGCTCTCCATCTTGCTTCATGCGTCACCAGGATAATCATGCGAGTTGTTTGTCTCTGGTATGCCGATGCCTTTTTCCATCTGGTCTATAAACCACTCGCTTGCAACCACAAATTCACTTTCTAAGCCTAATTTGCAGAGGATATTGCATCTCGTCACGTCCATATCGAGCTGTATTTTTAGAGGTTATCATATTTCCGTAGAGCTGGATCAGATTTATGCATACGCCGGGACCTTTTGTTGTGTTTGGGTCCAAGCCCAGATCGAATAAGTCAGGATTACGTCAAACAGGCTTCAGAGCCGTCTGTCTGGAAACTTAATTCACCTGATATATGTAAACAGAACGTGGGACGGAATATGGGAAACAGCTTAACATGTTAAAAAGAGGACAATTACACTCACAGAATGCAGAGAATATAACATTTTCATTTAAAAGAGTGTTTGCCACGAGGGGTTGGTTTGGCAGTGTGGTTTGGCTTGTAGATCCTAAACTTCGACTTCAAAAATACCATAAAAGAGACCAACAAAATAAGTGTTTCATATGAGAACTGTATTGATCTGAGTCTATTTGACTTGGTAACATACAATTTAGGGATGGAATTACAATACAACATATAGTTTGATGCTAAAAAAACATGCTGCAGTAAAAAACATACATGTCAGGGGGAGCCTTGTGAGTCACTATTTGACTCTTTGGGTTGTGAGCTGTGGCTGAGTGAGGCTGGTTCTCTTTTTGTCACTTTTCTGTCTGAAAAAGCTGATCTAAAGAAGTGACAGAGGCCAAAAATACATGGATGTGAACATCTTTTTTTATTTTATTGTTGTTGTTTGAAAGTTAGCTTTAACTTTAAATTGATAAAACCTACTGGTTCTTGTCTTATCTCTAAGACAAAAAGTAACCAAGTACATACAAATTCAAGAAATTATTAACTTTGTGACCTATTTCAGATCATTCCATTCTTTCTCAGCGTGACTAGAATCTGGCAAATAGTATTATCCATCAGTAAACTTTTAAGAAATTATGTTTTTCATAAAACCAGTGAACATCCTTCTGAGCTGTTGAATATATTGGAGCTTACCCTTTCCAAAAAATCAGGGACTATTATCCACAAATGTCATGTATGATATTCTGTTTTATGCAGACTTTATTATTGTTTAAGACCAGTTTAGGCATAATTCTTTCCAAGTTTTAGACCATATTTTAGTGTTATGTTGCCATGCCACGACTCAGGAATCCACAACATAAAAGTGAACAAGAAGACAAAGCAAAAACAAAGAAATTGACATCCTCCCAGGGAAAAAACAGCTTTACATACCAACTAGAGTCATGCTGCAAAAAGAATAATCATGTAACTTAATGCTTCTACTTTGTTGGTTTTAGAGAAAATAATGTGCAAATGGAAAAAGCAGTTTGTGTGTTATCTCAAGAGTTTATTTTTATCTGATACCAAGTGGAAAAAATGCTTGTCACTTCCAGTCCAAATATACTTAAATCAAGATAGGAAAAAAACGAGTTATTTCAAGCACGTCGTCACTTGTTTGTGCTCTTTCTCTCACTGAATATACAAAGAGAACATCGAAGGCGTTGGAAAGACACAGCCACATCATCTATAAACTTCCTCATCTTTCATGTGTTTATTCTATCTATTATGTTGTGATCATGTTCTGGAATAAGCTTTAGATACTTTGCACCTCTTTGTCCCTCTGCAGCTCACTAAATCCATACCATACTGCAGTGTTAGCTCATAAATCCCTGGTCCGGCCTCAAAGTCATGACTTCATTCGTCTGTACGTCTGTGTTGTGTGACTGTTGTGCCATTGTTGCCATGGTAATGACTCTATCAGGGCCAGGACAGGAAGCGCCGCAGTCCCGGTCGCAGTGGATTGGTTGGCTAAAGGGCGGCCCCAACGCGAGTCTGCGTTAGATAAACTTAGCAATTACACGATTAACTACTGTATGAAGCCATCTCTAAGGAGTTGGTAAATGTGTTGTAAAAGTCCAGGGTTGGTATGTTGCTAAATTGCTGTAATAGTAGTATAATAACAATACTGTAGCAATACGTTGTAATAGAAACGGGGACGAATCTCAAAATATCCTAAAATGCAAACTACAAAAAGTGTAATGCACGTTTGAATAGGCTGCAAAACTGAGGTCTTTAAAATGTCAAAATTAAACAATAAGAACAATTAAATATATATTCTTCTTGATGATATAAGTTGCACAGTTTGCGGAGGCACTGGTATCGGATACTAGTGCCGATATTGGAAACGTTGTCGGATCAGATATTAGTTTGATGGTATCAGTGAAGTGGATATCCGGATTGGGCCGTTCAGTTCATTCGGATTATGTAATAAAACAAGTTACAGATAACAGATAGTGTGTGTGTGATGAACATATATATATATATATATATATACTGTATATATATATATATATATATATATATATATATATATATATATATATATATATATATATATATATACAGTATATAGTTAACAACCTAAATTTTATTATACTTTTATTTTTTCTGTGCTAAAGGTCCCCCTCAAAAAAGACACAGTTTATCTCAATGGGACGATCCTTAAATAAATAATAACTCTATGATGCTGTTTGCAGGGGATTTTTTTTTTAATCAATTGGCTGCGATTTCAGACTCTCAGTATACTAGTAGGATGCGTTTATGGAGCTAAAATTTGGAACAATCTTCCTGAAGATGTGAGACAGGCCTCCTCTCTGACAATGTTAAAAACCAGGTTAAAAACAGTTCTGTTTAGCTGTGCATACAACTGAGGGATTTTATATTTTTATCTTTCTTTTTAATGTACTGTGATTACTTATGATTTTAATGCTATCTTATTTGGTTCAGCACTTTGAGTTGCCTTGTGTATGAAATTGTGCTATACAATTAAATTTGCCTTGCCTAGCCTAGCATTGACCAACTTGTTAACTATACTTGTAACCCTAACACTAAGCAAACATAGTTGAGCAGTCAGCCAACTCTTAAATTCCAAACAAAATATATTATACTATCAATTTGTTCCTTTATTTTTCCAGATAAACAGTTTTTATTGGCCTTAATAAAAAAGTGCTCCATGCCTTGTTCTTTCTGTATGAACATGATGGAACGTATCTGACACATCACTCAAACACTGGGCTAGCTAATGTACCGTAGCATGTTTTCCATCTCTTTTCTAACTCTCACAGTGGGGCACCAGATGCTGAGTCCTCCATTGTAACTGCAGCCATTTTTCATACAAGCGTAACCGCGCTGGTTTGAACCTGTTGCCAAACTATGTCAATCTTTACAGCTTCTGGGTCTTTGAGTTCATGGAGTCTTTGCGTGCAGATAATGCAGATATAAAGCCCCCAAAGACAGCCTGCTATGGATAATTTCACCGCCTGTAAACGTCAGTGTTCATGAGTGTATAGTATTTCAAACTCTTGGCAGGTTCAGCGTGTTGCATGTAAAGTCTCGCTGAGCCGGAGCCAACGGAGGAGAGGGATTTGACTTTGCAAATGAGAAACAGCTACTGCGTGCCCTGTTGACCGACACATCACTGCTGCAGGGAACTTCATTTGAATTTGACAAGTTCCTCTATTTGTGAATCCAGAAAGTAAACTAATAATCACTAGTTGTTCTCATTGTGTTTGTTTTCTGAAATCTTTATTCTATACAAGCTACATGACGGTAAATCAATATGCTATATCAGAATTATGTTATCTGACTATTTAAAGGGCTCTGTGGGAAAAAACATGACACATTATAACATCTAAAACTGAATAAAGACTTTTTAAAATTGCAATCACTGTAACCTCTATATTGTCTATAACATGTTCTGGTTTATATATATATATATATATATATATATAAATAAATATATATAGCGTCTAAAAAAATGGTAGCTTCTCATGGTATAAACAATACATAATTTGTTTAAGAACATAATACTATGAGTCAAAAAGATTACAGATACTGCTCAGTTCCTTATTGTTTTTGTCACTTAGGGCTGGAGTAGCTAACTTTACTTTTTACATTTAATATATATAAAAAAAACAGAAATAGTGTCGGGAAAGTTAAAAACATGTTAATACTTTGCACATTTGTCAAAAAATGCAAATCTATTTACAAGCCAACAACTTTAGTAACATGTATTTTATTATATAGTTTGATGTGTTTGTGTTTGGAAAATCAGGTACCCCAGCTTTAATTAGAATAAGATGTTATTTTAAGCCCTTTAGGACCAAGAAATATCACTGTTTTGATCCAAAACTGTTGAACCACATCAAGAACAAAGGCACACACAATAAGACGCACAATAAAACATCATGGTAGAAATCTTATCATGTAAAAATCACCAACATTGTTAATCTTATTATACACAAACAACTCTGGATCTAAACATGGATCACACATTTTTAAAACTTAAAACGTATACTCACTGTGTGTAGGAATGGGACTTGAGTGCAATAGACTGATGCCGCACTGAGAGCTGCTCTTTGCAGGACAGGAACCTCCCTCTTAAAAACCACCGCCTTAAAAAGTCCACATCAGGGCACGATGACTTCACTCAGGATCCTAGGAGGGAGGGAAGGAGGGAAGGAGTTAGGAGGTAGGAGGTAGGAGACAGTGCATGAGGGTAACTGGAAAATAGGAAACTACAACCTTAAATGGACATGCCCTTTCAGCGCCTCTCTTTCTCTCCTGAGCGTGTGTGTGAGTGTGTGTGTGTGTGTGTGTGTGTGTGTGTGTGTGTGTGTGTGTGTGTGTGTGTGTGTGTGTGTGTGTGTGTGTGTGTGTGTGTGTGTGTGTGTGTGTGTGTGTGTGTGTGTGTGTGTGTGTGTGTGTGTGTGTGTGTTTAGCATCTCCTGCAGTCGGACGCCTTATTTGGGTAGAGCCAGTCTGACAGAGCAGAGGCTGGTGTTGGTGTGGTCACAGGGAATTCTCCAAATAGTTTTCGAGGAGCTGCTACTTTGTCCCGGCTGAGTAGAGGCGGTCTATGGAGGAGAAGAGACAGAGAAATCATTATTCATTCACAAAAGTCCATGTATGTCCTGGAGGAGAGAGAGGACACAGTGTGAAGGTGCTGTGATGACCAATTTACAATAGACGTAACATTTGACATTACTTGGAGAGTGATTTATGTGTAGGATTTAGCAAAATACAAGATACAAGTCTACATACATACAAGTCTAGCCATCTTTAGAGTTTAAATGGACAGGGGGGAAAAGGTACTACACTGCAAAAAACGTGAAAAATCAGTAAAACATTCAATGTATCTTAATTTGAGTACATTATAATTTTCCTTTTTAAAACACAATGATCTTACAAGATACAAGAAATGTCTTCTTTGTAATGAGAAAATAAACCAACTGTTCTTGGGTTAGGGTCAGGGACTAAATTGCTTGTCGCATTGGCAAATCTCTGTCATTGAAATTTCCTCACTGTGGGACAAATAAAGGTCTATTGTTTTCTTTTTGACAAGATATGCAGAAACAAAAATAAAAAATGTTGCCTCATATTTTATAATTTCTTGTGTTCTGAGATTTATAGTCAACTGGTCATCTGTTGGTTAGTGACTATATATTATATATGTGTGTGTGTGTAAGGTTCCCCTGTTTCCTATAATATTATCAATAGTTGTAATAATTATAAAAATACAATGAGTAAAATAATAGTTACAAGTATATGAAAAGTCTTGCTGTAAACATTCTCACACCTTGTGGGAATAATAATGCATTTGAGAGTGAAGTCATCCAGACCTCTATAAAACAGGTCTGGTGCTTGTGCTGACACTTTTAATTTCTAACAGCCAATAAAACACAATGTAAAGAAAGAAAGAGTGCAACTGAGAACTCAATGGTCCACAATAAAACATATAAACTCAGGTGTTCAGACTTCAAGAGTAAGTAGTATGGATTTATATGAAGTGAGTAAAGAAATACATGTCTCCTACCGTCAGATTGTAGAGAAGCCAAAACCTGCTCTCAAAACTGTGACTTCCAGGAAGTACGAACCCAATAAACTCAAAACTGAGTGATGTGTCTGGTCAATGGTCAAAGACACGGAGCCAAAGATTTTGTGGCATTAAACCATTTCCATGACGACAGGAAAGTGGCAGCAGGTCAAGGACAGAATTTTTTGTTTTGTTTGACCGACTTTACAAACATTTATCCTGATAATTTAACGAGAAAAGTACTTCATAAATGCAGTATGTGTTCGTAGGCCGACAAAAAGTGAATGAAAAATGTACACAATGAACCTTTAAAACAGGGCGAGTCAAACTAATTTGGATATTTTGAATTCTAATAGTTATTTATACAAAAAAAAACACTTCTAATTATGAGTTTGGTAGAATAGATTAAAACCCTCTTTATAATGAGGTATAACATGCCATAGAAGCCCATTGTCATCAATGCACAAAATGTTAATAAAAACCATTGAAAATCATTTCAGGAGCCACTAAAGATAAAAACACAGAAACCAGTTAAAAGTGGATTTATTGAACTACAATTTTTTTGTTTTTAAACAAATTTTCAAATGAAAAACAAGTTAATTCAAAAACTCAATCCAGGTAATAAAAGTGCAATTCTAAAACTCCAAAGCCAGCGCTTGTTGTCTCTAGAAAAACTGTGAAACCTGACTAATTGCAGACATAACTCATCTTCTGAAGGCAGAGAGCCGGCTCCATTAAACAACCTTCTAGAGAGAATTTCGTCTCTCGTCTTTCATTACGTTGGAATGTGTAGAGCTAAATATTTTCACCACTGTTTAAACCAAGACTATAATAAAGCACTCGGAGAAAACAATCTTTCTGGTCAGAGAAATTCAAACTGATTAAAAAGGCACAGTATTTGCAGCTCAAGTATTTCTGACCTAATATTGATAGAAGATGCAATAGCGCCACCTACACTTGCAGGTGATCTGATATTAATTAAAGTTCTAGATACAACAATATGTCATGATTAGAGTCCTGTTCACTGAGGCGAGTTCAAATCATAAAATTCAGGCCAGCTGCACGATAAAAAAGTATCCCAGTTTCACCCAGCAAATACACAATTCATTTTAACCAGGATATGAGAGATTTTGTTGTTCTAAATAGATGTCAAACTAGACTACATAGATTAATATACGTGTTTACTATAATATACGAGTTATATCTACTAAGTCTGATTATTGATGCATAGTTATAGACCTGTTCTGAGCCGAATGTAAATATTGAATCCCTTCTTAATAAAGACCAATCATAGCAGTAAAGGCCGCTGCTCGGTTGTGCAAAAGAAAATTCTATATCCTCAGAGGAGTGGTGGGAGACGGTGAAAAAAAAGTTTTGGATGTATTCAAAATGAGAATAAAGAGCGCCAAAAACAGACCAGAGACCCGGCTACTCAGTTGACAAACACTGAAATACATGGTGAGTCAGTAAAAAGGGACTGTACACGGTTTATTCCTCACGTTCTCTGCCATAGTCTTCCGATACTATGGCGATTACGGTAAGCTTTTTAAGACCAAACCACATTTCCGGCCCCTCAAGGCAATAAAACTACAGATAATTACTGAAAATGCACAGCAAGTGATCTCTTAATAACATTAACTGCTTATACGACATCTCCACAGATCCTGGATCAGCTACAGGCTCTAACTTATAACATATAATCAGTATAACTATTACAATTCCCCTTAAAGTCATGTTTAGTACAATCTCCTACATGCAAAATTAACTATTTTGGTCCAATTCTGGTGAATTTACTGATGTTTTGTTTTTGTTTTGGTCAAGACTTAAAGCTGAATGAAGCGCAGACATTTACAAGTGAATCATTTTTCAAATATAGATAGAATATTGTTGTGAAAACGTGCTCAAAAACAATGTTGTCAACATCTCCCACCACATCCTTGATTCACCCATTGCAATAACATGCTGCTTTACATTTCAAACAACAAGTCCATCTAGACCTATTTTCTATAAAGGTGGGTACCCTCTGTAATCCATCTGAAGCTTTACACTGAAAAACAGGATAGAAAATAATATAAGTCAATAGGTGCTTGACGTAATTCTTGGGAGCCTCTTCGGCCTGTTTGTCCGTGGGAGCAGATCCCTCTCTTGCTGTGGGTCTCCCCGAAGTTTCTCTTAATTCTCCCACTGGGTTTTTGAGTCGATGCAGTAAGGTCTGAAGACAGTGATGATCCGGGACGTTTATGGACATACTCCTGCATTTCCTGTGTTCTAATGACTCTACTCTCAAATATGTAGTTGGCGATTTGACAATTTTGTCCTCCGAGACGCCTGCAGTTGTGAATGGGGCTGTGCAACTACGTTTGAATTGAAAATGGTACTGTGCTTGAAAATAAGTCTACATACAGTTGAGTTCAGACCAGACGGAGACGGAGACAATGGGAGTATGCGTCAATGGATTAAGCCCTTTGTTGTTGATGGTGGAGTGCGCACAATGTCCAACTTCTGGGCTGAACACGCAATCAGGGAGCAGGGTAACAGAGGGAGATACAGGAGCTAAACCAGGACTGACATTAGTGGAAATAGTGATTGTGGCCGTATGCTTTCACCCCGAGTTCACAGTCTACCGTGACTGTATTAAACAGGGCAGAGGAGACGATCGCACCAGACAGAAGAGAGGCCCCCTGGAGGAAATGGTGGTCCTCCCTGTAATGTCTGACGTCTCTGGGTGATCTCATGAACCCAGACGTACACAAAAAAAACACTCAAACTGATCTGCCATCAAGCTTGCCCATCCCTTCCACCCTGCTGTTTCCACAACGCCCTGGGGTTTCTGTCTAAATTTATGCAGCTGATAAAACAGATAAAAATCCCCAGTAGCACAGTTAACTGTTTTGGCCTGAATCCACCTTGAAACTAGTGGTTCCATTGTCTTTTTGTACTTTTTTAAGACAGTTGAAATGTACTCACGATAAGTTGTGCCTAATTCAAACATTTATAAACGTAATTTTATCATTTATGCAGGGGTCTGTGCATTGGTCTTTGATTCGTTCTTGCTTTATCATCAACCCCTTCGTTCTTTCACACTGCAAGTCCAGGGAAGACACACATGTGGTTTTCTCTCCCCTCTCTCTTTCTCCTCAGAGTGCCTCAGGTCGGGCGTGGCAGCTGTCGCACACTCTGACGGGGTGATCCCAGCCTCGAGACGGCACGGGTTTGAAGTGGGTGGAGCAGGGTCCGCACACGCCCTGCCCACACGCCCTGCAGTGGTGCTTGGACATGATCGCGGTGAAGGCCTTGGAGCACTGGTGGCACTGCGTGATGTCCGCGTCCGGGACCCAGTAGTCTGGACGCGCTACCTCCTTCACAAAACCTGCGCGGAGACAGGATGTGCAAATTGTAAAAGGCAGAATTCACTTTCCAAACCCTACTGTGAGTAATCTTTTTGAGGAAAACATTTATGATTGCATGCATTTAACCTAATCTTTATTGGAAGCATCAATAAGAAAGTGACAAATTTCCTTACAGATACACAGATACACTGCAAATGAATAGTTACATGAAATTCATACAGATAAAGAATAAAAGGGAGTGGGGGGGGCTCTAATTGGATTGAATGCATTTTGAAGTGTTTTTTGCCAAAATCTTCAACAAATTCTTACATTAATCATATTATACTTGGCAGAAGTTTTATTTAATAGAACCAAGTTATTATCCATTTCCAGACTGCTGATCAAATAAAAGCTGGTATATCAAACTTTTGTGCTGTTGTTAACAGATCAGACCACAACATACGGTCTTCAATTTGTTTTTATATGTGCGTACTATCTCGCTCCTACCCCTGTGTGGAGTGAGAGACAAATGCCCACAACAATTGTAAAGCGCTTTGTGACTCTGGTCTGTGAAAGGCGCGATATAAATAAAGATTACTTGCTTACTTACTTATACTACCTATGAATCACTATTTTACGTTTTGGGTTGAGAATTTATTTCCTCAGAGGGAATACTTTTCTCTTCTTCACTTTTCTGCCTGAAAAAGCTGATCTAAAGATTTGATAGAGAGCCAAAAAATGCAAGCGTGTAAAAACTAGTGATAGAACCAAACACACTTTTAATCTAATGCCAATGAAGATTAGAAGGAATGGCAAGGAAGGGGGTATTTCTAATTAATTTGGATCAGTGATAAATTATGTATCTGCAGAGGACGCACCACACGAGGGAGCCAAAGACTAATTTATAAATGATCTTTGAAACTTGTCAACAAGATGAAGCAAATAACAGATACCCGCATGCAACATCATATCACTTTTCAGTCCTAGAGAATGAAGAACGCCACACTCACAAAGGGGATAGTCCACAGCTGTAGAAACCATGTCAAGTGTGGACTGAGCCACTTCTGTGACTCTGCGAGCGATCAGGCCTCGAGGTTCCACTTTGCACACTGGGAAACACACATCTGCATTATTATTACCACTGCTTCTATTACTATGTATTTATTTATAGATTCATAGTCTGACCCTGGCTGCTGGTGTCGGCTGGTCCTCCCTGTCTGTAGCAGGACTGACAGACGCGCACAGGCCCGCTGCCCCAGCCTCGCTCTGGGACAGGCATGCGGTGGCTGGAGCACGGGTGACAGAAGCCTTCCCCACACGAGCGGCAGTGGTGCTTCCTCTCCAGCTCCTCGAACACTTTCTGACAGCCGCGACAACTCTGAGGCCCACAACATACAGGGTTTTACAGGAGAATTACAGGAACTATTCTTTAAAATCACCAGACAAATAAACAACAGCATATCTCAGCTAGTAATATAAGTAATATTAATATAACTTATAAAACTTATATTATAATCAATAAGTAAGTATAAGTGATCTTTCTTCACATTTACACAGAGTTTTTTGTAGAGATTCAAGCATATCTGTAATTCTGTAACTAGCGATTATTTTGAGAATGTATTAATTAAGCAATGCTCCACAAGTGTGTTTTTTGGCCCAAGAATAGCATTGTAATAAGCCTGACCATTAGCGCCAGCAGTGAAATACCTATGACGACCGTAATTAAGTTACGTCAACGATGCACATCCTGACATATCACCACGGGAACGACAGGAAAATGGCAAAGAATAGATAATAATGATCTGCTGCCAACAACGCACCAAACAATGTATTATTATAATAATGTACTGATATTTACCGTAACGTAAAAAGGAGCAAGTCAATACATGCATTTCTTATGTGGAAGCTACAAGACTTGTTTCATGACTTTTAAATTTGTACAATATATGAAGGACTGTCACAGGTTGTTACAAAACAAAGCACAAATATGATCTTGGGTCAGAAGATAAGGAACAATCTGAATGTATTTGTATATTTGGTACATTTCTTACAGTGATGTCATTGTTGGGTCTCCAGTAGGGCGGCGCCACTTGGTCTGTGAGCCATGCGGTGACAGCTTTAGTGGGACCAGTGCTGTACTCAGATACAGACTGGATCACAAAGTTCATCCCGTCCAACACTCTCTGAGCAGCATTCTGATGGTTCGTCAGAAATGAGTCAGTCTGGGAAGAATAAAGCATTAATATAAAAATTAAGTTTCAAAAGAAAGATAATTTCACTCAATAGACAACAGACAGATCTTTGATGAGCGAACGCAAACATGGTTCAGTCTAAATGTTAATTAGAGACTGCAACAGTACCACTAACTAAATATAAACATATATTAAAAAAAAAAAATATATATATATATATATATATATATATATATATATATATATATATTATATATATATATATTTATTTTTTTCTTATAGTTTACAATAGTTTTTATTCCTTGAGCTCCAATAGTAATCATACAATATAACCTTTAACAATGATTTTCTTTTCTGTGTATTTTCAACAATAAAAACTATTTATTTAAAGGGGTCTTGACCCGCCAAGTCTGGTTTATTACAACGGTTTTAAGAGCAGACAATTGCCTCACCCCTTCCCACACATGCTTGACTTCCGACCGGACCACGCCACTCTCTGGGTCTTGGTTTCCCATCCAGTACTGTCTGCTCCGGTAGATCACGCCACAGCTCGCACACTCCAGCACATAACTGAGAGCAGAGAAAAGTCAAACGGTTTTCTAGAGAGCCACAGAACAAATGTTCACAAACTTTTCTAATACTACATACCCTGCCCAGGCGTACTTGGCCAGTCCAAACCACGGATTATCACCAGAAGCAGAGGTTTTTGGCACAACTATTACCTCTCTACCCGCTTCATAACATCGCTGAAAAACAAAAGAAAAATCAATTACAATTTATTCATAGAGAGAGAACTTTTAGAACACTAAGGTTGAGGAAGTTGCTTCTCACATATAAAAAGTTAACCACCTCTTAAGAGTTTAATGTAGAGCTAAACAAATACATCCAACTAGGATTTAGAAAGATGGTAAAAAAAAAGACTGAAATTGTAAACATTATACTGTGCAACAACCTTTTGCATTTAAAAGACAAAATATTAAGTCATCTTGAGTTGATGATATTTTCACTTTCTTAAACAATCATTTTCCGATTAAATAAAAGATAAAAACTTCAGTGCTTTACATAAAAATAATACCAACTGCTAACAACTATTAAAAAAAATGTCTGGTTCTTCTCAAAGATCATAACATTATCAAGCACAAGTTGAAAAGAAAGTTTTGTGCTACACTTGAATATAAGATAAAGACTTAACAGCAGCTGAGATGACCAGCAGCAGATACCAATGACCGCACTCCCTCACCTTACAGATCAGGACCTTGTTGTTAAACTGATGGGCGTACTGACACAATCCATCTGCCACGTGAGGAACCCGGTCTCTCAAATGATTCATCCCGTTTTTACACCGAATACTGAAAGACAGACGTAGCTTTAATGGATTTATAGTAGTTACTAATAGTTAAAACAAAATAGGTAAAACTAGATATATGAATACCCCTAACATTACCATAAATTTGCACTATTAGGCATAGATAAAAGCCTTTCAATTCAACCATGCGCCTTATAACCCGGTGCACCTTATATATGAGAATAAAGGCAAAATTGGATGAATGTGCCTTATAGTGCGAAAAATATGATACGTGAAAGAAAGAGACAAAAGAAAATGTTTCAAGATTATTAAGATTCAGGACACAATATGATAATATTGTACCGTGTTAATCAGGGGAACTGGATTTTTTTCAAAACAAGAGAGTTGTGGGAGCATCAATGAGTTTGGAGACACAATAATGTGAATGCAAAAATGTAAAATGTGTTTTTAATTGTGGTAAAAGCCCTAGGGACGGACATTGCTAATTAGCCTTGGCTGTAACTGTTGCAGTGGGTCACATGTTGGTTGTGTACACTCAAATAAATAAATCATTTTCTGTTTTTAATTAGTGAGAAAGAAAAATATCTTAATTTTCTCCAGAAAGCCCATCCCTAGTTCCCGGCCTAATTATAACTGTGTGAAGAAAGCACCAAAATAAACCGTACTTGCAGCTGAGGCAGACAGCAGAACAGGTGAAGTACTCGTCAGGAAAGAACGAATACAAGGTCATTTTTTCATCGGAGAGCTCTCCACAAAACCGCTCGCTCAAGGCCTGCATGCATTCAGTGAAACAGCATTATAAAAACTGAATTGAAAATGCAAATGAATTTACAAACTTAACAAAACGCACTTACTTGCAAAGCCCGAAAAACTATGGCGGGCTGTCGAGGGGAGCGAGTGTGCGTGTTTCTCACTTGTTGAGTCACTGCCTCCAATAACCTGCTGTAGTCTGTAGGCGGCGCTATGGTCTGACTGCCCACATACTGCACGGAGCTGAAGGCCTCGGTGCCCAAACCCAAGTCATGGAAACGCTTCTGGAGCATTGTGTCTGCGTGGCCAGGCACTTTGGAGTCTGCAACAGTAGATGAAGGGGATTTGGTCAATTACATATTACAGGTATACTGCTGCGCATTCTCCACACTTTATAAGGGAACTATGCCAAAACTTCAACTCAAGACTCAGTTTTAAATTCAGCGTTTAAAAGGAGGAATTGTAATAATTTCAAAGTGACTCAAGCACTCAATATTCAACATTATTTATGGACATTTATCATCACATGGACATCGGTCATATGTCCCTAATGGACCAATACCAACGTGTTTTCTGTTTTATTTCTTGTTTTTGAACTGTCTGATTCTCTGATCTGCGTTGGCAAATTCAACGGTTGTGTAAAATCCTCCGAGATAACTACTGTTGTGATTTACAAGAATAAGTTGAATTGAATTGAATCACTCAATCAGTTTTGACACTCAATCAGTTCTGATTTTTTTTTGAACAGCCTATTCTTTTATTTTATAGTAAAATAGATTTGCATGCCTCCAGTTCAAAAATAATAAGTTTTAACACTAGGAGCACCCCTAGTGGTCAACTGACCGTTACTCACTTTAATATGCTAATTAGTGTATTCAAAACAAAACGCCAGAAGTTGAAATTTTATGACTTTTACTGGGTACTTGTTGTTTATATAGTTTGGTGTGTTTTGGTTTTGGAAAAAGTAAAGAAAACAAGATTTACACGCATCTTAACTTTTCTAAACCACAGCCCTTTCTGCTGCCCCATAGGGATACATGGCGCAGGGGCGACTGTTGTCATAGTAACCTTTCCCGGGGGTTTTTCGCGCCTTATAAAAATGTATCAATATGTTGTCATTAGATTCTAAAGGGACTTGAGTTTTTTTTTATTATTATTTGGGAGAGAGAAAGAGTTTTGAATTGAGAGGAGTACAAAATGAATAGAGCTGCAAGTACACGGTATGAAGCCCTGACACGGTGTTCTCCCTGGGGAGAACACCTATAATATTCTAAATCTGAACGTAAACCCATAGTGCATTCACGGCACGGACAGCAGTGTTGTAACAAGTCCAGAAGCAATAACGCACATGACCCGCGTAATGCCAGCCATACGCAGGTGTCTGTGTGCGCGCTGTTGCTCCATTCTGCCTTTTCATTCATCATCAATTACATTATTATATTCATACATAGAAGAAGGCAATAAAGCAGAATACAATATCGCAATAAAATAGAACAATTAGATGAACTATCAAGGCAGAGTGCAGATGGAGCGCTGTGAGGCTTCTCGTCACCCGCGGACACTGCAGGAGGAGAGCGACTGTGGGGCAGAGGCGGCCCTCATATATCAATAAGGATATAATTCTTATTTCATCCAGATAACACTGTGTGTTATTCTGCACAGCGCGCACTGCAAGGCAATGATTATAATTTTGTTCTGAGCATAAAGAGCACTGCTTGTCTCAAATAAATACAAATATATATATACATATATTTGTCTTTCTAACGTGTCCCGTGTAAAATTGAAGATTTTACATTGACGATGGTAGCCTAGCTGATGATCTTGTGTCAATACGAATACTATTATTATTATCTAGATAATATTTCCCACGGTGATTTCGGCCTCTAAAGAGAAAACAGTCTGGAGATGACGTAAGAAGTAGACGCATACAGCAGCGCGAAGACGTTATGGTCCCGTGCTCTAAACTATCATTTATATTGTTTGAATGTACATATTGTTACTGAGTCAAATATAACATATAGTGATCAACCTTTTAGGTGTTTGCAAAGTTACAGAATAAATCTAGCCTGAAAAGTCATCACAATGTGTCATCTTGGCCTTTTATTTCGGCTAGAATTAAAATTACTTAGCATATTTAGACAAATAATTTACACAGTTTCATTATGATCACGATTTCCCTGCAACATCAAGTTCTGGTTTCGTGAACAATCAATTTGGCAAAAGGCTGTATCAGCGCAAAATATATAGCGGTCAACTGACCGCAGGGGGCGGTGCAAGGTATGTTTAGAGCACGGCGGTCCTAGTGTTAAGCAAGCAATTGTAATTTGTAGGCTTCTGGAGAGTAATTATAAATAAAGTCAGTGTTTATAATAAGTATGGTGTACAACTCAAAAGAACACACACATTTCCCGATATTAATAGATATTGTTTTGTAATGATTGAAGGCCAATTAGGTTATTACCATGTCCGAGCAGCTGTGTATGTGTGGTCTCCTGAAACACTATGGCGGCTGGTCCCAGGCAGGACAGGGGCACATCGAGGCCACAGCGGCTGGACAAAGCTCTCAGTTCTGGGGTGAAGTGTTTCAGGTAAGCCCCAGATGCGCTGCTCAGGAACTGGAACATGTCGTTGTGAAGACGCTCGGCCCGAGTTCGGTAAACCACAATATCTGATACTGCGAGCACCTGGGAAAAAGAAAACATCACTGAACATGAAGCATAAAGAGGCAGACACAATCAATACAACACATTCACACATGAAGTTGGCTTTTATTTAACCATTTTAGGTCAATATTGAGCTTTGTAGAGGGATTGATTATGAGTCGAGGTTTGTTTGCTGGGATCAACATCAGCCACATTCTGTCATGTGTTTACCTTCAGGAGAAGCCTCATGCGTTGGTTCTGGTTTGCAGCAGCTCCAAGCAGCCCCTCTGTGTCCAGAGCCACTAGACTAAGTGCAGGGTCAAAGGCGGCCCACACACCCACAGTGCAGGAGCTGGGGGACTTGGAGGTGAGGAACACACTTCTGCCTCCAAACAAGATGTGGTTGAGCGTGTGGGATTTGCCATCTCCAGTGTTCCCAAAGATAGACAGTACTTTGACTCCCGACACATCTCCACAGCCCAGTCGGTCAAGAAACTCCGACTCATCTCGAACCTTTAGGATGAGAATAATATATAACTGTTTTCAAAAGAACATTAAGTTTAATTCTGCTACTTAATATGCAATAAGGTACACATCCAATCACGTCCATGCAAATAGGACCCTTTATGTATTGCCTACTGCACAGGGAATTAAACTTATGGTACCGGTGTTTACTTTTGACAAGGAGCTAGACCTGTCAATACTGATTCCTTTCAGGTCAGATTCATACTTCACTGGACCACTTTAACTGGACCAAGCCTGGTTCACTTGGGTAAAAAAGGATTCACAGATCAGTTTCAAAGGATAAAACCGACTTAAGTGACGACTGAACACATGTTTACGCTTGTTTGATGATTGTTTTTAGGTGACACAGCTGTCAATAGATGTTGTTAATCTTGAGTAACCCGGAGTAAGTAATTCGAGTAATGGTTTCAGAGTTGTCAGGTTGCAATCCTCTGAGATAACCTTACATGACTACATAATACATGAACATGTCGTTTGAGTACATTGTTGTAGTGGACTTTGCCCCGTGACAAATACAATTTCATTAAGCAGATCCTAATGCTAGATCAGCAGGGACTGAGTCACGATCAGGGACTTTCCACAATAAGACGCCTAAATAGCGTTAGACAATTGACTAGTTGACAGCTCCTTTTAGAATAGAGAACAGGAATATGAGCCGACACTTCAATCCATTATAATGTTCAAACCAGGTTCACAATGCATTCGTGATATAGCTCATGAAAAAGAACAACACTGGAAGAGCGTAAGCAAAGTAGTAGCATTGCAATTTCTTCTGAGCATTATAGTTTTGATTTGGCAACTGCTAGCATCTCATTTAAGGATTCATAAGTTAAAACCATTTGGCAAGACATGACACGTTAAAATCCCAGTGATAAAACTGTTCATTATCAAAAGATTGGCGGTGTTGAGTCTATTAGCTGTCAGCGGCAGTAAGCTAATGTGAGTTGTTAGCATATGTTAGCTTAGCATCGGTGGCTCGCTCACTTTACCTGGAGGCTTTCTTGTTCGTCCACCAAAAGGAAACTCCCGTCACCGCCTAACCTCTCCTCGGGCTTCAACGGGACGATAGACAGACTCTCCATCTCCTTCATGAGAATGTCGGACATGCTGGTGAGTGATTACGGCATATTTGCGAAGGAAATCGAAAGTTTATCAAACAGGAGAGCCGTCAATCACAACAACAACAGCGCGTGGAGCTGCAGAGGGGCGGGGCCAAGGCTCGAGTCAGTTCCTGATGATGGAACAGCGCCCCCCTCGGGTCACAAAAGGTAACACATGGTGGTTAATGGTGGGTACATTTACATACATGTAAATCTGACTTAGAAACTAACTTTCAAACTACATACATTTTAACTATGTGGTGAAATCTTTGTCACTTGTTACTGGCTCTAAAATGGCTTGCTATTTTTGGCTTCTGTCACATTGTGAAATTGTTAGAGGGCTGTTTCTTACTATACACAAGATAAAAAGTTTTCTGTTAAGACAAAGTCAATGTCAATTTTTTTTATGAAGCATATTTTAAAACAACCAGAGGTGACCAAAGTTGTCTGGTGACAATTTATTTACAGAAATAGAACACAAGTGAAGCGCAAGGGTTTCAGATCTACATAGAAGTAAAAGCCAAGGTAAAGAAGTACATCTCAGTTATGATTTGAACTCATTGTCTGAGCATTGTGGACATAGGCACAGCTAAACAAAACTGGTTTTGACCTGGATTTGAGCATTTCCAGAGTAGAAGCCTGTCTCAAATTTTCAAGAAGAGCGAACCAGATTTTAGCAGCATAAATCTGAAATTCTTCCTCCCCATGCCACTGTAGTCTGGACATGGAAACAACCAGAAAGCAAATCTGCAGATCTGAGTGCTCTGATAAATACATCATGTTATGGTTTGATCTGTGCATGATTTGTCCACACCATTTTACTCTGTTTTGGACAATGCTTTATTTATAAATGTATTATTTACAGGAGAGAGAAGTTAGATAATCCAGCTTTAACCCCAAATTACCTATTTCCTCTAAAAATAAATCTGTATGAGAATCCATTGAAGCACAAATAATGATTTGACTCTCTGTGAAGCTGTAGTTTAGTCTGTATATCATGGAATCAATGTCCATGGGATCAGGGAAGTGACGAACCACCTCTAAAAATGAGAAATCTCTCATCAAATTATACCAAGTTATGTTTCTAAAATTGTAACAAATTACAAAACGGCTCTCTGAAATAGTTGTTGACGTCGTACAAGCATAACTGCATAAGAATTACTCAAAAGCCTTAATTTGCATGAATTATTCCTGGATAATTGTGTAAAATGGTTTCTTATATTCATGTTTAAGATAGATCCAGCATAATGAAATACTAATCTGAAACTAAAGCAGAACAACACAAAAACACCTTTAAATTGCAGTGCACTGTCGCAAGTAGTAGAACACAATTACAGTTAAATAATCAGGGCAACTATTCACAATTCAGAATGGGAGGAGGGGATGGTCTGTCACATTACATCATCAATAATTAGAGACAGTTAAAAGGCCAAAAGTCAACCTATAATAAGAACAAATTACAGTCCAAATCAGAACTGTCATGCAGCCACAGTTTTTTTGGTGTCGAAGGAAGGATGTCATGTTAGAGCTCCTAATGTTCATTAAATATTTGTTAGGACAAATCTATAAATATCACATGTCACAGAATGGGTTGAGAGTGGCGCCACGGCTACTGCATGTCACAGGAAGGACCTCACTTTGATTCATCTTACACAGGGCTGGCCACATGCTGTCCTGTCGTAATCCGGTCTGTCACACAGGCCATATACTGCAGATATGATGTACTTATTTAATGTATCATTTTTTGTTTTTGTTTATGAATAGTGGTTTCAAAGGTTTCCTCATTACTGGACCATATTATAGTGCAGAAAACTATATTATACCCAACAAAATTAGTATTTAAACTTGCCATGCTAAGCTTCAAGCATGTTGAAACCACTAGAAATTGAGCAATAGAATCCATCAAATGTCATCTCACATCTTTAGATCAGTTTTATCAGATAAAAACTTGAAAAACACAGGATCACCCTCACTCAGGCAAAGTGTCAAATACTCACAAGGCAAGACGAAGATGGCATGTTGTGGTTTGATTTTATTTCTTTAAAATATTATTCATGAGAGAAGTTAGGTACCCCCTAATGAATGTCACTCTTTAAAAGACAAAAGCATAGAGTTTGACTGACTAACTAATGTAGGCCTATTGTGAAACTTAGTAAAGAAAGTTCTAAAACATATAGTAATAATCATAATGTTATACAATGGTGACTGCACTATATCAAGTGTTTAGTTTCAAATTTGAAAGTATAATAATTTTACTGCTTACTGCTGATCTTGTATTGTTTTTCACTCTCAAATCGGCGGCACAACAGATGGGGCAGTCTTAGGGAAGATAAAGTGAAGTCTGGTGGGTGTAGCGTTTGGAGAGGGTCCCACGCACTCAGAGACAAATGTCTGAAAGAATCAATTTCTAACTCCAGCCCATCATTCGATTAATGAATAATTAACAGTGCTCTGTGCAGATCCACATAACATATATCAGGAACATGTTACCGCTGCTATAACGATATACTGTGGCCTGAGTGACCTCCTTCAGATGGACCCTGGGCAGTTCAAGGACAAAGACATATACAACCATTCAGAGGCTGAGCAAACCTTTCAACACTTCCATTGCATTAATAACTGGATTTCTACATTTCAGCTTGAACGCTGATCGGAATAGAGATGGAAGCACTTCTGTATAAACATGCATTATAAAAATCTATAGGCCACTTTTAAAGTTTTAACATAGAACAATACAGTAAATTAAATAGCAGTTCCGACAGCTTGTAGTCTTTTGGCATATTCTTCTAACTGCGTTTTAGAGAAGGAAATAAAACATATGGCTGTTATATTGTCTCGATAAAAGATGCCGGGTTGTATGGTTTGAAACAAGACAAGTATTTCTTATTGTAGCTACACATTTTATATGTTGGATATACACTATGAGGCTTATGAGCTTGAAAAAGCAGTTAGCATAAATGACTTGAGATGTGATAGGGCATTGTAAACATGACTGTCAATGCATTATGTGATACAAGATAAAAGTTTGAATAAAATGTCCTTAAATGGTTCTTGCCTGTATGCAATTTCACACACATTGCATTTCATTAATGGATGCATTTTTTATTTTTTTTATTTTATTAACTTTTATTTGAAAATAATTTCTGCCTGCCATCTGCTCCAACACATTTTCAAACACATTTGGCCCCTGGCCCTTGGCTCTGACACTAAAGCACTTTGCCCAGACTGACTCTCAGACATTCACAAGCAAACCTTGGCATGACTGTAGTCGCTTCTTCTTTTATATTTGGATGGAGGAGGAGGATTTGGCTTTGCCCTCTTGAACGAGTCCAAGGCGGGACTGTTGCTCCACGCGAGGCGCTATCTGCCCTGGTATTTGTAGTGCGTCCCACGCTTACGCGCCTCGTGTTGACATGCGTAAAAACTACACTTCCCCAAAGCTGTCACCGAGCGCTCCCGCCACCCATTGGCTGCTTGCCTCCGCCGCAGCCCCAGAGAATGAATGAAATTAGAAATAGCAGCTACATTACATGTACAATACCGGGCTCTGCAGTGTTGCATTCTATCATTCTATATCAAAATGGCCACAGCGGTACAGAACCCACTCAAATCGTAAGTAGAATATTTCTATTTTTACGCCGCTAATGTTTTCTTTTCTGTACGTGTATGTCACTGAATTACGAGAACAGATTCTTAAATAAATCCATGCATGACTATAGCCTATTTTTGCATGCAATTCACAGAAGACATGCAGAAAACGCACTCGTGTGTCTAGTGTAGAGAAAAGTTGCGCAGATTTTAAGCCATGGAGCAAAACGCGCGGTGCCTTTGCGCACGATTTGCCGGGTCGGAGGCAGCAGCTGGGGGATAGCTGTATGGAGGAATGCCGGAGGTATGGGTGACCCGGTGCGTCCCTAACCAGACTATAGGCAGCCAAGATCACGGTCAAAGCCACAGCCAGAGCTGAGGAAAAACCAGGGCTTAGATACCGCGTTGGCTCATGACACACAATTTTTAACAGTCTGTACAAGTGAATGTGCTTCTGTGCCGTTATCTGACTGCTTCAACTCTTAACTTGATCCATGCCCTGCGCGTCTAATGGCCATAACGAAATGATATGGCTGTCTATTTAATAGCGTTATCAAAAACTATAACGCAGAACCTGAGTGCTTGAAGAAGACATGTTTTGCACTAGAATTGCTGTCTATTACCACGGAAGTTTCCCCAATTATCACCCCCTTTGTCCAAATTTTGGAGAGGGCTTTGTGGTAAATAGTGGACAACGCGGAGACGCATGTTGCCTGGTGTCTGTCTGGGAACCTGCAAAAGGAGCTGATTCGATGTGCGACATAGAGTGGGTATTTAAACGTTTAATCAAAGCGGAAAATCGTTAGTATGCATGCGTTCAGGGGATTTTTTTTTGTCACAAAGAAAGTCACACGCCAGCTGAGGTGATGTGATGCGTGGATGAGGCTGCTGCTGCTGCTGCTGCTGCTGTGGTGTTGTTGTTATACCTGGAGTGGCAATAGGCAGGTTGCGCGCGTGTCTGTGAGTGGCAACCATCCTGCTGTCTGTCTGTCTGTGTCTGATTGTCAGTCATTGTGAAAAGAAGTAGAGGAAGGCGACATTTCGTGCATTCGTGGAGAGCTCTTGTCAGAAAGGACCGGGATGAATTGCGATGCTGATTTGTCATCTCACCTCTGCTGCTCCCATTGGCTGTGATGGTATTTGGGAGATCCGAGCCTCGACTCAGCATGAGATGTTTTCAGGGAATAACAGGTTTTGCATAATCTAAATAAAATATAACATGAAAGTGTCAGAGGGCAGTTTTGCCTATGCAGTGTTCCCCATTGAAGAAACTTTATTGTGTTAACTAATAATCTAATAGTTTTTCTTCCAAATATACTTTATTTTTTAGACTATAACTGTATAATGTGTGGTCTTATCTTAGCCTCTCATGATAATCTATAATAACATTGACTTATCCAAAAACAGATACAACAACA